CGATTGCGATTTACAAGAATCAAGACGGTAACAAACGAAGCATGGGATCAGCACAGGCACCCTTTTCGCCCTCGTTTTCCGCCCTAGATCCTCTCATCATGGACGACGACATGGAGTCCACCTTTCGTGACGCCGACATGGACTTTTTAGACCCCACAAAACTCGAGATGTCAACTGAAAATGCCGGGGGAGACTTTGACGACCTATTCGCTCGAGGCACAACTTCCCGTCCGAATTGCGCCTCGGGCCCTTCGAAGCCATACCAAGACGAAAACCCCCTGAGACAAATGTCGACTCTTGCCGCGGACTCTCCAGCCGAATCGCCAGAAGATTCGGGTCGCAGTTCGTCCTCCGAATCTCCACGGAATCACCTGCGACAAACATCAATCGCTTCGACGAACTCCGCAGCGCATAGTGAGAATCCCTTAGCTTCTACTAGTTACCCGTCGGAGGACTGGATGCGCCCGGAGTTATCGTCAGTCAAGGAGGAATCACCGTTCAATATCGACCCTTCTTTCCCTATGGATGGTTTCTCTATGGATCCGGATCTGGAGGTCAGCAACAAAGCGATGGATGCGGCCTTTGATTTTGAAAGTGCAGCGAGCAGTCCTAGTCCACTGAAGACGGAAAATGGGTCACTCCCGAGACCCCAGAAGCGCTCAAAATCCCAGCTCTGGAGTCCTTCGAGCAATCACGCTGGGCTGCCGTCAAACGATGCTATCCCTTCGGTGAGTCATTCGATGAATAGCCTAGTTTTCCACGCAATGCTAACAAATCACAGGTCCATGCTCCCGGGTCTCCGTTCTTCGCTTTTGGACTCAATGGCCAATCGCCATACTCAACAACAATGCCAGATATAGATAGAGCGGCTCCGCAATGGGGCGGGCAGTCTCCTTCGTCACTTCTAGAAGAAAGCTTTGGAGGCATCAACATGAATCGCCAATCACCTCTTCACACCTCGTTATCACCCGCCATGAATTTCGGCTCGCCGGCGCCATACCAATTCCCTGTCAACTTCGCTTCCTCCCCGGCCCAACCTCAAATGAACGCCCACTCTCTACAACCTGTTCTCACTGTGCACCCAACCTCCCTCAAATCCCGCGTTGAGACTCAAATTCCGATCCGATTGACCCTCTCCCCGTTACCCACCGGCATCAAGAAACTTCGTCTTCCCTCTCACACCATCTCAAAACTCAAATTTCTTGCTCCTCCTGCCACTGAACCTACTCGCGATACCCTTCAGTTGTATACAAGTCTAGTATGCACAAGCGCTATGCAAGACAGAGAAAAGATGAAGCGGGCATTTGCACGGACAAGGGGTGATCACTATCAACCAACTTCGGATGACGAACGTCCTTTGGATGGAGGTGATGTGAAAATCTGCAGCGGGTGTATACAGCGAGAACGGAAACGTGCGTCACGGAAGAAGCAAAGGAAGCCCGAGGAAGATGAATTGTTTCAGAAGGATGAAGAGAAGCGTGTCATCGTCTTCAACACCAGCGAGATCAAGGAATGGACCGAACCAGCAAAGAACTCCAGCAGCAGCTACGGCGATAGATTATCGGTTCCACCAGGCTCAATGCAAGTGGAACTGCCGATGCGGATTGCATGCTACTGCCGACACCAAAACGAGAAGCTCGGATTCCAAGTTATCTTCACCGTGAAGGATCACTTAGACAACGTGGTCGCGCAGGCAATCACAAATTCGATTATGATAACCGATGACCACAAAACACAAGCCCCATCCGCGCCTGCACCGACTGGCCCTTCGCCATCTCTCGCAGACGGGACACAAGTACCGGGAGTTGGAGTGTTTGCCTCGGGCGAGAATGGACAAAATTCCTTTGGTGCAGATCAGTCGCCGACTGATCTGCAGGGTCTCCAACAAAGATTCAACTCACAGTATCAACTTACGCCCAGTTCATTTGCAACCCCGAGCTCAACGAATGGAGCGCATGTGCCTCAGGCGTCCAGGAGCCTGTCTCGAGGCGCATCCCCATCTGATTACCAAGGGCCACAGAGCAAACGACGCAAACACAGCAGCTCCGGAAGGCTTCCGTCAGAACTGACGATGACACGACTCGAGGCACCTCAGTCATCCGCAGCGGCCATGAATAATGCTGCGCAACTTGCGGCTGCTCGTGGATTCGCTTCACCAACTGAACGGCCATTCGTAAACCCATCCTCCATGTCTCAATATGGAAATGGCCCACCCACTCCCAATCAGAGCAACGATAATAATCCATTTTTCAACCCGACTCCCGCCCAGCGACAAAGCTTGGATACACTGGCCGGGGGAGCAGTGGCGACGACGCCCAACTCTACCCATCCCAGTCGCCCAGGGACACCAGGCGGCTCAATTCGCAACGGCTTCCATGATCCAAATATTCCCATAGGACTTGGTGCAAATACCTCAAGCCAGGTTTGGCCTCCTCTTAACAATACTCCTAATCGATTGCCATCAGTGATCCACAAGTTGGTGCCTGCCGAGGGCTCCATCACAGGAGGTACTGAGGTTACGTTGTTAGGCAGCGGATTTTATCCTGGCATGGAGGTTGTTTTTGGTGACACCTTGGCTACTACAACCACATTCTGGGGTGACAAGTGCCTCAATTGCCTGACCCCTCCGGCTCTTCAACCGGGATTGGTGTCCGTGGTGTTCAAACATGAGCACCCGACATTTGGCCAAGTCCAGCAGACTCAGCCCCTCATGCCCAAACAGCAGCTGTTCTTTCGCTATGTGGATGATCGTGAGCTTCAAATGTATCGCTTAGCTCTGAACATTCTTGGTCAGAAATTGGGCAGCCAAGCGGATGCATTCCACACAGCGCAACAGATCATGGGAAGTGATCCAAACGCGTTCTTTAACATGCAGGCAGAGATGCAAGGCAACGGTAACTCCTCTGGGGGTCAGCAGCGCCAAGTACCGGGTCTTGAAAACCAAGGCAAGCTTGGCGATCTCGACTCTAAGATGCTGACATACTTGGAATTCGTCGACTTGGATAACAGTCCCCGGCCACCGCGGTATAACTCTCGTAGCACGACTGGCCAAAGTCTCCTTCACTTTGCGGCGTCATTGGGACTGACGAGATTTGTTGCGGGTCTTTTGGCTCGAGGTGCAAACCCCGATGTGCAAGACAACACGGGCAATTCGCCAATGCATCTAGCCGCACTCAATGGCCATGCTCACATTGTCCACCGGTTACGTCTGGCGGGCGCCAATCCCAACACTCGTAGCGTACGAGGTTTCACCGCCGCGGACCTAGCGACAACGCTCCCCGCGCACCAAGCCGCATTGCTTCCGTCTCGCCACTACCGATCCCGCAGTGTCGGATCCCTCACATCGCGCCGCCGACAAAGCAGCTCGGCCTCGCTCAATTCTATGTGGGAGGTGTCTTCCGCCTCTGGGTCTCTTGGCCATGGTGTCGATGACTCAGATGATCTCGACGACGAGGAGGAGGAAACTACTGACGATTCCGACTCGGAGCCTCTTCAATTCAGTTCTTCTCGTCGGTCTAGCATGCACCAAGACAGGCCACAAATTATGGACAATAGCGAACAAACCATCGCAGCCGGAGATGCTCAAGGGTTCGCCCCACCAGCACCGCTTGTCGCGTGGCGTGACCAACTGGCTCTCCAGATCAATCAATTCCAGCAGAGCGTGGCTAATGCATTCCCTAATCTCCCGGCTCTCCCTCCGATGCCCCCGATGCCCGCAATGCCCGCTATACCTGCGATACCCGCCATGCCTACTCTCCAGGACTACCAAGGACAAGGAATGATGCGCCGCATAACTAACCTCGTCCCTAATCGACCTGCGGCTCGGGATGGCTGGTGGGACTACCTGAAGGGCACCTCTGCGCCCAATCCTAACCAACCACCTTCATACGATGAGCTGTTCCCGCACCCCGATGCCACCGATGAGTCCGACATGAAGAAGTCCAGCCTACTTCGTGCCGCAACAGAGGCAGCTATTGACGAACACTTCGAGGCCCAGAGCAGTGCCGTTGCTGCTGCCGCCGCCGCTTCGGCTTCGGCTTCCCTCGCTCAAGTTGAGAATGACGATATCAAAGGCATCACAATCGGGCGCAATGTCATCTCGCGTGAGCAGCAAAAGCAACTCCGAGACCAACAGGCTCGAAGAATGAAGGGTCTAGGCAGCGACCGAAACCTGTACTTCATCTGGGTAAGTAAACAAACATGTCCACCAACTTCTTTCCTTTCGTCTAGCATACAACTAACACTATTTCCACAGATTCCTCTTCTTATTCTCGTTATATGCGCCTGGGGTCGAAACTACGTTCCCGGGATTTGTAAAGGCGTCACGGAAACCTTTGAATTTGTAAAAGCTCGCTATACACAGCCGGCTGTGGAAATGGGCATTTAGGGCATCTTTTTTCTTTTGTTTTTTTTTTCTCTGATCACATATTTTTAGGCGTTGTTCCTGAGCGAGTCAACCTACCCTATCATACGATGGACTATCTGTCGGGTTTCCTGTCTTTTTCTTATTTGTGTTCATAATGACGCGGCACGACTATTTATGTAGAATCCGCATGATTGAGTCTTACTGTCCTTACTTTCCAACTTTAATCCTATGACGATTGTCTTGTTGCATAGGGCCGACTGTGTCAAAGAACCGCCACTCAGGTGTAGTTTTGTACCTACATGCCTAATGTGCATTGTGTTATATCTTCATGCTATATCAAAGGTTATATATAGATATATAAAAGTTGTCGTACAGTTTGGGCTTTTTACCACCTTCGTATAACTATATGTAAAAGATGTTTAAAAAGAACATTCAAAAACACATCGGAGTGTTCGTACATATATCACCCCAAATATCATCTTGGGCCGAACAAACTACACACATAGATACCCACATCATCAAGGATACAGGCCGTACGACGGCCGACTGTTCCTGTTCACGTATAAATAGAATTCTGTACACATGTGTTTTTTATGTCTCTCTATAGGCCCACTGTAATGATATCACGCATGTACTAAAGTACAACCAAAGATCTATATCTCTTGCAAAACTCCTCTACAGCTTTCACAAACGCATCGAGGGCTGTGGTAGACATGGCGATGTTCAAGGTGATTGTTCCTCGACTCTGTACCCAATACCCTGCATTCACCAGTTCCAACCAGAAAAGCTCCTTGAGATCCGTGGCCTCTACTGCCGCAACATCATCTCGACAAGTGATTTGCTCCGCGCGAAGTCCTGTCTTAGTGACATGAACGCACATAAGAGAACCCTGGCCCGTGATGCAGAACTTAGATCCCGCAAAGACTCGGCCCAATCGCTGACGCAAGTCATCGCCTTGAGCATTGAACGACTGAGCAACTTCAGCGGTATAGACTTCAGAGAGTCCTGCATACCCAGAGTGCAACATCAAAGTGTTATTCTGGAATGTGCCAGAGTGTGCCAAAGCCCCAGGCGTGAGCGGGTTGAAAACATCCATAATATCTCCTCGGCCACCGAAAGCCCCAAATGGCAAGCCTCCGCCCAGATATTTGCCCAGAGTGATAAGATCTGGTCTAATCCCGAGCAGATCTTTCACTCCCCCCGGTGCCAATCGAGACGTCATCACCTCATCCAAAATCATTAATGCCCCCGCTTTCTCACTCTCCTCGCGGATTGTTTGTAGGAACTCGGGGGTTGCGGAAATGAACCCACCAGCTCCCTGGATACCCTCCAGAATGACAGCGGCAATATCGTTATTCTGGGAAAACGCTTCCCGAACACCCTCGGAATCGTTGTATTGCAGTAGTACCCAATCAGCCTGGTCGACGTTGTTCTCCGGGATGCTATCTACAAAGGATAGCACGCTACCATGATAGGCTCCGCGGAAGACGATGATCTTACGAAGACCAGTGAATTTTCTAGCCGCGGCAAGACAGTGTATGTTTGCTTCTGTTCCAGAGTTTGTAAATCGAACCCGTTCAAGTCCGAACCGCTCACACAGCAACGATGCATATCGCTGTTCGTAGACATTCGTTGCTCCAAGACTCAGCCCGACCTTCTGAATGGTGTCTGTTAAGACTTTTTGCAGGGTCGGGTGAGAGTGGCCAAATAGCCCGGCGGATAATTCGCCGACCAGATCATAATATCTAGAAAGTAGTGTTAGTACCTGCTTTCACTAGGCCCAGGTGGGTGTATTTACTTGTTTCCATCCTCGTCCCACAGTTCAGAACCTTCGCCCTTGCGCATGAACACTGGAAAGGGGGCCGTGTGCAGCAGAGTGCGGGTGTTACCTCCCGGTAAGCTCTCAAGTGATAGCTTATGCAGACGTTGCGATTCAGGGTGGCGCTCGATGAATCGAGTCGTAGCATCGTGGAGAGCTGACTCCATTTTTAGAAATAGAGATTTAGGGTAGTTATTAAAAAGTCCTTTGGATATTATAAACAGTTTATATAACTGTGATCCAGTCTTTCGATATATAGAAACCTTGATAGATATCTTCTTCAGTCCACTGCTATATCATGACAGATAGTTTCCAAACAGAGGTTAACTATAGAGTACATGTGAGTCACTGGCAGCTAGTCTAGATATTATGATCTTCATTGGGCATAGTCAAGAGAGGGGTACATTACTAGTGAATCCTCTTATCACCCACTAATATCACCTAGGCAGATCTAGATCGGAATATATATGCACCAGGTTAGTATCATCAAAAGGATTGGAGGATTTACAAGAAACCTTTGGACATACATATTGATTGAGAAAGCATCAATTTCATATCGAGAGGATGTGGGTAATATGCGAAAAAAGCAAGTATAAGACCTATTTTGTCGTCTTCGCATTTATCGCTCGCCGTAAGGGGCCCATGCAGTATATGCAAATCTCATGAAAAATAAGAAACGATCGCCCCCTTTGAAGAAATTTTTGAAGAAAATTGCATCTATCGCAACATTGATATCCGTTAAAAGGTCTCTATTTGATTGGGGATAGGCAGGCATGTCAACCTCTTCCAACCTCCTGCGAATTGTCTTTCTCTATGCTGCCCACTGCCTTATACCTGCGACTCTCCTAATAACAACAACAAAGCAATCTGTTGTTCGGTATCTGTCAATTCCATGCTCTATCTTTATTGTATATCGAGCTATACCGGTAGCCACAGCGCTGGGTCCAGGATTCGTATGGTGTGAATGCGTTCGTCTATTCATAACCATCATCTTCCAATGCATAAACTTGCTGCTCATCAACCCCAAGGATAGCAATGATTTGCCTTCTAGGGGTAGTCAGATCTCTGTAGCTCGAATTTATGCCGCCACCCGGCTCTTTACTGACCCTCGTGGAATCAACACTCCCTGGCAAATAAAAAATGCTCCACCACAGCCAGCATATTATAAACGACGTGGTATGAGCACGCCTCCTCGAGATCGCTTTTTGGTTCGCCAAATAGCCATTGTTGTTTGGCAATATCTAGTTTTGGATGTATTTGCTACTCTTGGGTTGCAACAGGCATTGGAGCAAGAGAAAAGTGGGATGTTGCCGCCGGTGCCTCAATGGGATATATCAACCGAACAATGGATTGAACGTATTATTTCAAACGTCATGGCTGGATTTGTGGTGAGCCGAATCCTTATCGACTTCCACCATCGTGCCTTTTCCATAATTATCGTGGGACTTGGACTGGACTCGCCTGAAAATTGCCCTCCGTTGTACGGAAGAGCACTAGATGCCGATACAATACGGGGCTTCTGGGCGTAAGTTGATCCATAGCAGATTATTTGGGGAGACGGGATACTATGCTAACATCGATATTATAGGAAATTTTGGCACCAATTGTTACAAAATCCTCTGACCTCTGTCAGTGCCTTCATCACTCAAGACCTATTAGGTCTAAGGCCAAGGTCATTTTTGCAGCGGTATATGAATGTTTTTGTTGTTTTCTTTTGTTCGGGGGGGCTGCATTTCGTTCTCGATATTGTGCAGGGAATCCCAGCACAAGAATCCGGCGCCATGTTATTCTTCCTCACGGCCCCGCTAGGCCTCATGATTGAAGATGGCGTCAAAGCGATTTGGGGGTCTTTTTCGAAGTCCAATGGACAAAGCCAAAAAAATCCCAAACCGCTGTGGCAAAGGGCTCTTGGCCTAACGTGGTCTATGGCATGGCTGGGTATCACCTCAACTGGGTTCTTCTACCCACAAGTGGTGAGGCCACAAAATCAGGCTCTTGTTCCTTTGTCTGTGGCAGGGCAGATTGGACTGCCTATACAGGCAGGGATTGTTCTGGTTAGTGGTGCTGTGTTAGCAAAGTTATTTGAGGTTGAGGTTTGAGGTCATCAAGTATACCTCCGGGGTCATGTTGCCATGCTGGTATAGATATATGTCGAGATAGATGTTAGATATACTCAAATATCAAAGGTTATATATGGAAAAGTCATTTTCGCAAATTAAGTCTTTAATTAGCTTTTTTTGGCTGCCTACCTATAAAAAAGCGAAATGGAAGAAAAATATCTAAAGAAACGGAAATCTAGAAAGACAGCTAAAAAGACAGCCAAAAAGACATCATAAGGCCGCATAAGCGGTGGACTACGCTTGTATGCAATAGATATATATTTTTATATATTTGTATCTGTTTGCTAATTACATCTGAGATGAAAACAAATAACCTGAAAGGCCCAGTTGTAGATCCAAAATCTAAAAGCAGCGAGGGGTACACACTAAAATGGAAAAGAAGGAGGCCGTGCGTGGCGGCTGTTGACAGCATGGTCTCCCTCACCCCGCGACTTTTCCCCTTAACCCCAGGCGCATGAAAGCTCCTATGCACCTTGAATTTTGAGATGTCCTGAAGTCAATTGGCCACTTCCCGTATTGCGCACGGGAAATCATGGACCCTTCGCAGGCTTCGAGCAATGTAACGGGTACGACAAAGAGGTGATCGAGACGAATGAAGCTTGCGCTGACCATACAACACAGTCGAATACACAGATCCTTCGGGCTTGTTTCCGCTTATCCAGCCCGTGATTGAATCAAAGCTTCCCCTGAAAAACCTCCACTGGAAATCTCCAACCCGCCCCGTGCGGTCAATCGAGTCGCTCCGCATCGGCTTCACACCTGCGCAAGAGTCAGACGAACGCAAACCATCGAGCGATACGGTTCATGGCACAGTGACCCATCGCAGACACCAGATCCCCGGTCTACGACAGACACCATACCTCAAAATCTACCTCCTTCGATGTGACGACAATGAAAGCTACAAGGCGACGGCCCGACGGAACATCCGTGAATGGATCAAGGCCAACGCGTCTTCGCAAAGCTTGCAGCCCACAACTACTAGCCAGGAAAAGCACGATGCATTTGAGTGGCTTATCCTGCACGTTGTACCGGACTGTGACGCCGCGGACAAAGCAGCCACACCTACCTCTAAATGGGGCCGTGGTTCAACTACGGTGCTGGAAAAGGCGAAGGCGGACTTCAATGGGTCGTCCAAGTCTGCCGTAGACCGCGTGGCCCAGTTGCGTCTTCCCAAGCATGCGACCAAGTCCCCTGAATTGGGCGAGCAGTTGGAGGACTTGATCGATAAAATGAAGAACGGGATTCTAGCTTCATTTGATCTGCGTGTGGCTCAATACGAGGAGGATATAAAGGAGAAGGACTCTCAGCGCAGTTTGCCTGGCTGGAATTTCTGCACGTTCTTCATCCTTAAAGAAGGACTTGCTAGGGGTTTCGAGAATGTGGGCCTCTTTGAAGATGCGCTGGCTGGATACGATGAGCTAGCTGTTGGCTTGGATGCGGCTATCCGAGACCAGCTCGATGGAAGTGGCGACCAACACGGTGGTGCACTCTCAGTCACCAGTAAAAACTGGACTGAGATGGCCAAAAAGGCATTGGAGATTGGGGCTGACAGCGACAGCAATGACGATGACGCGGCTCTCTTTTCGGAGCTTCAGCCGGATGATTTCCCATTTAATGCCAACAAGATGTCCTACCGGGAAATGATCCTGGCAAGCGATATCTCTATCTTCGATTTCCGCACATACATCTTCTCTCGTCAACTGACTCTACTACTCCGAGCTGCGAGAGCTCCATCAATAGCCGGCAGTGAATCTGCGACAGACGCCAGCGTGTGGAAATCAGGCAAGAAGCCCGAAGACCTCATTCTGCTAGCTGAGATTTGTGCAAGAGCAACGGAACTTATCAGTTTAGCTGCACGCACCCTCCGCTATGATCTCGAATGCGGTCTAGCGGAGGTAGTCCACGATGGCAAGACAGATATTATTAACAATCTTGTCTCCGCGTGGGCATTTTCGGCAGCTTTCCAGATCCTAAGTCAAACTTTTACTCCGAACCTCATGCTCCCCGAATCCTCTCTTCATGCCGTTGCACAATCGAGCGAAGCTGCAGCTATCACGATGGCGGATTCCCGTGCCGAAGTGCCTCGTCGCACTAGTTCTCTCATGGGCTCAGCTGGTGCCCGACCTGGCCGGCCAGTGACGCAGGATATGTCTGATAGTGTGGGTTTGATGCAGCGGCGGTTGACTATAGATCACCCTAAGCCCGTGCATATTCCCACACAGAAGACTGGTTCTGAGCAGCTAGCATCTGGGAGGGCGGAATTGCTTCTTATGGCTCGGCGGTCACTCGAGGAGATTGCTCGCAGACGGGGCTGGGCTGAGAGTTGGAGCAATCTCGGTCTTCTCTTTGATGATCGCAGTCGTTCTGTAGCAAGTGACATGGCAGAGATCTCGTTGGACGGCGATGACACCGAAGAGTCACTGAAAGCTTCTAAGAATAAGCACTCTTCGCTTGTAGGCATCGAGCTTCCTGGCCTCAGGGCTGCATTAAAGTCCAAAGACGCCTTCCTGTTTCTCTATGAAGAACTCACAGACCGTTTGATCCGCCATCATATGGCAGCCAACCGTGTCAACTCCGTCGAACAGGCCCTAGCTGAAATCGCTATTTTGCGATACCGCCGGAAAGACTATGAGTCTGCTGCTTCCTATTTCCATCGGATGGCTCCTTTCTATGGCTCTAAGTACTGGATTGTTTTGGAAGGAAGCATGTTGGAACTCCACGCGCGGTGCTTGAAGGAGCTCAAACGGAACGAGGACTATGTTCGCATGATGATACGATTACTTTCCAAATTTGCTACATATGCGCAGGCGCAATTATCAGTCCGGCAAAAGGCCGTTGCTGGCTCGATTCCTTCTATTGAACAGGAAATCTTAGAAGGACATGTCCGCGATTTGTTTGAAGCTGCTAGTGCTCTTCAAAGGGATATTCCTGCTTCTCTGACAGACTTCTTTGCCGACCTCCGTGTTGACCCGGCCATTCGACTGTACGACAACAAGGACGGATTCCAGATCCAAATGTCTTTGCGATTCCTCTTGGGCCAGCAGATCGAAATTGACAGTCTCAAGGCTCGGCTAGTCAGCGCTAACAGTTCCCAGAATTCTGAGCACTGGATCGAGAGCTCAGCCAAGTTTGTGGTGAAATCATCAACAACACAAATTTTGATCGACTCCTCGGTAAGTAGTCATAAAATAGCTTCCGCTACCGGTAACTAACTTATATGCAGACCACGCTTCAAGGCAAGTACTTTATTGACCGTCTCGAAATGAGAGCTGGCAACCTTGTCTTTAACTTTAATGGTGGGCGAGACTCCAAGCTTCCAGTTGGCTTCCGGGAAACGGAAGACTCGGAGGAAATCGACGACCAGCCTTACATCTATTGCTACCCTCCGGCCGAATCCCTACAGGCGAAGATCGTGTCACCGCATCTTATCAATCTTCAGGCCATGCGGACGGTGGAGCTGGAACTTGACAGTGGACGAAATGATATCAAGAGTGGCACGATCCGTGTCCGGCCAGCTACTGCCGGCCTACGGCTTCGCATTACAGAAACCGAGGTTGTGGATGGCAAGCTCGAGGTGGATGCCAACCACGAGTCGGGCATTATTGAATTCGGGCAATTGCCGCCACGGTCATCCGTCAGACTGCGTATCCCCTACACTGTGGAGGAGGCGTTTTCGACCCTCTCAGCGCGAGCAGAGATCGGGTATGAGACCGAGCAAGGCCGATTCGCTTCCTCGGCATCATTCAGTGTTGTTTCAACATTACCTATATCGGTCAACGTGCAGGACATTTTCAAGGATGAACTGCTATTCTCGCGATTCACCATCAGCCCGGCCATGCTGATCCCGCTTCGTATCCTGAACTGCAGTCTACCCAGCTCAGATATTTACGATGTGCAATCCAGCATTACCGGCCCCGTCGCCCTTGATGTCTTCCCTAAGCAGCCCGCATCTCTTCTTTACAAAATCCGCCATAATGAAGGCAGCATAGCCGCATCAACGCCGCGTAGCTTGCAACTGAGCATTGACTTCACATGTGTCGATGATGAGTGTCTCGATGCAATCGAAAAGGAATTCGCCGCCTCCATTGACTCCAGTCCATTCCGCCAGTACGCAGCGCTACTCACATCGCACATTGTCAGCAGTTTTCGCGCACAGCTATCCACAGATGACATGGAAGCCATTGGACTCATTCGAGAGGTAAACATGCTGCCCTATGAGACTGTCCGATGGGAAGATTTGCTCGGAGCTTTGAAAACACCAGGCGAGGATGTGCGACAGTGGCTCAAGGAGTGGCACAAGGTAAGAACCCCAATTCAGAGTTGTTCCCAGCTAGTTAGTTTACTCACACATGAAACAGAACAACTCCACCATCCAACTCCCCACACAGCCCACCATCCCAGCCCGCCGCATCATCATCCCCGTCGACGTCCCCGAAATCCAAGTCGTACACACCGCCGACCTCAAGGTCCAGCCCAAACCCACCACCGGTCTGGGACCCTCCACCCACGCCGCCGTCGGCCAGATGATCGTCGCCGAGCTATGTCTCCACCACACGCGCCGCTGGTGTTCCCCAGCGGCCCGAGAAAACGCCGACCAGCCTCTCGAATGTTCCTACGAGATCCACGCCAACCCAGACCATTGGCAAATAGGCGGTCGCCGCCGGGGCAACTTCCTCGCGCGCGACGGCGAATCTACCCGCTTTACCGTCCTCCTACTCCCCCAGAAACCCGGCCATCTCCTACTCCCAAGTCTTGAGATCCGTACTTTCTTCCCATCGGCACCTCAGCTCCCGACCTCGCCACCTGCGGCTGATCAGACCGGTTCCATGGCACCGGCTCGTCGCTCGATCCCTTGTGAGGTTGACTACCGTAACCATGGCGAAACGGTTCTTGTTCTCCCGGATTTGAAGAAGACGACTGTTAGTCTTAGTGCCGCTGGCGGCAGCCATGCCCCTGGTGGAGGATCTTGGCTTGTTGATTCGGAGCGGCGGACGGAGGAGGCTCGTTGATTTGATTTGATTTGATGGTCGGGTGGGTGATTATGTATAATGAGTCGTCTATAGGCCTCACTGAGGGTACTTGTTTGCATGTAGATCTACGATTCATGAATCCTTTATTCTTTTGTGAAGCCTTTGTGTTACTTGGTATATAGACCTCGGGTAAATTCGAGGTGGCTTCGGCTGGGGCTTCCGTTGGCCCTTGGCCCGAGATAGACTAGTTTGGACTGATATGGATTAGCCCCATCTCAATGTTTATTTTAAGTCGGTTCTAAGGGATGTATGTATGTTATTTTGTCTTTTTGTCAAGTTGATTTAATACTTGAATATTTCCAAATAATGCAATAATATTTAATGTACGGAGTAATATAAGCTTAAAATCTAAGCAAAATCCGAGATTCTGAGGTCTGCCCGATCAGATCTTATCTAAGGTGGCAAGGGGAGAATAAAGAATTTAAAGATTTGAAAGTAAAAATTTTAACGTTTGTTTTTTTTTCAAAAAGGGGGAGTGGGGCCCCAACAAAACCCCATGGGTCCCAACAAGCGGGTAGAGGCATTTTGAATTAAATTTTAATTTACATGTAAATTTGATGAACGTCGTATTTATAGGTACATTTGTACTTTTTCTTAAGTCGACCTCGGTGCTTGAGTATAGAATATAGTACGGATATCGGAGTACTCCGTACTACTTACTCCAAAGTAAACAAATAATGTTGAGGCCATTGCAACCATTGCAACAGCCAACACCGAATTATATCCGTTGAAGAGCTGAAAAACAAGTGGAATCACATGTCCCTTGTGCATGCCACTACTCCAGGGCTGACTTACAGAAAGGTAGATGCGAATAACCAATTGCGCAAACGGCCAAAAGCCAAATCAATTTGCCACACGAGCTTGCATGTTAGAGGTCCATAGGAGATTTCCAGACCAATCCACGGCCCTCCGTACAAGCACGAAAATGACCCGCGATCCGCCGAGGTAAGTTGATCTAGGGATCTATCCACATCGGCTGGGGATGCCCTTCACCGTATTCTCGACATGTGAAAGTGACAACGCAATCACACTTTGCAATCACGGCGCACCAGATAGAGTCTAGATCCTGTATTATATTACTTTCATGACGGTCAGACCATTCCCACCAATTTGCAATTTATCCAAGGACATGTGGCTGTGAAGAACTCGTATACTCCGTAGAAGTACAACATACAATAGATAGGCGTTCATGCAACCGAGAATCCAATTGTCGAAGGCGAGGTGGGTCTGTAAATTTGAAATTTGCAAAATACCATACGGTTGGATTGGGTTGGATTAGGTTGAATTGGCCTACGGAACTGATTGTGGCGGTATGAAAATTACCATCTCAAGGTCCCACGGTTGAATCGCCAGGTGTTTTTTTTTTTGTTGTTAATTTTCCCCTTCAATTTTTCAGTTTCTTTTGTTTCCTTTTTTTTTTTTTGATAGACTGTTAACCTTCTGTTCTCTTTTTCATTTCCTTTTTTTTTTTTTCAATTGCTTATTGCCTGCTTTCTCGTTGGCTATTATTTAGAACGGGGCCATTTGCTTCGATCTACTTCAACCTTTCCTCGTGCAACAATATCGTGAGTAGACCCTGACTCTAAACAGCTCGGATCTCAACTCATCACTGATCAGATTGGTTCTTGCTAGGTTAAAACGTGGTTAAAACGTGTGATTGAAACGTGTGATTGAAACGTGTGACCTTCGTTTCATTTCAATATAAAAAGCATTTCTTGGGAGTATTCCTATCCTCCCTTCGGAATTAACCACCGTCAACCTCAACACACGTCCAACATGTCGTCCACCGCAATCCCCAAGCGCGTTGCGCTCAATCGCAACCCCGCTACAGAGTCCTCCACGGTCAGCTCTGTCTCGGCCTCGCCATTTGACAGCCCTCGCCAGTCCCCCTCCTCCACCTCCCTGTCGTCCATGGGCTCCGAGCAGGAGGTCAAGTTGGTCGATACCTACGGCAACGAGTTCAAGATTCCCGATTACACCATCAAGCAGATCCGCGATGCCATTCCCGCTCACTGCTTCCACCGCTCCGCCGTCACCAGCTTGTACTATGTCTTCCGGGACCTAACCATCCTCGGCGCCATCTTCTACGTCTTCCACAACTATGTCACCCCCCAGACGATCCCCTTCCTGCCCGCTCGCGTGGTCCTCTGGACTCTGTACACCATCGTGCAGGGTCTCGTCGGCACCGGCGTGTGGGTTCTGGCTCACGAGTGCGGTCACCAGGCCTTCTCCCCCTCCAAGGTCCTGAACGACACCGTCGGCTGGATCTGCCACTCCATGCTGCTCGTCCCTTACTTCTCCTGGAAGATCTCCCACGGCAAGCACCACAAGGCCACTGGAAACATCGCCCGCGACATGGTCTTCGTCCCCAAGACCCGTGAACAGTTCGCCTCCCGCGTCGGAAAGACCCTGCACGAGCTCAGCGAGCTGTGCGAGGAGACCCCCATCCTGACTGCCGGAAACCTCCTCGCCCAGCAGCTCTTCGGCTGGCCTCTGTACCTGCTCAACAACGTCACCGGCCACAACAACCACTCCAAGCAGCACGAGGGCCGCGGTGTCGGCAAGGAAAACGGCTGGGGCGGCGGTGTCAACCACTTCTACCCCTCCAGCCCTCTGTACGAGGCCAAGGACGCTAAGCTCATTGTTCTGAGTGACCTCGGTCTCATCATCACCGCCTCCGCCCTGTACTACATCGGCACCAACTTCGGCTGGCTCAACCTGCTCGTCTGGTACGGTCTCCCCTACCTGTGGGTGAACCACTGGCTCGGTAAGTTTCCCAACGCTCAGTTTTTCTCGCAATACCTTTTTTTTTTCTTACTAACATCCCTCCCAGTCGCTATCACTTACCTCCAGCACACCGACCCCACCCTCCCTCACTACCAGCCCGAGGTTTGGAGCTTCGCCCGCGGCGCTGCTGCTACCATCGACCGTGACTTCGGTTTCGTTGGCCGCCACATCTTCCACGGTATCATCGAGACCCACGTGCTGCACCACTACGTCAGCAACATCCCCTTCTACAACGCCGACGAGGCCAGTGATGCCATCAAGGCCGTCATGGGCAACCACTACCGCACTGAGGCTCACACCGGCTGGACTGGTTTCTTCAAGGCCATGTGGACTGCCGCCCGTGTCTGCCAGTGGGTTGAGCCCAACGAGGGTGCCACCGGCGAGAGCGAGGGTGTTCTCTTCTACCGTAACACCAACGGTGTCGGTATCCCTCCTGCCAAGGTGGCTGGCAAGGCCCAATAGATATTGAGGCCTATGAATGTTCTGTTCGGCTCTCGGTTCTGATTTATGTTTTGTTTTTTTTTCCCTCGCATTGTTCTGATTTGATCTGAGCTTTGATGTCTTATGTTGTATATTTTGTCTGGATATACACAAGATCAACGTGTTTTGTTCTTGAAAGATTCGGCGGCAGTCATAGATGAAATTTCAGCCTCTTATGACTGTCTTCCTGTTATGTCTTTTTACCTTAGATCCTTAGATTCATTATCTTGTTTCTTTGGTGAGGGATTGAGCTCGTCAGAAGGATTTCGGGGAAAGAAAGAAAGGAACTTGATGAAAATGGGGAGAAAAGAGATGATTGTTAATTAAGAAATGTGTTCTCTCATCGTTGTCCATATATATGATTGTGGTTAATTTGAAGCGTCTTCTTTCCTTTTCCTTACCTCTATTCCTTAGCTATGACATAGATACTCGCACTCATATAAAAATTCCGAAGCAATTGATCGGTGTGTACGGAGTACGTATGTACATAGTGTGATTTTCGAAGATCCCGGCTTTGTTCGAGATACCCTAGAATATATAGGAGCGCTAGCCAAGGCCGGCTTCCACACCCACCAATTGCAGTCTATAGCGCCAAATATGTTGATCTGTTCCACGGCAGTTTTTTTCGAGTCACATGAATTCATCGCTCGCTTTGTTTCACCCTCTGAGCACAAGAACAGTATAATTATATGCAAGGGCCCGTAGATCATACACCTCAGCTCCTATCTTTCAATATCCTCACGATCTGCATTTCATACATACATGACGTCTATTATTTAGCCTTTTCGCTCTCGCTTTCGTTTAGATTGTTCATATCATTTCAGCTGTTCATATTATACAATAATCATTGTAGAAAAAAACTCATGCTGGGTATGTCATATATCATATATCATAGCTCTATTGCTGTTCTAGTTTGAGACGACCACATGCCAAGATGGTGTATCAATTCTCTAGAGTAGATCGCAGTCGAGACTTTCCAAACCGGACATTCTTTTGATAGGCAAGAATGAGGTGGGTTGTACGGAGTAGTTGGCATCAGACGAATCATTCACCACGATTCGTGCTTCGCAGCCCACCTTTCCAGATCTCAAACGCTATCTCGCCGCTTCTTCTACTTGGCTGGCCCTTTCGTGGCGTATCCTTCGGGCCCGCCGTCCACGGCGAGAACACAAGTTTCATAGTCCTCCGTGTAGTAGATTCAGAGCCCGGAGTAGGTTGGTTCTGTGGGTTAAAAACTCTATTCTTGAGATAAGGAGCAGGCATTGCTATCGAGTCTGGGTCTCGATAGGCGTTTGCATTTGCATTTCCTTCATTTTGGAACTGAGATGATTCCTGCGTAGACGAATATGCACATTCCTCCACTGGAACACATACAGCATGTGGTTCTTCCTTCTTCAATGCAATTCGACAGGCGATCTGCGTTGACCAGGAAAAGCCCAGCGCCGGATTCTTCGGAGACGCGCCATCCCCCCAGCCGGAGTAGAAGCGCTCCTGGTGAGCCACGTTCAACTTGCTACTGCGTGCCCGAGGAGCAATCAGGTACGAGCCGTCGAAGTTTTTATCGTGCGGGGCATGATATGGCGACGAAGAGATAGCAGAAGAGGGTGGGGCCTGCTGGCTTCCAGCTGACTGTTTAGTTCTGGATTTCGGGAGGGGTGAAGCTGTTTGACTCGGTATGGATGGAAACACTGTCCGCGGGGTTGGCGGCTCGCTCCTTTTTATAGCCTCGAAACGGTCGGAGACTTGGTTTGCAAGCACGATAGCGAGATCTTCCTTCACGGCGAGATTGCGCAGTAGATGGCCCAGTTTTGCGAGCTGGGATGACCGTTTGGTGCTCGATTGGATGCTGTTTGATGTGAATTCAGCGCGGTAATTGGATGTTACTGAATCGATGATGACTAGGCCGATGTCATAGCGTTCGATGGCGACAGGAAGATGGTAGTTCAATATATGATCTTGTGCCTCCAGGTCCATGGCGTTGATGGACAGGATATTCTCCAGCGAGGGCGCCTGCTCGGCGGGGAGTGCTGAGAGGACAGGATGACATTCTATGAGTTCTAAGAGTCGTGGCGTAGATAATGGGTGTTCGGTTGATATATACATAGCGCGCCGTCGTAACCCCTGTGGTTTGGGTAGCTGGACAGCTAGACAGAGGCTTAGAAGGAATTGGGTCTTCCCGCTTCCACTATTCACATGTCAGATTGACTTGCCTTGATAAGACCGAATAAACATTTGCGACATACCTCTCACCTGTAACTTCTGTCACATAGCCAGTAGGAATCCCACCTCCTAGGAGTACATCCATTGCGGGGTCAAGAGTACTTATAGTGTTCCATTGTGACGCGCGCTTCGTCGAGCCAATTGTCCTCACCACATCGGGGTTTATACTAGAGCTAGGCCCATCACCAGCCTCTGAATTTGTTTCTAGCTTCTCAAAGCCAATATCAGTGTGCAATGCCTCGACAATGCGGGAGGAGAGCCGGCGAACGTCTGCGGGAGGCACGCGGGCACGTTTGGCGATCTCGAGGGAGTCGAGGGTGATCACGTCGACGGTGGTGACTTTAGCTCGTTCGAGCGGAGGGAGGATGTGTGCGAAGGGTTTTGTTACAAAGCCAGGTAGGACGGATAGAAGATCCATAGAAGCGCAGTCAATACGGGAGTTGATGTTGCGATACCTAGATTGTTCAGGCATCTAGGCATTAAATCGGGGAAAATAATAAGCCGCGATTGGTCGATTTCGAACCTGCGACGTTCACGAGTGGATATTGGCACGTGACCTCTTAATATCATAGGCCAATAAAAACAGAGTCAATAATATCCACACCGTATAGCCTCAATTTAGAACATCGAAGGGCCAAAAAAATTGTTGCTTCTCTTTGATTAAGCGTGTCATCCTTAGTGTAGGGGCCATGCTAATCTTCTCTGTATATTTTCATTTCATACGCCCCGAAGGGCGAAATGCTTAGTTGTAGAGTTCATTATAACCTCACTTTTTGGCAGAATCACACCGCTTATCTGTATATAATAGACTGGTCAACTAGTTAGGTAGGGTCTGAAACCATAGCGGTGCTGTTGATGCAACCAGATAGGGCCCTGCTCGGGTTACTGTTAACAGGTTTCCGGGGTTATTATCTAGCCCACAGTTCACTCTACGTTCCAGATCTGTTAAGGCAAAAATTGTAGGAGAAGGCAAACAGAGACTGCATAGGCTTAACAGCAAGGAAGCAGCAAGGAAGGGTACATTATGTTGTATTCAGTGAGGTAATTTTTGGACATGTAAAAAGATGCCTCCTTGATCGCAAAAATTCCTTTGAGGTTGGAGTCTATCAAACTGTTCTGAATAACTAAGCTACCTTGGACCTCCAGGGCTGTGTTGATTGATGTGACGTTCAGCAGAAGTTGAATCGTATCGTCTGAACAGCCAATGTCTCTATGATAGGTGTATAATTTGTGCGTGCATACTTCCGTATATCATCTAACAAAAATAACAGCCCCGGATGATTTCCGTCCTAATCTCTTGATCAAGTATGGGTACCTATATCGGGTTTCCTAGTTAGGAAGGTCATAGAAGCTCAATGGCCCCCAAGCACATATTACGGAGTAGAAGCGCAGAGGGGCCTTACAGATAAAACCGTGCTATATGGATACATATCCCCTGGAGTTGGTTAATTAATATACACAAAATCCATATTATTCACATGCCTTCCATAACAGTGAACTGATATCCCGTGTATTATACATTTACGGAGTACTCTTGCTACAAGGATAAAATGTAATACATGTTATGGAACCTGATTGTACCATAATTAGTGTGTACGGAGTACAAAGCCGGTACCTTTGACATGCTGCATCGTTCTGCATCGGGTAGGTGGATTAAATGTGACTTGGATGGTTTCGAATCCTCCAGGGCCGGTGCATCCGTGCCAAATAAGGGTTTAACAACTCAAAATAATTATTGCAAGTTTTGATTAATTATTTTGTTCAATGGGTTGTTCGCGGTTTTTTGGGCAGATATGTTATTGTATGGAGTATGAGGCACGGAGCACGCTATTGTGGACTAAAGTTGACAGATCATACGTCTATCTGCGATCTACAATGTATATCTATGGATGTATTTTAGGTCCACGAAGTACTATCTATCGTCATCATGACCCTTACTATGTTGTTCGTCGCGTGGGAAAATTAAATTGTTTCATCAATATTGGGGGGCTTGGTCTAGTTCGTGGCTAAGGATCGACCTGATATATATATATCTCTTCCACGTGGAAATGGAAGAAATATCGAATTGGCGGTCTATTTTGAAGTGCAATCTCAAGGGAAAAGATAAAGTGATATATCATATTATCGTAGCCCAAGGGCATTGAACATAGATTCCGAGCCGTCCCAGGGACCTGGACAACCTACCATCGATCGGGATTTGGCGGTGGATCCTCGTGTCTACCCGGACGCTGCATATCGGGCATATTTTGTATGTATTGTATGTGACGATCTGCGTGTCTTTTGCTGTGCAGATCACAGCCAAGATTAGGTGTGGCTGGTTTCTTTTTTTTCTTTTTCCCTCAAAAGCATCACGGGAGACAACCTGTTGTTTTATGAAACAATTACAGCCATAGTTTATAAGAAGCATCTCTATAGCTCTCCTACTGAAAGTCGTAAAATATAACAGAATAGCCCTTAATTTATAAGTCGGGGTTATGATTGCAGAGTGGAAAAGCCTCGGTTCATCCTGGTACTATCGTGTCACACATAAATAAAAGCAAAGGGTATCGGGGTGTCTACGGAGTACAAGATACAAGACCATGACAGCACCTGCAGAAAGGAGAAAGTATATATTATGTTTTTTTGGCATCCTTCGATCCACTTAGCAGCCACTTACATGATAAGACGCTTCTGTTGTCAATGCCGATCGAGGCAACAATCTAAATGTGAAGACAGGACCAGACTAGTAATTATAGACCACTTCGACAGGTGTCGCTCGGAGCTGAGCTGAATATTACAAGTTCTTGACAATTTAGTAGGGGGTACAGAGCATAAATTCACATGATCTAGTTCAAAGAAGGGGATCAATTGTGTGGATGTCTGTTGTTCTACGGAGTATGTTTGTATGAAGTACACACCTGCGTATGTCCATGTGGGTGCAAGAGACACTTTCTAAAATTATTGAACTTGTGCACATATTTCATTTGTCTTAGGGAGGATACCTACTTCTGGGGCCATTTGTAATATCCCTCTACGAAGGGAACGTGGAATACAATGGAGTAACAGCCAAGAGCCCGATAAGCGCTAACGAAATTTCTGCAATATAATGAATCCTTCTAGAATATCAAAGCGTTGAATCAGGACAATACTTATAACCTTCGGGGGCTGGAATCCTTCAAGGATCGGGATTTGGATAATGCCATTGTATATACTCTATCCATTGTATATACTCTATACTCCGTAACGAAGAGTACTTTTGTCCTCCGTAGTCACCTTTCCTTCTCAGATTTCTCCATACTTCGAAACTATCATCGCCATTGTATTAATCATGTAGATTATTGCCCAGTGGCTGTGTTCGCATTGAGTCGTGATCCCGACCCCTGCAACACATGGCTTAGTGGGGGGTTGAAGCTTTGACGAAGCTTGGACCGAGTACGACACACGTACAAAGTACGGACCAAGAAACAGTGAAACATAATAAATGAAAAATAAATCCAGGAGCACATCACTTCGGCTCGGTACTCCGTACCGCGGAACTCCTTGTGGCGCCAAAGATCGTCCGTCTGCACAAATATGCCGAGTCTAACACAACTTGCATTATCACTTGGAATATCATGTACAATATACTCCGTAGGTTTGTTGGTCTAGTCACGCGCAAGTGGGCCAATAATATTCTGAGTCAGACCGATCGGCTATTCAGAGCTAATGCAGTAGTTGTGCATGGCCCGACTTCCCCGGTACTAAAGAACAAGGAAGATCAGTAATTGAATATAAATTACTCCACCTGGAGTCTGAAGAATTTCGGAATATAATATGTATCATCTTCCATACACACTCTGTACACATTGAGAGAAAATGATATTCCAGTCTACCAGTACACATTAAAAGAGCCGTTAGACCCAGCCTGGTTGGGAATTCCTAGATCCTGTACTGTGTATGCAATTAAATTTGCAGCCCCTGAAATGGGGTACGGAGTACCCTGTAGCTTTTCTCAAAATTGGTTTTATTCGGTCTGTTCAACGCGGTCTTAGAATAAAACACTAGGAGTCGGTAAATGAGCCTACAATAATTAATGGGGCGGTAGCTTGTTCGGTGCGGACCGTGTGGGGGGTGTAACATGGATGCCAGTCGGGTACCTAGGTAGAGCAAAAAGAATATCCTTATAATGGTATGAAGATCTAAATCGGGGTTGATACACGACATGAGATTCATATCCACAGGGGAGTCAGATGGATAATACCAAGGAACAACTGCCATGACTTCCAATATTTGCCTAAGTGGGACGCTGTATTTCGTATATCGTACCCTGTACTCTTAACATTCTTAACACATTCTCCATATTCGGTACTTCATATGAGGCGTTTCAACAAACCGAAAGAAGAAAAAAAAAAGCACAGAGTAATCTGCATGCATGTAGTATAACTTATCTACCTAGCAGAAGCAAACTAGAATATCAGGGTTCTCACAACAGAGGCATTCGGCAACAGGGAGGATTTGCAATCAAAATTCATCATCACACTGTGTACTCCGTACTCCGGACACATATTGAATTAACAACTGGCAGCCGGGGTGACTCCTGCCGAAGCCCGTCTAGTTACGGGAGAGTTACGGTAGATGCTTACTAGAGACATCGCTTATTGGCCTGGTGGAGTCAGCCAAGCCATCTGGACAGGCTATGAGAGGGGATCGGTGGATCGATGGAGTCTGGCTTGATTGTGGAAGCGAATCACTGTCCTTTTTACGGTTAATAATCAGAACTCCGGATCTTTACCTGGACACCGTTCTTGATCGGGAGATTCGAAGTTCCGGGTTCCTTTTTTTTTTTTCATGTTCAATGTTCCGGGGGTTCTAGTCTTGTAACGAGGATACACTGTATTAAAGCTTATTGGAATTTATTATATTAAGGTACATATTATACTCATTATATATTTGGACTATAAAACAGTACCGTCTATAAGATCTATAAGAGTCGATAATATAAGCATAGAAGATTATGGAGACCAGGAAAAATAAAGAGACACCGATCCGTTGGACTGGGTGCCGGAACCCTGGAACCCAGAAATTATAGACGCCGGGTAACGTGGAGGTGGAAAATAAATACCAATGGCTTACTAGAAAAAGCAAATAGATCTACATATGCGTGTGTCTCTTAACGCATAGTCGATACATAATATTCCATATTTTAGATCTAAATTTACGTGTATATTCTTACTGTTATGTCATTACATTGAGGTATTATTCAAAGCGTACAAGAATCGTCAATTTGACCCTTGATACTTGGTAGATTAATATACTTCTATGCCCATATCTAGGATATATACTCTGTGGCTATGTTATACAATAATTATCTCTTTTTTTAAAAAGAAAAAAAGGGATTCTAGAGACATTATAGACATTATAGACATTAGAGACATTAAAAAACAAGGCAGCCATACCACATAGTACAGGGTCTGGACGGGGTACTTTCAATCATACCGCAATTACCATAGGCGTACGGAGTACCCAACTCTCGGGGTCTGGTCTACTAGTGTCACCAACTCTCTCTCAGTCCCCTCTCTTTTCTCTACTCTCCTCTCTCTCTCGAGGAAGTTCATTTTCCTGAATTAATCGATTATTTCTCAATATCTTTATGTGTGGGGTTTTATTGATTTAACTACCTCGAAAGTCTTGCTAGCGGCCTATGTGGGGGTACTAGGGGAGAAGAAGGTCATATCCTATCAAAATAAATCAGCGCAACTCCCCCGGCGCCCCATTGATTCCAAATTGTGCGTTGGATTCCGTGGATATATGACGAACCCTCCGACCGCGCGATCCACCTTTGCTGATATTGCGACCGGCAGAATACCTGGGAATACGAGCATCAATCCACAGAAATGGCGAGCAGAGCACCCATCATGCCGCCTCATAATGAGACTGAGCACTCAGTCAGCCGGATCACCCGTGAAGGCAAACAACTCACATACAAATTGAGTGTGATGCAACAACCAGAGCGGGCAAGAGCATGTGGTGCAGGTGCAAAGTGTGAGCATTTGCTGTTGGGCTTAATCAGGGCTGCGCATTGACTGACTGTCGCAAATAGCATCTGCCGACCGTCGTCCTGTTGACCCACCGCCTGTGGTTGAGCTCCGCATCTTCGAATCCGACCCGGCCAACGATGCCCAAAAGACCGATATCACCTTCGCCTACAATGCCAATTTCTTCCTCTATGCAACCCTTGATACTGCGCGCCCTATCGCCCACGGGCGGGTGGGTGGACCACAATCGTGCCCCGTATTAACTGGCGTGCCAGTCGCCGGTGTTGCATATCTTGACCGTCCTTCGCAAGCGGGCTATTTCATCTTCCCAGATCTGTCAGTGCGTCATGAGGGCCGGTACCGCTTGAACTTCCACCTGTACGAAGAGATCAAGGACGCCAAGGATGCCGACAAGGATTCAACTCTGCCTCTTCCCAACCAGATCACTACACCGAATCCTGGCACCCCGCAAGCATTTCTTCATTTCCGTCTCGAGGTCAAGTCGGTACCGTTCACAGTTTATAGCGCCAAGAAGTTCCCTGGCCTGGCGACGAGCACCTCCCTGAGTCGTATCATTGCCGAGCAGGGTTGCCGTGTTCGAATTCGTCGTGATGTCCGCATGAGACGCCGCGGCGAGAAGCGAGATGAGGACTATGAGTTCGACGAGGAACGTGCGGCTGCATATGCAAGATCGTCAGATCGTTTCGCGACACCCGACAGATACGCAGCTTCAATGGATCGTCCTAGGTCAAACAGCAATGGCAGCAATATAGAATCTCCCTATGGGTTTGTTCCCCCAGATCGACGACCATCTGCACCGGACTATGGCTTCCAGTGCCCACAACCCTACCAAAGACCCATGCCACCTGCACCCCTGTCACACTCCCAAACACCCTCATACCAATCACATCTTTCATTTGGTTCCACGCCTTCACATTATCCGGCTCCTCACATGCCCCCTACACCCCCACCGGTTGCACCGCAAGGTGTCTACTCCCCACAACACGCATATGCCCAAATACGACACCCATCCAACTCGTCCGAATATGAAGGAACGCCCATTGCGTATCCCATGGCCCCTCAACCACCTGCCGAACGAGGTGGTTATCCCAAGTCTGCTGTGAATTCATATCGCATGGAGCCACCGAAACTAAACTCATACATGGATCCTCGCATGGCTGAACCAGGTGCATACCAACCTATGCCCCATGCTCCGGTGCCACGTCCTCAAACACCGAAGGCCCAGTCCAATCCGCCTCTTATGCCCCTGCCAAGTGAATATGGCAACCAGATTATTCCTTCTGTGGAAGCCACTTCACCAGGAGGTGGCGGCGGATACGACAATGTTCGAGGGAAGCGTATGGTGTACCAAACTGGACCAGCATACGGAAAAAGGAATCATGAAGATACTTTCGGCATAGATGACCGGCCAATGCAGAACGGCATGCGGCCTGATACAGAGCCTTACCCGAGCGCTTATCGCGACTTCTCAGGGGAAAGTCGCGCTTCACTCATGGCTGAAATGGGTATTCAGATGGCATATAAGCGTGCCAATGGCAAAATGGTCATGAAAGCTCCCCCGACCACTTAATAAGATCTGAAATGGACTGGATTCCTGTGATGGTACTTGATTGGGTTTTGTTTTTACATTTGATTCCTCATTGAGCGCTAGATTTCTTGATGCATTTGGACTCATTCCTTCGGGAACTGGTTACTTCTTTCATGTTTCCACTATTAGGAATCTCTTTTGTCGAGGCTCGGAGCTATATAGGAGTTTGGCGACTTTCTATTGTTTCTTCCAGCCTCAAGGATCATTTATTGTTGTCACATCCATTTCTGGTACTTGCATCATTCTCAAACTGCCTCATGCTCCATCAAGAGCAAGGCGGGTCGTTCCCTTCATCCCATGGTACCTGAATAGGGAATGTCATCCCTATCTCGAATCCAGCTGGGATCTTTTTCAGAATTTCCTTTGTATTGATATCCATGGATATTATGGATGCTCTTAGAGCATACATACACTTCCCAAACACACAAGAGCTGGTCTCATTATGACATTGCATTGGAGACGTTGTGATACTGGGTTCCTTGCTTCTCATCCCTGAACCCTGCTTAATCTACTCTATATACTGGCGTTGTGGCTTCTCCTTGATACCCGCAATCTAAAAGTTGCACAAATTTACCATCAGAATGCATGTATCCGTATTTTTGTAGCCAAGGATTATCCTATACATATCTCCTCATAGATTGGACATGTCATATCTACATATACACCGGATTTTAGGCCGAGCGAGATGACTTTCCTTTCCGTTTTAGTGCTTACCCTAGCCGCTTTTGCTCACTGAGTAAAACTGAGCACCCGTGGACGCCCCTGAGTATTATATAATTATCAGAATCGCTCACTGAGCATCATGGGTGTTGATCCCTGCATTAAGCGCTGTCGCATAACTACCCTTGAGTACACTGAGTAATCACCCTGTGCTGTGGAATACTCAGTGAACAGGACCCTGAGCCCCCTCATAAAGCGGCGGCACCCCGATCGGGAAATTCGCATCCGCGGCCTAAAATCCGGTACATACAGCTACATATGTACATTCCTTATCGAATACCAGCACATGGAATTCTCCATCGAGTTCAGATTTTATAGATTAAACATATTTGTATCCATAATGTTCAATGTTTGTTTGGGGATATGGCACATTCTGATGATGTAATGGGTACTTTGTAAACCATGGTAAGTTTGCGGTAGACGTGGGTACCTGGTACCATAACAAACTTCCTCCCTTGGCAAGTGCGGAGTATGTAAACAAACCTGCGCAACAGTTTTGCTCGAGTCTCCCGAGATTTTAGTTTCGATTTTTCACTTCTTTGTTTCATTTCCTCCCTTTTAGCGCTCCAAACACTACAATTCTATGCCAAATTCCGACTGACTTTTGCGATATCCTTTCAAGGGCGTGGGGAGAAAGGATAACCCAAGCTGCAAAGGTAAGGTCCCTTGCCATAATCCCCATGGAAGGGATCTCAAAGCCTGCATAAGAGAGATCAAATCTAACTTCCCTGCGTTATTTCAGCGCCCGCGACTCCAAAATGGAAATGGACATCGACCCGAGCCCCGCACACCAGCGCTCCTCGCGCAAGCACCTACGCTCTAGCGACGACGAGAGCTACGATTGGAGCTCAGACGTCTCTGGACAATTCGACGACGCCGAAGAAGCGCACGATGAGCACCGATCGTCCGCAGTAAAGGCGACCAAGCGACGTCGCTCGAATGACTGGCCATTGCCCGAAGAAGCTGCTGATTATGGAGCCCACGATCGCCGCACCCAGCGCGGTGAAAATGGGAGTCTCGGCGTGGGCGGAAATGGGCCAGGATACAGGGCTTCGCCGCGCGCTTCACCTCGAGGTTCGCTTGCTTCGCTGCGCGCTCGCCATGCCGCGGCATCTGCTTCTAGAGGTCGGACATCGCGATTCGTCGAAGCGACTATGAGTGACAGTGTCAGCGAGCAACCGCCCAGTATCTACTTCCAGGAGCAGGAAAGCAAACACCCTAGCCTTCACCACCGTGCATCTGGTATCTTCCGTTTTGGGAAGGCTATAGCCTCGGCGTTCAATCCCTTCGGTGGGTGGGGGAGGAGCTTGGAGGGGTCGCCCAATAAATCGCCGCAGAAGGATGTCATCAACCGAGCGGAGGAGGCCTATGCGGAATTGAAGAAGGCTGGCTATCAGGGTACGAACAAAGGTCATTACACTGACCATCTTCGTGTCAACACTACCCACACCGACCAGACCTGGCAGTCTACTCGGCACAAGATGGAACATACTTCTCCAGTCAAAGATCTACATCGCCAGTCAATTGATCAAGGAAACCATCTTCCACCCTCACGCTCTGAGTCCTCAGCTTCTAAACGCTCTTCACTTCAAGATCTTTGCCTGCCAAAGTCATTCTTCCATAAATCACATGGATCGCCATCTGCTCCCCTAGCAGTGTATTGCGATGTAACTTCTGATGAATACGAGCCGGCTGGACTGCGCAAGCAACCCTCCCGCAGAGAGATCTCGCGCCAAACCAAATTGATCAAGAAAGTAAGCAACCTCGAGGACAAGCTGCAACGTGCCCGGCGGGAGCTTCGTGACCTCACAGGCAACGAGGAACGGACCCCAGCACCTACAACTCAGCCAAAGACAAATACCGAAATAGATCCCGCATCGTTCCCAAGGAAGTTCGTCCCTGGTGCCCTTCCCACTCTGCCGTCGGAAAGACTCCTGGATCAACAGACTGCAAAAGACGACCCGTCTGAATGCGAAGCGGACAACCTGACGGCCTTACCATCAATGGAAGACCGTGGGACTTTCTCCTTCGAAGAATCACGGCTGCCTCAAACCCCGACTAAGCTCCAGAGTCCAAAATGGCGCTCAAAAGGGCCACAGTCATCGTCAATGGGTAAGGACCGCTCTTCCCGTAAAAGGAAGTCTTCCAATCCTGAATCTTTCGATAGTGGGGGCCCTCCTCAGCCCAATCCGACGGAAGGCATCCATGATGACCGACGCGAGGATCTGATTGACTCCGGTCTACTTAGCCCACCCGGAAAAGCGAAATGGCATAAATCCGAAGCCGGCGAGAGCCCCGGCTCAGCCAAGCGCAAACAAGCAATCGACCACACAGCTCCCTCCCCCGAGCACGAAGAAAAGGATGCAGGAGGAAATACAAGTGCCACGCACAACATCAAAAGGTCCCCCTACGTTCAACCCCGAAAAGTCTCCGGAACAACCCGCTCACCAACTTCCAAGCCCACAACCCCTCTCCGCATGAAAAAGGGCCGAACAAACCTACGCCCGGCGACGTCACCCGCCGCTGCCTCAGACAGCGATTCCCGCTCCAGTATCTGGGCTACGCCTCTGCCTGCGCCACGAAGTGAATCACACCGCGAATCCTTCTACCACCACCCACAGCGCCAGCTCAATCCTGATCGTAGCCCTCGTACCCCGACACGATCGAAGACGGGTCCTACTCGGAGACGCTCGGGGTATCTCTTTGACGACGAGATTCCGCCCGTGCCGCCCCTCCCTGAGGAACTTCGCTCTAGTGCAGCCAAGGTCAATGTTGTGAATAGGTCGCCTAAAAAGAGACCTAGTTCTGCGCCAGTGCTTTCGCCGTCCTCGGCTTCCGGTGTTGAGTCGGTGATTTCCGGCCTTGAGGATTATCAGTGGCCTGAGGATATTTTCTGATGGTTTTGGTTACGTTTGTTTTCTTATGAGGAATGATGTTTATGAGGTTTTTTTATGTTAGTAGTCAGGTTTTAGCATAGCTGTGCGAGGTGTGTATTTCATTGGGTTTCTTTTTGATTGGTTGTTGTTGGTCGATGGGATGTAACGAAGTAATGAATTCAAATGTTTTTATACCCTTGCTTAACCTCAAGCTGAACGCGCGTTTCATGATGTTGATATGGCGAATACAATAGAGAGACTTTGGCTAATTAAACATCTCTGTCAGTTCTCGGAGACACTGTAACTCCCCGAACAAGCAGCATATACTCTGAAAGCGTCATCACATGCTCCTAGGAAGCTAATAATAGCCATCAGGAACACAGTCCGAGTCCCCTCAAACACTCTGTATATAGTGGCCTATAACATTCATCCAACACAACGATAATACATGATCTCTTAGTCCAACAATCCATACACAGATGCAAAATAAAATACACGAAGTTCATATCTTCAACATCCATGCTATGCCAATTTCCCGTCCAATTAAAGACCTTAAAGCGCCGCCATTAACGCAGCTCCTGCAACGGCTAACATACCGCCTGGCATATAAGTCGGCATAGCTGCTAGTCCCGTCGATGTTGACGCCGCTACTGTTGGTAGCAGCGGGTACGGTAAAATAGACGTCGGGAAATCTCCCTCTGCATCCGGGATATCTGGGCCGTCTCCAATCTCCAGAATTTCGTCTGGGCCAGGATTCTCATTCAAGGGAGCCACTCCGACAAAACCACTGTTGTAGTTGAGGGCAATGTACATGCGATGTGAAAAAGGGATACCGATGGTACCTGCGTAGGGTGCGTCTTCGTCTGACGACTCTATGTAGAATCGACAGAGGTTCCGAGTAGGGTCCCGATAACCGATGAGCTCACTCCAGGGCACAGAGAATGTAGCGTTTCCGGAACTGAGAGAAATAGTGTGGTTTTCGGTAAGCCGGGTGCAATCCACTACAGGGCCGTTTTTCTCCATGGTGATGTTATAGTCCTTATATATCTGTTGGATTACACTGTCGGGAAGGGTCGTGGTGATGTATCGAGTGCTCAGTATGAATGGCTTGGAACTCGGGAACGTATAAGTTGTTGGTTCCTTCGAGTCTGACTGTATTTGAAATCCCGACAGAGGGAGGGTCACGACCTCGGATGTCTTGTTAAAGGGAAATGCCTGTAATGGCCCATGATACTTCGCCTTATTGACTCCACCAAAAAGTAAACCCGCTCCTCCATCTGAGGATGCATTTCCCCATACGCTGAACGAGGGGGAGCGAATCAAGCCTCGATCGACTAGCTGATAGGGAAATGACTCATTGTTCGGAGATAGACCCATTATGTTAGCTGTTGAATTGTATTAGTTCGATCAGAACTCCAGATACACGAGTATACATACCGTTTCCTACGATAAATTCAGTGTTTAATTTGACATCCTTCACTTGTGTCTCTCCCATAGTGACAATGTCAGTGGTCACATCGAAGGTATATGACCATTTCCGTTTACTTTCGTCTATTGTAGAGTTGGCGCTGGACGATTGGCTCAGATTGTATGCCCCATACAGGCGGCAATATGAGTCTTCCTGGCAGTTGTCGCCTTCCAAGGGAGTTCCCAGAACGACGGTAAACTCGTTGTGCTCGATGTCGACCAATATGGCCAAGGGTTGCGGCGGTGTTCCAGTCGAGACATTGGCAAACCATTCCAACTGTATATATATTAGAATTCAATACTTATCGGACGGTAAGCCCTGATGAACATACAGTGTTTCCTATCGTGGTTTGTATAGTGGTAGTGTCTCTTGCTTTCAGTAGACGAGATATTGTTTGATGGGGATATAGATCCATGCCAACAACGGCAGGTACGTCACGCTTCACAAGGGGAAATGTGTGGTCACTGGCACCGACACCGGCACATGCCCACGACCATACCCATAGAGCAATGAGTGACTGGCGCATTGTAGAGTACTGACTGAATATTTTAATAATATTAGTATTTCTGTAAGATATTGTATCGTTATGTATGTTTAGGGAACAGAAGTTATATAAGGTAAAGGCAACCGGGGCGGAAATTAGGGCTAAGCCAGCTCGTATCAATTGCAATTTCGGGGCGTTACTTGGCTGGCCGGTTCTCAGCCTTGCAGGGAGCCAAGACATTGCCTTGGCATTAATCAAGGCCAATTACATGATGCCCTTCGTCCCCGTGATGAAAGCACTAGTTCCTAGGATCCCAGGAATAGCATGATTCTTGAGTACACGGCAAGGTGGATTAAAAGGAACTCAGTCAATATAATAATAGTAATCATTACCGTTGAGTAGTGTGTAGTTTTTCTTTGTTGTACAGAACGGCCAAGATATCCGTTCAAACTAGCAACTCTCATGTATTGTCTTCTAGATACAGCCTCCTTCATCCTCTCGAAGCCCTCAGAGAGCATCTTGATCTTTATACAGGATTTTATGCCTCCAGACTCTCTCCCAGGAACAATAGAGCCGAGCCCCCGTTGTGTACCATAAGTCTCAGTTTTATAAATCCCTCAATCCTGATGCAAGGCAGTAGCCTTGGGTAGGATTAACCAGCTCGCACCAGCCGCGCCAAGCAAACCAACAAGCATGGGCTGCAGGACCTGAACACCAACTTTTCCTGCAATGATGCCCGTCAAAGCGGGAAAGACCGAGCCGCCGATTTGACCCAGTACGAAGACGAACGCTAGACGGATTAGAGTTAGGATATAAATTTGCGGCTCCGCGGATTCTCAGGCTGTGGGGTTAGCTTACCGATTGCGGAAGAGCGGATCTCCGGTGAGAAGATCTTTGAGCCGACCGATATACCCTAAGTTAGAGGTTAGAGTTGGGACCAGGAAAATAGAACGGGGTGTACTTGCTGTTGCGAAGAAAGGACCTGAGAAGAATCCCAATAGACTGACTGCCACTGCCTCGGTGATGATATTTGGGACACTAGTAAACCACGAGTACAAATTAGTAAAGATAATGTAAGATACCCGGGCTTATAGATGGTATCTTGGAGGTGTCAAACTCACAGCCAGAATACCAATTGCAAACCAACACACAACAAAGCATAAATGAAGATCATTCGGCGCTCGCCAAGTCTATGCGTAGGCTCGGCGAGGATAAGACGTCCCAGAAAGGCGCCACCGTAGAAGCCGGCTGGGACATAACCCATGTCTTTGACGTCGCCGTTACGGACGTTGACAAGGTACTCGACCATCCAGCCTGCCAGTATTATCATCAGTTTCATAAGCCACGTAGAGAAAATAGCGAATACAAACCTCCAGCCGTAATACTAGCACCAAGAAAAAAAAGAAAAACAAGCTGAGCAGCCAAACCCCAGGAGTAGAAAGCGTATCCTTAATTTCCTTGAGCGCAGACTTCGAACCATCCCTACCCCCACTCTCCCTCCTCAAACGTGCCGGAAGTGCCATACGATCCCGGAAAGAAACACCCACAAACGCAAGATTCATCACGCCAACTCCAAGCGGGAAAAGATAAAACAGGTACCACTTCGAATCGGCATTCGCCGACGCCACACCCGTTGCTACAAACGGGCCAACAAGACACCCGGCCATGTACATAGCATGTATAAAGCCGAGCCATCTATGCGCGCCGTTCAGCGCCGAGACGAAGGTATTGGCGTGGGTGTCGTTATAGGCTTGACCCAAGCTGGCGAAGAAGAATGTTACCGCGTACAGTGCGAATGGGGGTTCCCAGACGCGCAGCACTTGGGCTAGGACTTGGATGGCGGCGCCTAGGCTGAGGATTGGGCCCAGGTCTAGGTTTTGGATTATTTTGCCATTGGTCAGGGCAGCGACTAGCCAGCCGAAGAAGGTTGTGCCGTATCTGGTGGCGTTAGTATTGTTTGTAGATAATTATTTTTGGTCTGGTCCGGACCTACAGGACGGCTACCATGTCTGTGTCGATGTTGTAGGTGCGTAGCACGTAGGGAATTAGTGATCCTAGACTTCCGTCGTTGACCCCCGCGACGAAAAATGATAAGCCTGCGCTAAGGATTTTGGCATACATCCATTTTGGTTGTGGGGGCCCTGAGTCTTGTGATGTTTCATTTTCGGCTGGAATGGCTTCGGTGGAAGCTCTTGTTTGTAGCACGATTGTCTCTGTTTGCGTCAGGGTGCTCATGGTGAAATGGAATATGGGACTCCAGTCTTTGGATAAGAGTAAGACTGGAAGACGGAAGTACAATTTTCTCTTAAAGCCAACAGGAAACGGCAATTCGGCCCGGGATTGCGTAGTTCAAGTAGAAGAAGTTCAATATCGAAATGGGAGCGGCCCAAACGTGGAGAAATGCGGAGTCACCCAGTCTTGGCCCGAGGTTTAACCGAGCCCCATGGCGGGAGATAGGTCATATAGTATTACACTGCTCAGCTCAAAGGGGACTTGAGAGAGTCATGAAGAGGCTATAAACTCTGATACATATATCTCTATTAGTCCTTTCGTTAGATAATGAAAGGGGCACAGTATTAAATATATACTTGAACAATGCACTTGATATAGATGGTTATATTTCACATCCTTCATGAAAGATAGAGCTAATCTACCTTCAACAGCTGGATAGTAGGACTGGCCCGAAGCAGGGTTGCATCGGAAGCCCCACTTGAAGCACTTAAAATAATACCATCTAAAGAATAGCAGTGGCATTCGCATGGGTACCAACTCCACCTATCAACTCATTAGCATAGCCCATAGATCCAGCCCACAATGAAGATACATACCAGGCATATTGGCCGGAGAACTAGTCATAAAGAAAGTCCACTTTGCCCTCGCCCGACACTTCTGAGCGAGCTTTTCCAAATCCCACATCTCGCCAATAGGAACACCCCACAGCGGCAGCAAGCTCTCATGCAAAAAGGTCTCGTGTTCAGGAACCGGCCACGCCTCGAACGTCGGCGAGTCACCCGCCACAGCCGCAAAATAGCAATCATGCAACCAGTCCCGGAGAGCCGGCTCGCGCGAGAGTCCCGCAAAGCACAGATCTTCGTGGGGCGCTGCCCCAGCTGCATACCGCTGCTCAGGACTCATCTCGTAGTATCGCTCCACGAAGCCGGAGCGTATGAGGAGGATGTCTCCGATGCGGACGTCGCCGCTTTCGGACTCCGGGCGGAGATCTAGGCCCTGCGAGGCCGCACATGCTTGTAGCTCCGACATGGTGATGCTGTGTGTTGTGTAGGGGTCGTAGGCTATGTTGTGTGTTTTGGCATAGTGGCGGTAGTCAAGGAGGATTCCTCGACCGGCGATTCCGTGAATTGCCAAATGGTGGATGCTGCAGCGGTTGTTCGCGGTCTCGCCTACGAAGTCGCTGCCTTTGGCCTAGGCGTTGATGAATTAGTTTTTGGAAATAGAGAAGGGAAGTTGATACATACCCCATTATAGAAACACTTACTATCAATGTGGGCGAACTACCGATGTATTAGACCAGGATGGTAGCTTTTAGAGTGAAGAATCACTTACATGCCTGAATCCATCCCACTGTGTACCACTCTGCGTGTTCATAGAGTAAGTATCGTCATAAACAACGCCCTCAAGAAGTGTTTTGATGCTATGCTGGAAAACCTCGCGGCCAAAAGCCGGCTTCTCAGGGACGTTGAGAGGAAGACTTCATATTGATGCTTGTAAGCAGCTATTTGGATGCAGCGCAATCTTATAGTCTTTTCAACTTACTCCAGTCGCACCATCTCGCCAGTCTCGATCTCAGCAGTAGATGCCTTGACCCGCTGCGGCGTCAAGAGGTTTAATCTGCCAACCTGTACACCAGACAGATTAACCCTATAAGAACAGAATATATAGGACATAGCAACACCATACCTCATCATTTTTGCCCCAGACCCAAGCAGCACCGTCGGGCGCGCCTGGAATATTTGGAAGTTCCTTCTGCGAAGGGAACTTGGTGTTGTTAGGGTTCCAGGGTAACTGATTGGCAACCTGAGTAGTGGACGACATAGGATTATCTTCAAGCTGAGTCGATACGGCAGAAAGTCTAAGAAAACTGTGGGATGACATGGAAAAGTACTGGATATAAAAATCAAGGAATCAGGTATTTAACCCTCAAACTCTCTTGCGTAACACAGTGACTGCACTAAAAAGATACCTTATACATATGTCCTAATTTATAGTGGTAACAAGGGCATTTGAGGATATTGAAAATTTTTGAACTATTCTTATTTAAATGGCATACCCGCGGATCGAGATGCCTCGGGGATTAAGAAGTGTATAGTCCGAGGTAAAGATATAATCTATAGAGTTGGTCAATCCACAAGATATGCGGAGAGAGCAACTTCCCCGCAGTTGATCAATACTACTAGGTACATATTATGTACAGGCTCATAGGGCTTGATAAGAGCTAAAGGCTGCGAATCACAGTCACGGAGTATGTAGTATTTACATGGAACTACAAGGGAAGAAACAGATTCGTAGGCCATTCGGCCTCGTTTTTTTGACTTTTTCATTTAGGTCAATGAGGGAAATTCCCAATATGGTTTACACATAATCACGATCTCCTCTATGCGAAGCACCAGAGATCGTTGTGCATTGACCACTTTCTGCGCAGTGAAAACATGAGAAGGAAATTTCCACCGGATCCAGGAATTTCAGAAGACGCTGCAGAAAGGGTATGCGTGGCAGATGAAAAGGAAAAAAAGATAACAATAAACACAAAGAAACACCCATAATTGCTGTTGTAGAAAGTATCAAGTATCGTATGGGCAACCCAGTATGCCCCCAGCCCCAGTTTGCCATTGCGCCGAAGAGACGAGAAAAGATTCAAGCGTGATTATTCGTTTCAGTCATAGTCTTGCCACCCCAAATATGAAAACAAGATAGCAATCATCGCTAGAAGGACATGTGATCAAAAGAAATCTCGACTAACCCTGGGATGGGACACCTGTAGACTCCGAAGGGACTCGGCCGCCACGGCCACGGCCGTAGCCACGACTGTAACCACCTCCACCTCGACCACGACCATAGCCGCCGCGGCCACGGCCACGACCGCGGTAGTTGGGGCGGTAGCCATCAACGCTGCCCTGTCCGAAGGTTTCCATATTGCGTTTCTCCTCCTCGCCGCGCCATTCACGACCACCAACACGGGCGGTGTTTTCCTCACGATCACGAGCCTCACTAGAGATGTTGTCAAAGAAGGAAGAACCGCGGTTGTATCCATGGGCCGAAGTGCTGCCGCCGTTTGACATGGATTCCATAGATACCGCCTCCTCAGCTGCATGGGCCTCAGCCTCAGCAACAGGAATTCCAGTGGCAATGGCCTCTTTGACCAAATCCTGCTTGTTAAACTTGGCGTTTGCGGTTTGGAAATCGTAATCCGATTGGGGCACTTCGATTTTCTTGGGCTGTTGCGGAGGACGAGCAGCGCCGCGTCCACCACGAGGGTGGTGGTGACCGCCTCGGGGAGGACGGGTATTGTCGTAAGGGCGCATGTGATTCATCTGCTGCGTAAGCGCGTCCACAGCACTTTCGGGCTGTCCGGGCTGCTTTTGAGCACCAGGCTGCGGCAACTTAGCCATGGCGGCAGCAACGGCAGCAGTGGCGGCCGCAGTGGCATCAGTGATAGACTGAGTATTTCCCCGAGGAGCGGTAGGAATGTGGGCGGTCGGAGTGGGCTTTGCGGCAGCGATTGGGATAGCCGGCATGACTCGGCCATTCTTCTGAGGAACATTCAGAGGAGCAGTGCTGACAGGACCTTGCAAAGCTTCAGCCACAGTAGGCTTGGACTCGATCGGAGGAGTGGGGGCGTTCTGAGCTGCAGGAGTTGCGTTACGGTTCGTAGACTTGTTGGGAACCTTGTCCCCGACCGGAATATCAGAGGTAGGCTTAGGCGCGGGAGCAGCACCGGGAGGTCCCGGGCGCTGAGGTGCAGGCTGCTGGGGCCCAGACTGCTGAGGTCCAGACTGCTGACCAGGGCCAATGGGCATCGGAGGTTGGAACTGACCGGGGCCAGGGGGGAATCCATGGCCTGGAGGTGGGTACCATCCGGGAGGAGCGCCATATGGCTGGAAACCAGGACCCGGAGGGAATGGAGGAGGTGGTCCAAATCGCTGCTGTCCATATGGTGGGTAGAAGCCTGGCTGGAATTGGGGCTGCTGGGGGTAACCGGGAGGAGTTGGGCCAGCTCCCTGGGGAAGCTGGGGCGGACCCTGTGGAGGGCCCTGGGAAGGAAGATTCGATGGAGCAGGTCCTAAGTCAGGCCCTTGGGCAGGAACAGGTCGTTGCGCGCCCTAATCGTACTGGTCAGCAAACTGTATACAAAATGATACAGAAAACAAATCCAATATGGGGAATTGATCATCAGAAGGAAGGCAACGGAAATATCAACATGGTTTTGCGCATTCAGAAGGTATGTGAGTTTACATCCGAGAATTTTTCGTCATTTAATCAATTCACCGAGAAAATAGGCGGTGGTTTCTTGTGCGGAATGACGCGGTAGATTGAAGAAAGAGCTGTGGTGACTTACCCCAAGAATAGCAGGGTCATCCGGAACCCGAGGTGGTTCTTGCGGTGCGGGATCCTTCTGGTCCTCCGCGGCAATGCTAATGTCCTTCACATCACTTCCTCGAAAGACGATGTACTCGTAGACGCTGGTGGAGGGGGAACTTCATCGGCGGGGTTGCCACGGCGCCCTTCCGAGCCAAATGACATGACATTCTCAAGAGCTATCGTAGAAGCTTCGGGGTTGATTTCGTGAAGAGTACCGACATAACTGGGACAATTAATTGTGGACAAGGCAGTGGAGAGAATCTGATAAACTTACCGAATGTCACTTTTCGAGATCAGGTTGAAACGCTGACTGCTAGATGTTAACTCTAGGCCACCTTGACTCCGAACAGGTTCAGACTGACCCTATGAGGTGGTTCATCTCCATGGTAGCTGTGCGCGATCTCGCGCGGGGTAAGCAAAGGGGATGATACGGAGGGAAAGAGTAAGAAAAGGAAGAGACTTGAAGGGACGAGAGAGGAGGTTGGGAAGAGAAGGGAAGGGAGAGGAAAGGCAAATTCTGTGGTTTTGTGGAGGATGCGGGCTACGGTGGACGATGTAAGCTCGGATAGCAATTTTGGAGTTGGCGGGGGAGAAGTTGATGGGGAAAAATGAGAGCTACTTTTGCGTTTGACTTGATTTTTAGAGACTTGAGACACGATGACGACATCTTCCAACCGGGATCACTTCTTCCAGACATCGTGAGTCAAAACATTACTTGGGTCTTTGAATTGAAAAGTGCTAATTGACATCCCCCACAGCGCATCTCTGGATGACCAGGAGCGGAAAGATGCCAAGGCCCAGAACAACAATGGAAACCCTATTCGACTGCAGGGCAAGATCCTAGCAGCTCATCCAGACCCCTGGAATACCGGGTCTATTTATGTTGCGCAAAGCAATGGCACAGTGAGAAGGATCATCCTTGCCGTAAGTGCACCCGTGATCTCAAACAGTCTCACATACCCGAGTTCTCACACTTCTACAGACAGGAGAAACAGCTAGGGCGTTTACAGGTCCTATGGCTCCCGTGACTAGTCTTTGTCTGAGTCCTGATGGCAAGCTCCTGTTTGCCGGGTGTTGGGACAAGGCTATCTGGAGCTGGGACACTGCCACAGGCCAGCTACGCCAAAAGTACGAAGGGCATGCCGACTTTGTTCGAACAGTTACTAGTGCAAGACTACTTGGAGATGACCTGCTCATCTCCGGTGGTGCAGATGCACAGGTCCTGGTGTTCAATATCACGAGTGGTGAGCGGTTGGAGACCTTCAAGGGCCACTCTCGCGGCATCCAGGATCTTGTCCTTGACCCAGAATCAGAGAGCACCCAACCGATCGTATTTAGTGCGGGAAGTGATCGGGAGATTCGCCAATTCAGTATATTTGGCGGGGGTAGTACTACTGACCCTCTCCTTCCACATGAAACTAGTGTATACAAGCTCTTTTTCGATAATGACGGTGATCTCTGGACTGCTTCGGCTGACAAGACTGCCAAATGCTTGGTTCGAGAGAATGGATGGAAGGCCAATCTGACCCTAGAACACCCTGACTTTGTCCGTGATATTGTCGTCTATGAAACGGGAGGTTGGGTTGTGACTGCCTGTCGGGACGAGGAAGTTCGAGTGTGGAACCGATCGGTAAGGGTTTCTTTTCTTTTCTTTTAGTGTTGCTATGGGTATGTACTGATTAAAATAGACCGGAGCACTGCATCATACTTTCTCTGGCCACTTCGAAGAGGTCACTGGGCTTGTGCTTGTGGGGTCAACCATTGTCAGTGTAGGAATTGATGCGACCATCCGCCAATGGTCCCTTCGGCCCGATGAGCTTCAGAAGGCAGTGGAACTTGCAAAGAAGCCTGCAGAAGAGGAGAAGGATGCAGAAAAGCCAGCGGAGTCAATGCTAACGGCGGAGGAGGAGGCAGAGTTGGCAGAACTGATGGGAGACGATTAGAAGACGATTAGATGATGTGATACCCAGTTATATACCTAGGAGAGACATGTACAGTGCACCAAATACCATACAATGTAGACTACACAGAACTCTATACAATGTACAGTCGACCTGCAACCGTGTAGTATTGATCACGTGACATTCCTGATGCAGCCATGACGCACAGGGCCGATCTCCCGCGTCCTCGACCCTCGCCTCGACTCCCCCGCCTAAAGGGCACTGGCCCGCACACGACTTTATTCTTCAAGACACGCTCCATCCCCGCCCGTTTGTCTCTCCCAGTTAAGGGCTATTATTTGCGCCACAGGTCAATCTATATTCCATTAGAGCTCGATCGCACGTGGGGTAGCTTCTAAACTTGAGTACTGTACTGCCGGAACCCGTTAGTAACCCCTCTTGGGCCTCGGGGCCCCGGGCTAACGGACGTCTAGTCTCCGACCAGCAAAAGTATTGGAAAGTCAGTCGCACTATGGCTGCCTCGATCAACCACGCACATCCGCGTCATGATGTACCTGACACGGGCCCAAAAATGGTTAATCGCCTAGAGCAAAGCAAATCCCCTTATGTGAGAGATGTGCTCCGTTGGGAGAAATTGCAACCTGCTGACAGAACAACAGGTCCGAGGACATATGAACAACCCAGTAGCATGGCAAGTATGGGATGCCGAAGCTTTGGAGCTTGCCAAGAAGCACAACCGTTTAATCTTTCTCAGCATCGGTTACTCTGCATGCCATTGTAGGTTACAACTACCCCACTAGGTGTACTAGTATTCTAATCTTGTCTAGGGTGCCATGTTATGGAAAAAGAATCATTCATGTCGTCAGAGGTGGCTACGATTCTGAATGAGTCCTTTGTCCCAATCAAGGTTGACCGCGAAGAGCGACCAGATATCGACGACATTTACATGAATTATGTCCAGGCCACAACGGGTTCTGGTGGCTGGCCTTTGAATGTGTTTTTGACTCCTGACCTTGAGCCCGTGTTTGGTGGCACTTACTGGCAAGGCCCAAATTCAACTACATTTACGGGCCCCGAGGCAATCGGGTTTGTGGAGATTTTAGAAAAATTGAGAGATGTCTGGCAGACACAACAGCAACGCTGTCTCGAAAGTGCTAAAGAAATCACCAAACAATTGAGAGAGTTTGCCGAGGAAGGGACGCACTCGCAGCAGGATGATCGCGATAATGATAAGGAGGAGGAATTGGATATTGAGCTTCTAGAAGAAGCGTACCAGCATTTCGCATCTCGATACGACTCGGTCAATGGCGGGTTTGGCCGCGCACCTAAATTTCCCACACCGACTAACCTCAGTTTCCTACTCCGGCTCGGTGCCTACCCGACGGAGGTAACGGATGTTGTGGGACATGATGAGTGTGAACAAGCCACCGCGATGGCCGTCACGACACTAGTGAACATGGCTCGTGGTGGCATTCGGGACCACATCGGCCACGGATTCGCACGGTATAGCGTGACGACGGACTGGGGTCTCCCCCATTTCGAGAAGATGCTTTATGACCAGGCACAGCTATTGGATGTCTACGTGGACGCTTTCCGGCTCACTCATGACCCCGAACTTTTAGGGGCTGTCTATGATCTGGCTGCCTACTTGACAAGCCCCCCGATACAATCGCCCACCGGAGGGTTCTTCTCCTCGGAAGATGCCGACAGTTATCCTAATCCCAATGATACCGAAAAGCGGGAGGGTGCATTTTATGTGTGGTCGCTGAAGGAACTCACTTCAGTTCTCGGCCCTCGGGATGCTCCAGTTTGCGCCAAACACTGGGGTGTTCTCCCCGACGGCAACGTTCCACCTGAGCACGACCCGCATGACGAGTTCATGAACCAAAACGTGTTGTCCATCCGCGCCACACCGAGCAAACTTGCAAGAGACTTTGGTCTTAGCGAGGAAGAGGTGGTTAAGATCATCAAGTCGTCAAAGAAGAAGTTGCAAGATTACCGCGAACGAAAACGCGGGCGGCCAGACCTGGATGACAAAATTATTGTGGCCTGGAATGGATTGGCAATCGGCGCGCTTGCCAAGTGTAGTGTTCTGTTTGAAGAGATTGAGAGCTCTAAGGCTGTGCATTGTCGCGAAGCAGCAGCACGGGCAATCAGCTTTATTAAGGACAAACTCTTCGACAAAGCCACGGGACAGCTATGGCGTATTTACCGAGATGGAAGTCGTGGAGACACCCCGGGTTTCGCCGACGACTACGCATATTTGGCTAGTGGGCTGCTCGACATGTATGAGGCTACTTATGACGACAGCTATCTGCAATTTGCTGAGCGACTGCAAGGTGATAATAACCCCTATATCTCGACCTCAATGGGGTCCAATGACTAATTCGGTGATTCTAGACTATCTCAATAAATACTTCCTGGCTCAGAGCGGCTCCACAACCACTGGATACTACAGTACACCTTCAGTCACGACCCCTGGCATGCCAAACCCACTCCTCCGTCTGAAGACTGGTACCGAGTCAGCAACACCTTCGGTAAACGGGGTCATTGCGCGTAATCTGCTGCGCCTGTCGGCCCTGCTAGAAGATGAGAGATATCGAACCTTAGCTCGGCAGACGTGCAACACCTTCGCTGTGGAGATCATCCAGCATCCATTCCTGTTCGTCGGAATGCTGGACGTGATCGTAGGACTCCAGATTGGCACTCGTACAGTAACGGGTGTGTACTCCACCGCCGATATCTCCTCAATGCCTCATCCACGTGGCGAGACTCTGCTAAGTCGAAACGATGAGCCCATGTCGGCACTTGATCTAATCCGGCAACTGGTCCGAAAAGAGGCCGACGTTGCGGTGTCCTCGTGTATCGTGGTCACGTCGCTTGTCGACATTCGCCCGTCACATCTGAAAGACTTTGTGGGGAATCAATCCTTCTGGCTTAAATCTCGGAATACACTCTTTCGAGATTTAAAGGCTGCCGAGCCAGCCAAAAACTACTTGATGGTCTGTGAGACTGGGCATTGCCGAACTATTGATCTCTAGGCGAGCGCTATGGGGGGTTTTTTTTCGCTATGGAGTACATTTTTTTTTCTCGATATTAACATTAGGGGGGTGTTTTGTGTGGCGCTCTTGGACATTTGGTTCGGTTGGATGATATTGCATGTTTTACGTTCAGAGCGGATCTTCTGCCGCCTCAGTGGACTTCGGACCCTGCGGCGAGATCTCGTGGCGGGCTCCAATGCCGAAAAGGTGGAGGGCTGTTGGAGACTAGAATCTACAATTTGAAACTCTGTACAATGACAAATGTGATATAGGAAGAATATGAATGTTTTGGATTTTCCCCTTGCTACACTGTATACATAGGAGTAGGTAAGCGCCCTGTGTCCCACCATGACCCGTGGGTGATAGGTATGCCAACGTTTCCGGGCTCTTTCCGTTTTGCTGTGATTGGTTGTCCCGTGACAAGGTAATCTAACCTTGGAACGTTTGATCTTCCACTCTCTACCTATACCTGGGTAGTATGTACTCCATAGCTATATAATAATATTGAAAGCGGACATTTGGATTTAAAATATCAAATTCAGAAACAGGGAAGTTCTTTGATTACCAGTGTAGAACACGTATTCAAGATATTCTTGCCGTAAAGTGGCTGAAACGAGGTTGATTGATTTAATCTATCTCAGAAGCCGAAGAGACTAAAGTTTCTTAGTGGGTGTTCATAGTGGAGAGATTTGATATCAATGAGCTGGAGTTATTGGTTGTGGAAGCTATGTGGGTGGACACTGGTGGACACTATGAAACTGTTCCTGGACAAGGGGCTTGGCTTTGGCTTCGATCAGACGGAGTACACGATCTATTTGATTTTGCACAGAGATTTTCCAAAGATTCTCCATTGGATCGAGAATCCATGGCACTATTAATTACTTTATATCTTCTTTTGTCTCTTTTAATTAGCATACGTACTACCTACTCCATATGTGGACGGGATGATCCAGGGGATATAATTTGAACATAGTACGCCATACTCCGTACAAATAGGTACATATGTACATATGTACATCCAATGGACACATCACATACTATATCCTTAATCCTTAAAAATGAAATTGCTGAAATCCTCGGAGAATAAATACTCAGGTCCAAATCTCCAGCCTCATATCTGTGAACGGTATCTAGGACTTAGAATGTACGATGGAATGTGCCACATTCAGGTATGTTCAAATCTGAAGAGGTTGGAAATTCCCCCAAAAGAATAAGTATAGGAGGAAGACCTTGAAGTTTTTCAAAACTTCTATAGAATAATTTATAAAATAATTTACTCCTATACTCCATCTTTTATCTCTCAAAATCATTTGGACTTCATTTAAAATTAATATCCTCCCTCTTCGCACGGCCCCACCTCTTCCCGGTCTCCCCTTTCTACATTATTTACTCATTAAGCCACCCTCCTCTCCTCCCTTCTCCCTTCTCTTCTCCAAGCCCTTCAATCCTTTCAGCCTGCATCTTGTCTTTCTTTCACTCTTTGAAGAAAGAAGGTGTTTCTAGGCCTGCCATTCATTTCTCCAACTACACATTCCTTTGTCAAAGCAGTCGATCTGCTTGAACCAATCCCGACCCTCTTTTAACAAACTTCCTGGAGAAGTTTCTTTGTCTACAGTTCGAAATGCGTTCTGCGGTCATCTTTGCCGCTTTGGCGGTCGGCACTTGTGCCAAGGTTATTCAGAAGGAGGTTTATGTGACTGAGTGGACTACCACTACTGTCACTGAGACTGTCACCCAGTGGCCCACCGCCGCCGCCAACACTGCTGTAGTGGTCAAGCAGGACCACGTCAACCACCACACCAAGCAGGCTGCCCACCCCACTGTTGACCTTTCCAACAAGGCCCCCGTTGCGGTCGAGACCGAGGCCGCTGCCGCTGCCGCTTCTACTACTGCTGCCGCCGAGGTTGAGGATGTGAAACCCACTAGCACCACTTCGTCTTCGACTACTGAGGCTGCCACTATCCAGGCTGTCACCACCCGGGCTTCCACCACCGAGGCTGAAGTGGAGCCAGTGACCACCTCTGCTGCTCCCTCGACTACCTCCGTCGCTACCACCGAGGCTGCCTCCACCACCGCCGCTGCTACTGCCGCCCCTAGCGCTGGCACCTCCTACCAGGAGTCCATCCTGCACTACCACAACATTCATCGCCGGGATCACTCTTCCCCCGATTTGACCTGGGCCGCGGACCTCGAGCAAGCTGCCAACACTCTCGCCTCGCGTTGCGAGTACGGACACGACACGTAAGTATTCCTTCGTTTGGCTTGGGAAACAGTCATACTAACGGTACTAGTTCCATTGAGGCCTCCAGCGGATCCTATGGTCAGAACATCGCATACGGTTACGACTCGGCAGATGTCGGCGAGAAGATCATCAGCGAGATGATGTACACCCGGGAGGCACCCTACTTTGACGGCCTCTACGGCCAGGCCAACCCTGATATGACCAACTTCGCTTCCTGGGGCCACTTCACTCAGATCGTCTGGAAGGGCACCACTACCGTCGGTTGCGCCACTGTTAGCTGCCCCGAGTTGAAGAATGTTGGTAGCGCCGCCCCCTACACCGTCTGCAACTACGGTCCCCCAGGTAACTTCGGAGGCGCCTACGCCGAAAACGTCTTGACCAAGAGCTCGTAAATGTCTCGGGGTATACGGAGGTGTTGATTGAGAATGTCGCATCTCATATTCGTTGGAGTGGTGTGACCCCATCGATCCTGTTCCTCCAATCAACATAACATATTTCCCCCATTCGGTCTGCGCCATATGGATTCATTTTCTTGTCTTTTACCTTCATCATTTGCATGTCCTGCCATGATCGGTGATCCTCCTCGGGAGCTCTTCTCGAGGGAGAGGCGGAGGCCGGGTGGGTCTCCGCTTGTGACCCATACTGTATGTATGCAAGTGTGCTTTGTCCATCTACTTTGAAGGACTCATGGCAATGCAGATATTATTCTTCCATTGTGAATATTCTTTTGACACCTTGTCTTCCGCCACTTCTGTGTTGCGGTTCATCCTGTGGATAACAAAATTTCTGGCGTCATTTCATTTTTCTTTTGCGAGCGTGTTGTACTGTGTACAACCTCAGCGTATGTAATCATGAATATCTCTCAATGTCCTGGAAGTAGGATTTTCTATTGTAGTTGTAGTAGTTGTATTCCGTAACAGGTGGCTTTAGCTTAACCTAGGTACATATGACGCTACGGATGTCCACGTGACGGCTAAAGCTTCCCCCGCATGGCCGGTCCCTTCGCCCGAAACGTCATTGGGACATGATGTGAGAGCCCACATTGATATACTTCACATTCCAAGAAGAACATCTGCTCACCAGTTGGTTTTCTGTGTTGCAGGTACACGGTACCCCACTTCCTCGGACCTGAAACTCCCCCTTTTGTCTTCATTAAACATCTATTCGACCTTAATCTCTCTTCCAACGGCGACTTTGTATATCTTTATCCCGAGCCAAGATACCTGTAGCAACGTGCACGGTTCATCGGCGATTAAGAATAAGTAAGTTCTTAGGCTCGTCTATCCCACATTCTGCCCTATCATTTCCCCTCTAGTCGCCCCCACGGTGGTGAGCGGCATCCTCCGAAGACAAAGCCGCTTCATTCTCACCCTCTATGGAAATGGCTTAATGTGTGATGTCTACATATTACAAACTCGCCGAATTTCCCATGGTACCTAGAGTGACCCTGTAGAAACCATGGACTACTTATCCGCAGGGTTCTTTTCTTGGCAGTTGACATCTGACCGACGGCACAGCGAAGCTCATCCGTTTCTCCGGCGCTATCATTCCGTTCTTCCACACTTTCAGCCGGTCACACCAACCCGGAACTCGGGGTCACATATCATTTGTGCTATTGCACAGTTCTCTGTAAGTCTATTGATCAATCCATGGTCTTTTTCCTTTTCCCCTTAGGCCCGAGCCGGTTCCACAGATGTCGAGATCGCTCTATAGCCCACACACGCGTCCATATAACATTATCATGCTTTCTTTCTGTCTCATACTACCCTATTTTCCCTCTTATCTCTGTGTGATCTTCATTTTGTGACTTCCATCTGTTTCCATATATATTCTTTCATCCCCTGCCCATTTGTCTGCATCTGCACATGACATAGTCTCAATGCCATCATACTGTCTCCACGACTGCCACTATTTCTATCGCACAGCCCTACGCCTCCTCTCAATTCCCACCGTCCTCGCTAGTTGCTACGCCTGATTGTATCTTGTCGAGAGAAACTCAACACATCTAACATCATGTCCTACTCCACACTGGCAGTTCGATACTTCACAGCCCCCAAACCACTTGGTGATTCCATGGACACCAACACAACCAAAAATTCTGGGTCCGATCCCCAAGGCCACACGGTCATGAGACCAAATATCCCTGCTAAACAGCCCTCTTCTGAGATTGCTGAGCCCGTCAAGCCTAAGAGCAAGGGCTTGACTTTTGCCAACCAGGATTCGCTGCCCAAGCTTCCTATTCCTGATCTGGAAGATACTTGCCGCAGGTACTTAGATACTCTGCAGGGCTTGCAAACCCAGCGTGACCATGCAGATACCAAGGCTGCTGTTCGTGACTTTCTAAAGAATGACGGTCCTCTTCTTCAAGAACGGCTTAAGAATTATGCTGGTTCAAAGACGAGCTATATTGAGCAATTTTGTAAGTTTCTTCAGCATCAAGGATGGGATAGGAGGTCAGCTGATTATTATTAGGGTATGATTCTTACTTGAATTTCGATAATCGTAAGTTTGGTTTCCTTCGTCTTTTCTGGGCTTATCTAACAGTCATAGCCGTTGTTTTGAACCTCAATCCATTTTTCCTTTTGGAGGACGACCCAACTCCCGCCAGAAATCACCAGGTCACACGGGCTGCGTCACTGGTGGTCTCATCATTGGCATTTGTTCGTGCCGTGCGTCGAGAGGAGCTGCCTCCTGACACCGTGCGAGGAACGCCTCTTTGCATGTATCAGTACTCGCGCCTTTTTGGAACCGCACGTCTGCCTACCGATAATGGCTGTGTCATTAGCCAGGATCCCTCGGCTAAGCACATGGTTGTTATGTGTCGCGGGCAGTTCTACTGGTTTGACGTCTTGGATGACAACAGCGATTTGATCATGAGTGAGAAGGATATCTCGCTTAACCTGCAGGTTATTATTGAGGATGCAGCTCAAACTCCGCTTCACGAGGCTGCTAAGGGTGCTTTGGGTGTACTCAGTACCGAGAATCGGAAAGTTTGGTCGGGGCTTCGCGATATCATAACGAAAGATTCCAGATCTAACAATGCGGAGTGTTTGAACATTGTCGATACTGCGCTGTTTGTCCTATGTTTGGACGACACAGAGCCATCCACCACGGCTGATCTTTGTGCTAATATGCTTTGTGGTACAAGCGAAGTCATCAAGGGTGTCCAGGTTGGGACATGCACCAACCGGTGGTACGACAAATTGCAAATCATCGTCTGCAAGAACGGTAGTGCCGGTATCAACTTCGAGCACACCGGCGTGGATGGCCATACAGTGCTACGCTTTGCCAGCGATGTGTACACTGATACCATCCTTCGCTTCGCAAGGACCATCAACGGGCAATCCCCAAGCCTATGGGCAACCAGCAGCCCCGACCCAGCAAAGCGCGACCCGCACAGTTTCGGAAATGTCAGCACCACACCGCGCAAACTGGAATGGGACATGACACCCGAACTTAACATCGCGCTCCGCTTCGCCGAATCTCACCTTTCCGACCTGCTCCACCAGCACGAATTCCAAGTCCTAGACTTCGAAGGCTTTGGCAAGAACTTCATAACCTCAATGGGCTTCTCTCCAGATGCATTCATCCAGATGGCTTTCCAGGCTGCCTACTACGGCCTCTACGGCCGAGTTGAGAACACCTACGAACCAGCCATGACAAAGACATTCCTGCACGGACGCACAGAAGCCATCCGCACCGTAACGCCCGAATGCATCGACTTTGTCACAGCGTTCTGGGGCGAAAATGCCGCCGAACAAAAGGTCGAGGCTCTCCGCACCGCATGTGCAAAACACACCGCCGCCACAAAAGAATGCTCAAAGGGCCAAGGCCCAGACCGCCACCTCTACGCCCTCTACTGCCTCTGGCAGCGCTCCTTTGACGAAGGCCTGTTCCCAGACACCAGCTCAACAGGCGGGTACTCCAGTCCAGGCGAACCGCAATCCCCAACCCCAAGCCAAGGCCCCGAATCATCGAAACTCTCCTACTCCTCCCCCTCTGAAGACGGCCTCTCCTCTCCCGGAAGTAGCGCACGCGCCTACCGCACAACAGCGCCGACGCCCGCGATCTTCGCCGACCCCGGCTGGGACAAGATCAACAACTCCGTGCTATCGACTTCGAACTGCGGAAACCCGTGTCTGCGACACTTCGGCTTCGGCCCTACATCCGCTGATGGCTTCGGTATCGGCTACATTATCAAGGACGACTCAATCTCCATCTGCGCGAGCTCCAAGCACAGACAGACTGGTCGGCTTATGCACACGCTCGAGTCGTATCTGTTTGAGATTCGGAAGTTGTTGCGCGCGACGAACCGGAAGCCGAGCCCACGCACTAGTCGTGCGAGAGAGACTGAGGCGCTTGCCGAGAGCGCGCAGTTGGAGTCGCATCGCCGTGGTCGGATTGTGAGAGGTAGTGGTGCGCAGGGTGTTGATACGCCTACTTCGGCGGCTGATAGTAGCTATCTGGAGGATGATGGGATGGGAGGATGTAAGTCTTTCACTTCTTTTGCTGGTTCTTGTGTTGCGGCGTTGCTAACTTGGCCTTTACTAGATGGTTTCTTTGATGCTGGTATGCTTCTTCATGCGCTCAAGGGCCTCAATGCAGAACGGGAACAACGTGAGAAACCTGCTAGGCGGAAGTTTGTGGGAAAGAAGCTTCATCTTAATGATTATTGAGCGTGCAGCGTTGGAGCGGAAGAGTCGTATCATGTAGTGAGTATCTAGTTAGTTGAATCAGAAAGCGAAGTACGAATTTATGTTCAATTATCGATATCATTCCTATCAAATTACCTCAGGGACCCTTCTTCAAACCATTTTATCACTGAAGATCCTCAGTATTAAAAGGACATCCTCGGCAAATGTGGGGAACGCTCCGGCACCGGATAGCCGACTTGGCTCAATAGCCTTCTTGACATATCTGATTTTGGAATCGACACATTGTATATAATTCATTTGATCTATAGAAGCACCGTGTCAATTTGCATGTGTACTTCACCCTAAGCGTCATGACTCTGCACACCCTCCCAAAACGGGCGCCCCGGTTACGGGCTCCCTTAACAAGGCGCTTCACAACCACCCCCCGCACCGCCAGTTATGCGGACACTCTACCAAATCTCAAGATCGGCGCTCACACAAGAGTATTATTCCAGGGATTTACGGGTAATTATTCCTGTTTGTTTTAATTGAGTTGGGTCCTGCAATGGAATACCATGGAATGCTAATCTCCGCCATAGGAAGACAAGCGACTGCCAATGTCAAGGAGTCTCTTGCATGGGGTACTAATATCGTTGGAGGCGTCAAGCCTGGCGTTGAAGGCGAACATCTAGGCCTGCCAGTCTTTCCATCTGTCAAAGTGGTATGAAGTATTGAACTGATTATTCTCTCGTTGGGGATATAATTTGACCAGTTGACTGATGCACACGACAGGCCCAAGAACGGGCAAAGCCTGATGCATCTGCAATCTATGTTCCTGGAAACCAGACCGCCAAAGCCATTGAAGAGGCTATCGAAGCGGAAATTCCGCTCGTTGTAGCCGTAGCTGAGCATGTGCCGATCCACGACATCCTTCGGGTATGACTTTCTGAATCACGTTTAATCGTGGTAGAGAAAGTTGAAGAGTCTTTGTTAACATTATTACAGATCCAATCCATGCTCCAAACACAATCCAAGTCCCGTCTAGTAGGCGCAAACTGCCCAGGTATTATATCCGCCATTGGCAAATGCCGAATCGGCTTCCAGCCATTACCTTGTTTTGCGCCGGGTAATGTTGGCATCGTGGCTAAATCTGGGACACTGAGCTATGAGACTGTTGCCTCGACGACTCGCGCTGGACTTGGTCAGAGTCTTTGTATTAGTATGGGTGGCGATGTGTTGGCTGGTACGAACTTTGTCGATGCACTGAATCTCTTCGAGAATGATCCTGATACAAGGGGTATTATCCTCGTTGGTGAGATTGGGGGTACGGCGGAGATGGATGCTGCTGAGTGGATTAAGGATTATCGACGGAGGACTGTTGATCCTAAGTAAGTTTTGTGTCCTTTTTGGGCTTTGGGCTTTCTGGATGCAATGCTGAGATTGGATAGGCCCATTATGGCCCTTGTTGGCGGGTTGGAAGCACCCCCTGGAAGGATTATGGGTCATGCTGGTGCTTGGGCTGCGCCTGGGGAACCAGATGCAGAAACTAAGTATCAAGCGCTTGAACGTGCTGGCGCGGTTATGGTTAACCATCCCGAGAAGTTTGGCGAAGGAATGAAGACTTTGTTCGCGAACCAGTCTAGTCGGCCGGGTACAAGTGTGAGTGTTTCTTTTTTAAATTCTATCTGAGGTGTACTGACATACCCACAGCCAATGTCCGGGACTAGCTCACAAAAACGTGACTTTCATACTATGAGACGAGTTACGCCAATCTCGAGACCAAAAACTGAGCATAAGCGTAATCTTTACATCAAGCAGTTCCAGGCATTCGATATTCTCAAGCAGAAGTCTGTCCCTGTCAATCAGTCAGCTGCTAGCTCTGCTAGTTCTATTTCAATTTCTATTGCAGTTGACCGAACAGCTCTGTCGCCATGCATCATTACCTCGCCGAGCTCTAACCTTAACCAGTCGAAGAAATTCCCATTCCCATACACTCAGACCAAGTTCGAAAGCTCTATAATCGAGGCTGTTACCTCGCATTTGAGCCTCCCAGCATCTTCTCACAGGCACCTTGCAGGCATTGTACAAGCCCTTTGGGAAATTTACAAGGAAAAGGAGGCCTTTACGCTAGAGACACAGATTGGAATTTCCGCTGATGGCTCTTTGGAAGTCCACGGTGCGCGTTTTGGCTTCGACGATGCTGCATTCCGCAGCTCGGGTCGACAGGAAGATATCCACGAGCTTCGGAATAAATCTGAAGAGATCCCGGAGGAGGTTGAAGCTGAAAAGGACGGAATCGTTTACGTCAAGTATGTAGAAACGCATTCATGAGTGCCGAGGTTTGTCTGTATCTCTGCTGACATACAGTAGATTGGAAGGCGAAGGCAGTATTGGCACACTTGGTATGTACTTTCTTCTACGTCTTGTTCAACAAAAGGGTGTTTGCTCACAATATCGCGCAGTCAATGGAGCCGGTCTTGCCATGAACACGGTCGACGCTCTCACTATCCACGGCGGCCACTGCGCGAACTTCCTTGACACCGGTGGCAAGGCTACTTCGGAAACTGTCAAGGCGTCATTCCGCGTGATTTGCTCTGACACGCGTGTCAAAGCCGTCTTTGTTAATATTTTTGGTGGACTGACTCGCTGCGACATGATTGCTGAGGGCATTATTTTGGCTTTCCGAGATTTGAATATGAAACTTCCAGTTGTTGTACGACTGCGAGGTACAAATGAGGAATTGGGGCAGAATATGGTAAGCATTGATCTGAATATCCGCTGCTATCGTCTATATAGTTGCTAACTTGAATGTTGTAGATTGCGGAGAGTGGCCTTCCATTGCATGCATTTGATGGATTCGAGGAAGCTGCAAAGAAGGTAATTGCGTTGGCCAAGGGTCAATAGGTGCGTTACAGTGTTTTAAAGGGTATGCAACAGATGCGGTCATACTAGATAAAACATAATATGACCACGCTATGATGTTATCAATAGCACACACACAGCCCTAGTATATCTCAAGGATATTATAGAGAAAAGAATGCTCAGGCGAACAATTAAAAAAAATATCGACATTAATTGCCACTCCTAAGACTAATGATGATCACTGAGAATAGGTCTTTTCGACATCCTAAACATACATGGCGGAATGAAGATCATATAGGAGCATCCGTTAACGTGCCAACCCAAGAGCGAGTGATGCAAGTGCACCCTTCTAACTTTGGGGGTGATACGCTAGAATATACCTCGGGATGAAAAAAGAAAAGGTTATATTATATTCGATGAAAAGGATTGAAAGCAGACAAAAATTTTGAACAGTCATTAGACCAATTAAATATAACTTTAGCCCAAGGCACTCAGAAAGATATCAAATTTCTGGAGACCATCTGAGCGAGAGAAAAAGACACTGTGATTCACCAGAATCAGACAAGCTCCTGGTATTTGCGTCGGCCTTCTGGGTCCAGTAAAATGGAGTCCTTCACTTCCTGCACTTCTTTCACTGTTCCGGCATAATCCTTACGCATTTGTGGGAAGAAGTATCCAGGAGGGGTGATACATAAAGCTATCACAGAGATAGCACACATTCTAGAATCCATCACATGTTAGCTCTTTGGAATGTATAACAACTTGTTTTACCAAAGTTCGGCTTACATCGATTCAAGGATAGTGAAGTCAATTTCGTCCTGCATTATAGGGTTTTTCCATCCACCCGCCATCTCTGCAATACTAAAATCCCTAACATCAGTACTTGATATCAAAATACTTTGAAAAAAACAACTTACCGATAGACGCAACGGATATAAGTTGACACAAATGCCACAAAGATACCCCAGAAAAATACCCAGAAACTGCGATTGTTCCAAACTTTCCGAGCCTCAGCAGTCAATTCCTCTTTCGGGGCGCCCTTTATTCGAAGAAGAAAGTGGCCTGTCATCCCCCCAAATACCGTCAAGGTGGCAACTTGCCATACAATTCCAGCCATCATCACATTGCTGCCCACATCATTCTCGTGTGGTGTCTTAGCTGCTGCTGCAAGGCCACCACCAATGCCTTGAAGAATCAGCGAAATAATATCGCAGGTGACAAAGATGTAAGGATACCATTTCGCCTTTAATGTCGAGTATTGTTGGCCAAAAACATTCACTCCATGCTTCAGCGTCAGATATATGGCTGCCGACCAGAAAGCGGGCGCTATTGTCAGAGTGCAAAGCTGCGTCTTAAAGCCGGCGGATGAATATGCGTTTTTGTGGAGCATTATACGACCAAAATAACCTATTTGTTTTGTCAATACTCTCCAAGACAGTCACCCATTTATTCTCATAAAGTTTTAGTTTGAACTTACCAATCACCTCAGTCGAAGACCCGATGATCACAGCGATACTAAAAGACCATAGGCGCCATCTGAGCATCTGAACGAGCTGTATCAAAGAACAAACACCAAATAATATACAGAACTCAACACTGAATACAAGATCAGGTGCGTAGCCGTAGATAGTGCCCTCAACTAGACATTGAGGAGTCACCTCCGTGCATTTAACAGCTGCAGCACGGATTTCAACCATGATTCTAACATAGAGGAAAGTGAATATTATCGGGTGTAATCCGTATAGAAGTCACGAAGGAAAGCTCGCTTCTATGCTCGCTTCATTTTTTCATGGATTAAAGAAAATTTTATAAATATTTTTCTTTGAGAGATTCTGACGATGCCCAGATTTCTTCGCCACAATAGATCCGTTTCATATGAAAGCTAGGGTTGCAGGGTACGTAGCCTCCAGGGCTTGATCTGATAGCATTAGTCAGATCTCAAGGCTCTCAATGCATAGTACGTTATTCAATCTAGACTACCTAGTTAAAATTTCTCTTCGCCCTTCAGTCTTCACTCTATGACCTTGCGATTTAGGTGCCTCTTTGTATAATTATAAAGCCTTGCAGGTATATGGCAAGATCCGCGGAGCATCTAATATGCCAGCGTGTACGCCTTTTCCTTTTGCTACAGCCTCTCCTGGTTACACTGAAGCCTCGAATGGGCGGGTTTAATAGTTAAGTGTGCTCACCAGAGGTAATGGCGGAGATATGCCCATGATGTTAAATACCAAGCCTAAACAGAGATCAGTGGTAAGACCTGATCATTGATCTATGCTCATCATAAATTTTTCTTTCGTAGTCTAACATAAATAGTGTTAGCTGTGTTAAGCCTCGTCTTACTCTTACGGTCATACGCCCAGGGGGCTTGCGTCTGGGGTCAGAGATCAGTCCAATTCCTTTGTGCTGACCTCGATGTTTAATGAAATCTTTATTTTACGGCCTGGGCTAAAGAGACTCCAGGTAATAAATATTTCGCGTATATATAGAAGCCACGCCTCTAGTTCAGGACTTGCTGCTCTCGAATCAAGCAAGACTCTGCAGGAAATCAAATCCAATCCAATTAGCACTACAATCTCAAGGAATCACCAATTGTCTCAAACTTCTTCCCAAGAGCGTGAGTACATGATCATGATATTCCATTAGGAAAGATCGACTGGGCGACGATTTGGCTAAACAAACTAACCAGAGCGATGATGGTAGCAATGGCATACTTCATGTTGTACTTTGCATATAGAGGCTCTGTAATTTGATAGACAAGAACGGTGATAGTCGGGAATGGAGGGGATGGAGGGGTAAGGGATTCAAAGAGCATTTATCGACACAGGATCAAGAAATTAAAAATCATGATTTTCTTTGTTTTATTACACTGCACACTGTGAAACTCCATATTGCTTTGATGCATGCCAATAGTTAGTTTGCTCCTAACTAGAAAGAGAGAGTATATTGATGCCTGAAAATCCTGAGGCATTAAGCCGAACCCAAGGTCTAGCCCTTCTTTGTTCTCCACGATCGACCAGGGATGTCCACTAGCACTGACGCCATTAATTCTATTTCGAGCCGACACAATCTTCCTCGATATTCGTTGTATACTTATAGTCTTATCGACCATTATCCACTACTTTTATATATTTATTGCCCGTTACAACCGACCACGTGCCAGTGTCATGTCTGATCCAAGTGCCGAGCTCGAATCCGTTCTCCGCAACCTGTCCATAGGTGAAAAGGGTCCAGTGCCAGAAATTTCCCGGCCAGATGTGAAAAAAACCCAAACAGCCGTGACTCCAGCAAAATCCATCCCCAAAAAAACCAGCAAACCCGTCGCAGATTCCTGGGAAGATGAAGCAGACCTCTCCGCCTCGGAAGGCGAAGATGCCCAGCCCCACAAAGACACTACCCCAGTGCTCTCTCCAACCATCAGCGCTGAGGGACCACTAGATCCTCCACCGACACCTCTTTCCCCGCAGATATCAGCCCCGTGGATGCCAAGAGCTGTTTCTCCTGCTTCGGCGCAGGCTGGTCCTGCCCGTCGCCCGGAGAAGCAGACGGCTGTTGCGGAGCGGATGATTGCCGGTGCGTTGGGGATCCGAGCCCCGAAGCGGACAGAGCAACAGCGCGCTTACGACCGCTCGATTAAGGAGCAGGAGATTCGGAGGAGGAATCGCGAGCGCGAGGAGAAGGCTAAGGCTAAGGAGGAGGAGGAAAAGATGAAGGCTTCTATTTGGAGTAGCTAGGTGGCTTTACGGGGGGGCATTTTTGGGTTGTATTAGGCGATTTTGGGTCATATATGTGTACATATTCGTTGAATTAGACCTATGTATATATATATACTTTCTAAGTGGATTATTGTGGGCAAAGGAACGAGTGACTCTTTGTTGTTCCATATACCTTGGAATTTACTAGTCCACAAAGAGCAGACGTGGTCAATCGCCTTCGAGAGACAACTGCGGGGTTCTTTGGCTTTGAAATCGCTCGTTGCTAGAGGCGACCATGGATAATAGGAGGACCTCTGGGTCCTAGTGTACAACGTATTAGTTTATTTCGACGCGCAAACTTGTATCGAGACCTTGCAGGCAATTCAAATAAAAGTGACAAGCGGTTGCGACATTTGCACTCTCCTAGAAACGGACGTCATTAGTTTAGTACAAACCCTAGCTTCTCGAATTCCAGGCAAATACAAAACCTACAACCCTATGTCTACGGGGTGTGATCATTTTGACCTCGAGAGGGAAATTTAATATAGCGAAAGCACCGTCAAAGTCTGCAGAGAAGACTGGGTGACTTTTGATAATCATCATTCATAAAAAAGGAAAAAGCATATGAACGCCGCCCCTTCGCCCATGGGCCGTCGATGACACTCCTCTATCAACTGCTGGCCATCAACCCTAGCGTATTCCCCCACGTATGTCGCCTCAGTGGTCCCGGTTCCGTCGGCAGGTGCGACTCTAGCAGCTTGTCGTCTAGCAACCTCCGATCTGCTCCTGGTGAACCTCCAAGGTATCGCCATCTGCCATATCAAGCTATTTGCAGTTAGTTTCGAAGTTCCCAGATACCAATGGATGGCGAAAAAAAAGAGGGAAATGGCCGTACAGTCTCGGGTGAATCTTCGGGGCGAACTCGGGTGCCGTCGAACAGGAAACGAACAGTGGAAATTTGCTTTCCTTGGCGCTCGCAGAAGGCATCCATGAGCTTCTTCAGTTGCGTTGTGCGCTTAATCTTGAAGAAAACTTCATTGTTGTTATCGGTCACCTTGATGTTCAGGTGCTCGGTGGGAGGAGCGGCGCCTTCTTTGTCGGACATGATGAATGCTTTTTGACGTCTGGATTTCGTTAAACGACTACTCCGAGAATACGGAATGGCGACGAGGCAGAATGCTTACAAAAGTAGAAGCGAGTTTAGGAACCTCTTCGAGCGGGGCTTTGAATATCTAAATAGTTCAAAAATGATTAGATCACGATTTCACCTCTATGGTTGGGTACAACTGAAGTTTGAGTGCTCACCTAGAAGACGAATGCTTAAAAGCGAGAGAACGAAGGATGTGTAAACCGTGAAGTTAGAAGAGAGAGGAAGAAGAGAGATCAGCGGCGACGGCAGAATATTGCCTCCCCCCACGGTCTGAAGGCGGAGAATCTATTTTGCGTTTGGCTCTTCTATCACTTTCGTCACTTGCAAGGAACAGTGTGTCTACAACACTTTGTACAGAGTACGGAATACAGTCTTTGATAATTGCATTATGGTATGAAAAACTGTCACCGTGAAAACATTGGCTAGATACTAAGCCCCTTGTAGGGTAATTTAAAGCAAGATTTGTCGCACGATGAACCCTGTCATCCGCGTGCTGTATGTGTCCCTAGCCTAAAGCGTCCCTTTTAGAGTCTTAACTCTTACTGACAGTGCAATAGTGCGCCATCCAAGGTATTTTTCAACTTATTGCATGTTCACACACAATGAGTCTAACCGAAGCTAGATTGCTTGCAGAAAAACTCATTTGATGAGGCCAAATGCCAGGCTCAAATTGATGCTTTATATGAATGCTGCAATGCATTTTACCAAGAGCGAGGTGACCAGGCATCTACCGTCAGCTGCCCCAAAGCAAATTTGCTGCGATTGAAGATGAAACAGCGAGCTCAGGCAGCAGGGAAGCAATAGAGCTATTACAATTTAAATCCAAGTGACCCATGTTGAAAATGGAGGATGTCACAATTCCCTTGCGGTCTGAGTTTCCATATGGAGGAAACCAGGCTAATTGAAGAACTGCATTTATTATAAGACAATCGTGAGCACGCTAAGAGGCCTCGATGGACCTGTACGAAAATTGAATTTTCGTACCGAGACTCTAATGAAAGCCTATAGACATTAGAGAAGAAAAGAAAAAGAAAGAGAGAAGGGCGCGGGCGAAAATTCGTTGAAATAGCTTCTGGCGTTGCCGCTAGTCTATTTTGGGCTTAGTCTGTCAACGCGAAAACCAAAAGAGACAAACACAACTTATTCCACAGAGCTTCCTCTCCAGGGCTCTCTCTCTCCCTTCCAACCAAGTCTCTCCATCATGGCGCCTTTAACTAGATCAGCTGCTGGGGCCTCTTTATTCACACCGGTGCGACCATCTTATTTGCTCTTTGCTTTTTGTTATGCTAATTCTTTGTATAGGCGCCCCAGGCTAGGCAAACCGAGGTCATCAGTATCGATGATGATTCGCAACAATCTTACGATGAGGATGAAGAATTGGACGAGGACCAAATTTCCGAGGATCAATCGGAAGACCAATCTGAAGACCAAGATGAGATGGACCAAGATATAGATGGCGATACCACATCGGAGACAGGGTCCGATGTTTCTGATCCCGAATCCTCTATGCAGTCTACCTTTGAGATTTCGGGCAAATCTCAAGGTTTGTCTCAAGATCTACTTTCTAGGTCGCATCTACTAAATTCGATTCCAGACACCCCGTTGTTCACCGCCGCAGGTGCCCAGGAAGCACTGCACCCTCTTCGCCGGACGGCTGACCGCGTCACTCGCCAAATCGAAGCTTTCGCCGATAAGTTGGATCAGTTCAAGCGCGACAATTCAACCGACGATTTCAACAGTGCCCAGGCAGCTTACAAGCTCGTGCAGAGCTACCGCGACATTGCGAACAATGCGATCAAGGAAATCGAGACCCAACAGACCGTTGACCGGACAAAGACGGGCATCCGATCGAGCGGGTCGCAAGACGCCAAAAGCTACGAGGAGATACGGCGATTGCAACTTGAGGCCGACACTTGGCGCCTCCTGCTCAACCTGATCAGCATTGATGACCCTTCCAGCCGGGCCAGTTACAAGGCAGGACGACAGACAGCTTTCCAGAACCTTCACCGCTACTCAACTGATCGCGAGATCTGGGAAGAGTTCCTGAATGCCGACCAATATGGCCTTGAATGTGTGGTTGCCATGCGATGGTTGGAGGAGACCTCCAAGACAGCGAGTCAAGAGTTTGATACCCTCATCACTGAAATGGAGGGACAAGCGGAAAGGGGCCAAGGATTGTGGACAACCAGTTGGCTGTTTACCAAAGAAGCGATCAAGGGCCACAAACGTTTGCGCGCCTGGCCACAGCCTCTCGAGCCCAATGACCCAGGAATCTCGCGCTCACTTCTGAGCAACGACGAACAGAAACCGCTAATCACCCAACTCGATCCCGATGCTCTTACTCGTCAAAAGCACGGGTTACAAAGGCAGGACGAATTCTTCGAGCGTGCCACTTGGATAACTTGCTGGAAAATGCTCAGACAAGGCGAGAGCTGGACCAAGATCCGTGAATGGGCAGAGGCTCGCCTGGACGGGTGGAGGGCCGTCAGCCTATGTGGCTCTAGTGTGGATCCCAAGTCGGCAAGTTCTCGATACCCATCTGACGATGGCCACACACGTTTGATGAACAGTCGATCCCATGATTCATGGCGCACCGCTTGCTCTGCGCTCGCGCGCGAACCCAATACCGATGAATTCCAGCGAGCGGTCTACGCCCTGCTTGCTGGCGAAACCGATGCTGCAGCCAGTGTCTGCCGCAGCTGGGACGACTTCCTTTACGTCTACTTCAACCGTGTCGTGCTTTCGCGCTACCAGGGATTTTGCAAGCAATTCCAGCGGAAACTCAGCCACTCCCCCAATACCCCTGTGGCATTCAACCCGGAACCAGCTGGGCACGCAGAACTTCAAAAGTTCCTTGTCTACCTCAAGGGCAACGACCGAGTCAGCGGGGAAGCGCGTAATCCGTTCCGCAACATCCAGGCCACGATTCTCAGCAAAGGCTACGATACATTCTTCACTTCTCTGGCTCAGGCTGTATCTCAAGTCAGCGCTGATAAATATGGGAAGAACTCTGTTATCCCAGAGATCGTGCGCAAGCCAGTAGATGAATCTTTCCTCATAGCTGCCGATGATGAAGAAGCTCTCAGAATTGCGTCTCATGTTTACGTTGTGGCCAGTGTAAGGGGCTACGCCCGCGCAGATTCTCATTTCGTTGAAACGGCTTCGGTGATTCTCGCTGGACATATTGCCAACCTGGAAGACAGGGGTCTATTCCATCTTGTTCCACTTTATGTGTCTCTTCTCCCCACGAAAATGGGACACGAAGTTCTAGCCAAGATTCTGATCGAAATTGTTGACCCACAAGAAAAGGTTCGGCAAGTGAAGCTCGCGCGGAAGCATCATATTGACATGGAAACCGTTCTTGGTGTTCAATGGGCGTGGGTAAAGGAGAATGTCTCTGTGATCGATCATTCTAGAGGGGTTACTGGCTATTCAAGAGTGCTGCGACGACCTGATGGTTCCCGGGCATTGGTGTCACCCAAGACCGACTTGATTGGGAACTCTGTTTCTCCAGAAGACGACAAGATGATCCGTAGTCTAGAGTGGCTTCGCTACATTGATGGGCAGTGGGATAAGATTTGCGATCTTGGATCCTGGCTGTATCGCAAGTTCTTCCGTATGTTTTTGTTCCTACTGTTGTTGGGAATCCTGCCAAACTGACATTTACTAGTCGCTGATAAGCTTGCCGCTGCTCGCGAGTTGAGTTTCCGACTTCGGTTGGCTGATATCTCAATTGAAAAATTCGGATCAGATATCATTTCGATGCCTCCGCAAGAAGGGGGATATACCGAGGCAACTACGCCAACTAGCCCCAGCAAATCAAAGAGAAACAGCCTCCACCGACGAAGCCTGTCCGGTTCGAACAATGTTGCACTGGTTTCAGCATACTACCAGGCTCACAGGGTCCTAGATCTGGAGAGTTTGGCCCTCGGGTTTGATGGCGTGGAGCAATTTGCATTGGTGCATGATCAGATGTCCAAGTGAGTCATCCTTTCCCTGGCTCATTTCAGCGCCAAAGCTAATCAATACAGGACCAAACGTCGACGCGACTCGGGCACCTTAAAGGGCATGGGCCAAGACATGAACGAATGCGTGGCTATTCTGGAAGAATCGGTTGGAGCAGTGGTTGCTGAAGACTGGCTACCTACATCCACTGACGGTATGTGCTTGATGTTGTGACATTGAAAGCTCAAAACTAATCTGTTCCTACAGCCGAGGAAGAACAAGACTTCGAATACATTCGGACGACCTACGTTCCAGAGCTAATTCTCGATTGGCACAACGCCTTATATTATGCCAGTCACACTCTCGAGCGTCATGACCTGTTGACCTCCTGCATGATCGTGTCTATCTGGGTTGCAAACTACGAACACGTCACTCGTGCCTTCGTAAAGTCACGACGCATGGCCGAGCTTGTCGATGTGCTCGCTTTGTCGAGCAAGGCCTTGGTTATTCGGGACTCTAGCCAACGCAAGTCTCCAATGGAGCACACCAACTTCGTCAAGGGCCAGGAACTGAAGATCTGGGATGTCACAATCTCCGAAGAGGAAAAGAAGAGGCTTGGGATTGTATCGGACCCAGATCGGGAGCAGTAGGTCAGCGAAAATTTGTTCTGTGTACATTAGCATGGGATTTGAGTGGTTTCAAGTTTTTAACGGCGGGACTCTGATATGAAACGAAACTGGATCAAACATGGGAGGACAGGTTACTTCATTCTACTGCAGCTACTACATGTCAATAGGACATCTACGAATGCATCAACATCGTATGTCAACAATATCAATTTGAAAGCAGATTTCTTTACGTGTCTCGTTTCTGATCACATGGCCTTGTCCACTAGTAAATCATTAGTATCAACCCGAAGCTTAACTTCATGAAAGAACACTGCGCATATGGATTGGTCGTATTGAAATATAACGTAAAGCAAGCACAATCACTCATACGGCGCCATCAACGTATTCCCCAACACATTAGCGGGGAACTCCTCTTCGCCCAGAGCGGTGGTATGTGCCCAAGGCTTAAGGCTATTCTCGCGCCGGATCGTCGCTGCAAAGCAGTGACTCCAGCGCTTGCGGGGGAAATGTATAGAGACATCCTTGATAGTATCTGCATGGACAAGGTCGGAGTAGACACCGATGTTATCTGCAAGGAACTTAGCATTTGAAGATCGATGTTGAGACATATTGTACAACATGAGCATAAATCAAAGTTTAAGATAAAGTGAGGTCAAAACGTCAAAGCACCACAATAGAAATAAGCATATACGCTAATAGAACATCTGGGTGTCAAAAAGATGTGGTGACACAGGCCGCACAGATATATACAGGCAGAATACCTTGACTGCCGCGCGGACAGAGACGTCAACCGATTGAACATATAGGGATATACGTACCAAAGATCGTAGCCAGCTGCAGCAACTGTCCAAGAGCAGTGATGCTGCCAACGAGAGACAAATCCTGATGTCTAATGATAGCTTCCGCGACGCTCTCAGCCTGTTCACGCGGGGCTGTCGCCTCGCCGGAGCCCGGCTGTGGTCCCCGATCACGAGCACGGGCAGTACCTACAGCCTCGTCTTGGTTTTCATACCCGTGAGTATCATGCTGTAAGACGCGCAATGCCAGCACGCCACCGAAGAACTCAAAACTCAGCTTGGTGGCGGTGATATTGGCTTCCGTGGTCCCAATATCATGCAATAAACAAGCCAGAAAGTAAGTCTCGTCGTCAAAGTCCCAGTCCGCAAACGGGAACCTATAGCGTTTGATTGCGAGCCCGAAGTGATACACCCGTCGTGAGTGGTTGTATGTTTCTTCGGGGAGGTGCGTGCATGCATAAGCGTTGATGCGCTGTGATAGTGGGGTTTCCGGGATTTGGGTTGCGGAGACGGGAATTGGGATTGGGGGAGAGGTTGGTGCTGGATAGCAGGGTGTGTTTCTGAGGAGGTCCTGCGCAGAGGCTGGGACGGCGGTGAGACCGTATTTGTTGGTTGGGTTGGACATGTTCTTTATTTTAAGGCTTTAGGGTTCGGTTGGGCTCTGGGGTTTGTAAGGTCTGTGAGGTAGTTATTAGGATTGGGGTGATATATTTGGTTTTCGGTTTGAGAATAAGAAGGTTCAGATTCGGTGTTGTTGCTATATATTCTATGTGTTACTGTAAATGCTGACAGTCAATAATTTGTCTGTTATATATTTGTACGACCTAGCTATATATGCCCGATTCGGAAATGCAGAGGACCGAGCTCTACATACATATAATGTACCCAGATGCCTAGGTGCTCCGTGTGACTGCTCTAAGCTTTCAGTATTCCGAGCCAGTCCACTCATAGCTACTCCGTACATGTATGTTGTATGCCGTACGATATGTTGCAAGGATCAGGTTGTGTGTGGTATGAGAGTGGCTGAGTTTATGTGTAAACTAGAATCCGAGCTTGGCATGAGAATCAGGTTATTCACTTGGCCCGTCTAGTTCCGGGATAAATCAGAGTTTGCTTAAAGCTCCAAAAGCAAGTCTTGGTTATGCTACGTCGTAGTATCCACGTCGATCAAAGGAATAGGGGACGTCACCACTCTGAAATTAAGACCGACGCTACTCCGTGTATTGTAGATTAGATATAGTACATAACGTCTTGGACTTCAATGTAATTCGTCCTTCAAATGATATCTAACTTCACATTCAAGTTCTATTCCAATTTGTGTTTTTTTTATTTTTCTGACCCCCTATTCTGCCGAATCAGGACCTCGGCCATGTCGATGTCTTGGCAATGAGGCAGTGCAGACCACTACTAATAGCTTGGTATTGGTGGTATTTGCCAAATGTGCTTCTTATTCGTTAATCATTTATCCACGCTAATATGAACAATTTCCCTGTGATTTTTGTTGAAAAGAATGTAGAATATCCTACGAAGTACGGAGTCGCTTATATAGAGTACATCATATATACAATCTTGTATATGTGCAGAAATATATAGTAGGGGCTGTGCAAGACACTAAAAAAGTGGAGATTCACGGGTAAAGGAATAAAAAAAAGAAAAAGTAATACTACACTCCGTAACGAAAGCGAATATTACTATGGGAAGTTCTCGGCCATAGTGGAGAGAGACTACTTGACGTCTCCGGTTCTAGCTGGGGGCAATTAACCTTGCCGCTCGCCTCTCCTATCTTGTTTTACACCCAATTTTCCACCCTTACCTTGGCGACATCTGGAGTTTAGGAGTCTAGGGAGTTCTTGCGATTCTTTCTTATTATCCTATGAACCATCTACACATCTGGGTGTGACGCGTGAATCGCGCATTGAATACATATTCCTACAATGTCCGATCTGGGTCCGAAAGATGAGCCGGGCCAATCGACCCTGCGCAGAGAGCGCGCCCCGACAATTACCATCGACACTTCAGCCATGAACTCCCCCGATACCGAATACCATCCTATCCAAATCCTCTCGGGATCAGGATCACATAACTACTCCGATAACGCACATGCTGACACAAGCGCACTACTGAACAATGGCGGTGTCTCTCCCACGGATATGCGCTCCACAGCCTCAATCCGCTCCAATGCCTCCTCCGAACCTCGTGATCTAGAGAGTCGCCCAACGTCGCCCCACAACATCTCATCACCCAAGTCCAAGGCGCCCGAGGCGCATTCCAACTTCCTTTCCGTTCCCGGAGCACGTTCCCGAGGCAACTCCTTGGAATCGGATGGGACCAGCCAAACATCGAGCACCTACGGCGGCGAGACATATGTGCCCTCAACATCTCACGAATCAAGATCAGATTTGGTCAAGAATGCCGCCATAAACGACATACACGATGAAGATGCCCTGAGCCCAGACCCCGGCCGCGAATCCGAGTTTGAGGTCGAGGACAACAAATTCGCTTTCTCCCCTGGCCAGCTAAACAAGCTTCTCAACCCAAAGAGCTTTGGCGCCTTCCATGCGTTGGGAGGCTTGCGAGGGCTAGAAAAGGGCCTCCGAACTGATGTAAAAAGTGGATTGAGTGTTGATGAGACAACCCTTGATGGAACCGTCAGCTTCGAGGAGGTTGTCTCACCTAAATCACCTACCTCACCAAATAATATACCCAAGTCTGCCTCTCCGAATACATCGGCACCACCTGCCGGCGAGGGCTCGATCACAACTCAGGCCGGAAAAGAGTTCGCCGACCGCAGACGTATCTACGGAGATAATAGGCTTCCAGAGAGGAGGTTGAAGACTATCTGGGAGCTTGCATGGATTGCCTACAACGATAAGGTGTTGATCTTATTGACAGTTGCGGCTGTAGTTTCACTTGCTGTAGGAATTCCACAATCGATTCACCCAGCAAATCCCGATGAACCTGGCGTTGAATGGGTTGAAGGTTTGGCCATTCTTGTTGCCATTATTATCGTGGTTACGGTCGGTGCAGCAAATGACTGGCAAAAGGAACGACAATTTGCAATACTCAACAAAAAGAAAGAGAATCGGCAGGTCAAGGTAACGCGATCAGGCCGAACGGAAGAAATTTCTGTCCACGACGTATTGGTTGGCGATTTGATGCTTCTGGAACCTGGTGACATGGTCCCAGTTGATGGAATCTTGATCGAAGGCCACGACCTCAAGTGCGACGAATCTTCGGCTACTGGCGAGTCTGACGTTCTCCGCAAAACCCCGGGCGATGAAGTGTACCAGACAATCGAGCGACATGGAGATCTGAAGAAAATGGATCCTTTCATCATTTCCGGTGCCAAGGTCTCTGAGGGCGTCGGCACCTTCTTGGTCACTGCTACCGGTATGCACGCTACCTTTGGCCGGACGATGATGTCCCTCCAAGAGGAGGGCGAGACAACACCTTTGCAAACTAAGCTCAACAAATTGGCCGAGTATATTGCCAAGCTCGGTCTTGCCTCTGGTTTGTTGCTGTTTGTGGTTCTTTTCATCAAATTTTTGGTTCGTCTCAAGGACATCGAGGGTGGTGCGGACGCCAAGGGTCAAGCATTCCTGCAGATTTTCATCGTTGCTGTTACAATTGTCGTCGTCGCAGTGCCTGAAGGTTTACCACTGGCTGTCACGCTTGCTCTGGCCTTTGCTACAACACGAATGCTCAAAGACAACAACTTGGTTCGCTATCTCAAAGCCTGCGAGACTATGGGTAATGCCACCACGATTTGCTCCGACAAAACCGGAACCTTGACGGAGAATAAAATGACTGCAGTGGCTGCGACGTTGGGTACTACGTCTCGGTATGGAAAGTATTCTGGTGTCTCGCCTGATGATCAGAGTGAGATCACCGCCTCGGATTTTGTCTCTACCCTTTCGTCGTCGGTGAAGGATGTCCTGCTGCAGTCGATTGTCTACAACTCAACCGCATTTGAAGGCGAGACAGATGGAGTTAAGACGTATATTGGATCCAAGACAGAGACCGCCCTCTTGACTTTCGCTAGAGATTACCTCGGAATGGGGGTCCTTCGCGAAGCGAGAGCAAATGGCAAGCTCGCTCAGATGTTCCCATTCGATTCTGGCCGCAAATGTATGGCAGTCGTGATCGAACTGGATAATGGAAAATACCGAATGCTAGTTAAGGGTGCCGCGGAGATTCTAGCCACCAAGTCGACCCGCATCGTCCAAGATCCCACCGACTCTCTGTCGGAGGCCCCTGTTACCGACAAGAACAGGATTTCATTGGACAACATTATGAACAACTATGCCACCCGCTCTCTCAGGTGCATTGCCCTGGTTTACCGTGACTTCGATCAATGGCCACCTCGTGGTGCCCCCACTGCGGAAACCGATCGCAACCAGGCAGTCTTCGAACCTATCTTCAAGGACATGACCATGCTGGGAATCTTCGGTATCCAAGATCCTGTTCGAGAAGGTGTTGCTGAGGCAGTGTACACATGTCAACGTGCTGGAGTGTTTGTCAGAATGGTGACTGGTGATAACATCGTAACTGCTAAGGCTATTGCCCAGGAGTGTGGTATCTACACACCTGGCGGTATTGCCATTGAGGGACCCAAATTCCGCAAACTGAGCACACGCCAAATGAACCAAATCATCCCAAGACTCCAGGTCATCGCCCGCTCTAGCCCTGACGATAAGAAGATTCTGGTCAATCAACTCAAGAAGCTTGGAGAGACTGTTGCTGTCACTGGAGATGGTACCAACGACGCCCAGGCTCTTAAGAATGCCGATGTTGGTTTTGCAATGGGTATCACTGGCACGGAAGTTGCCAAAGAGGCATCCGACATTATTCTCATGGATGATAACTTCGCCTCTATCGTCAAGGCTATGGCATGGGGTCGCACTGTCTGTGACGCCGTTAAGAAGTTCCTTCAGTTCCAAATCACCGTCAACATCACGGCCGTCGTTCTCACCTTCGTCTCTGCAGTTGCTAGTGATAGTGAGGATTCAGTGCTCAGCGCAGTACAATTGCTGTGGGTCAATTTGATCATGGACACGTTTGCTGCTCTTGCTTTGGCGACGGACCCTCCTACACCAACAGTGCTCGACCGCAGACCCGAATCCAAAGCCGATCCGCTCATCACTTTGACGATGTGGAAGATGATAATTGGACAGTCCATCTATCAGTTGGTTGTAACTTTTGTTCTGAACTTCGCTGGAGATAAGATTTTTTCTTGGGATCATGACCATTTGCAGACTGTGGTTTTCAACACTTTCGTCTTCATGCAAATTTTCAACCAGTACAATTCCCGTCGTATTGACAACAAGTTCAACATTTTGGAAGGTATTTGGAAGAACCGCTGGTTCATTGGTATTCAGCTCATCATTATTGGCGGTCAAATCTTGATCATCTTTGTTGGTGGCGCTGCTTTCTCCGTCAAGCGTCTTAATGAGGGCTCGCAGTGGGCTGTGAGCATTGTACTCGGAGTAATCTCCATACCAATCGCCGTCATTATCCGTCTTATTCCGGATGAATTCATTGCAAGGCTCGTTCCTCACTTCTGGCATCGCGAGAAGGGTCCCGAATTAGTTATCTCAGACGAAGACCGCCATTACGAGTGGAACCCCGCTCTGGAAGAAATCCGCGATCAGCTCGCCTTCATCAAGCGTGTCCGCGGTGGCCGTCTACGCCACATCCGCCACAAGCTGCAACACCCTCAGGAACTCCTCCCTCGCTCCCGCAGTGGCTCCCGCTCGCGTGATTCCTCCTCCTCACCCACGCCTAATGGCGACAACGACAACGATCAAGGCAGCCCAACCCCACAGCCGACCACCCCAGAGTCTCGTTCCAGACGCAACACACGGTCGCGATCGAACTCGGCGTTCGGACCCGCCGCTGCTATGGCAGGCATCGTTGCCGGCAGTATTGCCGGATGGTCTCCCATCGAGCGAGCCCACGAGCCCGACTCCGTCAGCTTCCCAACAAACGGTGGCCCTCACAGCGGCCTTGATCGCGAACCAGGCATTGAAGTGCACCCGGATACCGCTGCTGATGACCGTATCCTGAACGAGTACTCTGCTACTTCCGGGTCACCCCCGAGTCAGAACCCGGATTTGATTCCGTTCTTCGAACATGCTCCGCCGGTTGACCGCGCGCCCTCTAGCCGTGGTCGTCGCTCTCCCTCTCTCAGCGATCAAGATCGAGATCGAGTCTAAGTCAGTCACATGTCTGAGCCTTGTCTCGTCTTTTTTTGATGCTCCTTTCTTCATCTCCCCAACCGCCGGGGACATCCTCTTTAATACATTATGCCCCTATTCCCCCTCGACTCAATTCTACTGCTCTATTTTCGGTGTCTGGAAATGGGTGATTCGGCGCAACGCTGTTGAAAATTAAGCATAGACTCCTTTGTACTTTTGGGTCCATACAATCATTTGCATTTGGGTTTGGTGGCCACCTGAGCAGGTTGGTCTTTTTTCTTTTTGGATATCTCTCGGCGCATACAACGCCACGGCGCCATTTAGCATTTTCCGTCGCTTCTTCCTTTCGCTTCTACAGTGTAAAATTCCCACAACATGCTGAAGATACCACTTTTTTCTCTGTTCTTTCCTTCGTAAACTGCTCAAACTTCTCTTTCTAGACTGGCATTCAAATTCCCATCTTGTCAGGCCTGCTTAACAGTGTATGTATTCACTACTTCTTATTTGTTAATGCTCCAACCTAGATCACTTCTTCCTTACTACTATTTGGCAAACACTCAAACTAGTATACCAATAACAAGCTGAACAATTGTACATCACAGCAACTTCAAAAGCGACCTCGTCGTAATACCTAAGCCCTTCCTCCGATCATCAGAGCTCCAGAGTTTTTGCATTCATACCGCGCACTAGCTACCCAACCTCTGTTTCAGTGGCATAGCGTGGTTGAGAGGATGAAATATGCTTCGGGGTATAGAAATAGGCGGTATAATTCTGCCGGAAAGTGAGGTTATATAGCACAGAACGAACAAGTATTTCGCCCTTCGGGGCATATGGTCAAATGAAAATATACAGAGAAGATTAGCATGGCCCCTGCACTAAGGATGACACGCATAATCAAAGAGAAGCGATTATTTTTTTTTCCTTTCGATGTCCTGTATTGAGGATATACGGTGTGGATATTATTTACTATGTACATACATATGTATTTAACGATTTTTGGAAGTCACGTGTCAGACTGCCCAATTACGTCGTGTGTTCGAGCCGCAGGTCCCGCGAAAAAGCGGGTCTGTAGATAATTACCAGCCGCAGTGGAGTATCTTCAGCCACCATCCGAATTTGAAGTATAATGAGCTTCAGGGAATGACCTTTTACCCTTTGGGGTATATGGGTTAAAATTAAAAAACATTTACAGAGAATCGTCATCGGGCGTGCACTAAGGATGACGTGTCCTAAGCAAAGAGAAGCTAGTAGAGAAATGAAATTACAATATGTTTCCGCAATTCACTATGTATCAGAAGCTTTTAACGATGCTGATATTTGCATGTTCTCATGCACATTTTACGCCGTTTTCAGTATATCGCAAGATAGTTATGTATTGTTTGTGACTAGCTCTTCATATCTTCTTAGCCACAAGACCAATAAGAGAGAAAACAGCTAGAGATATTCAGAAAGACTACTAGGTCTGCATAAGCGTCTGATTATTCTTGTATTCATACAAACGAAAAGAAAGGTCGGAGCTAAAAAAAGAAGAATTAAAACATAGCAGTATAATCAAGTCGAAACTAACCTCCTTCTTCTGTTTCTTCAGTGAGTATTGAGCTTGACCTGAAGATTTTCTTCATCTCGTAAGTCGTGGAAATAAACGTGTTAGGCTCAAGATGCACAGCAACCTCAAAATCGAGAAGAGTAACAGCCCTACTTTCTCTTGCATATAAGATATTATGCATTCCGGGGTCGTCAAGACGAATGGATATTGCTCGGAGTGCATGTAGGGCCCTTGAACATTCATTCTGGACATGGGTTTGTTCATTTGCATTTAGGGTGTGCCAGATATCGCAAAGTCGTTCGCCGTCTCGGTATTCTAAAATGATTGCGTAACCTTCTGGAAACAGACTTGAGCATATGATTTGCCCTCTTGCAATACATTTGGGGAAAAGGTGGTGCCCAGCCGGGCGGGTTGTCTCAAGGCGATCATAGACGGCAGCTTCAGTCTCAAACCTATATAGAGCTCACTAGTCAAACCTAATAATATATAGGCAGAGGGCAACGTAACTCACAGTGAATCTACCTCAAATGACCAGCATTTTAGTACTCTTCGAGTACCCCTGATATCTGCCAACCACACAGCTTTGTCCGGACTATCGGAAAGTGAAACTTGCTGGACACAATCGGCAACCACGGGCATATCGGCACCACATTCGACAACCACACTGGTTGATGTAATAGGCCGAGGGGTGGATAAGGGAGGTAGTTCTCGGGGATGATGGTTGTTTACCCTATGCGATACGCGCGGGGCGGGAGCACCTCTCAACTTTTGCTTTAGGTCAACTGTCTGTATATCTTAAGCTCGCCTAGGTAGGTACTTACCCTTGTCTCAATATCGGGGTGACTTTCAGAGTATTTTGGATCCGCCATAGCCATTAGACAAAATCCAACAAACATTTCTCGGAGCGGGGGACTTTGTGAATCATACCCAAAAGGCTCTGAGAGAAGAAAAGAGAAGTCGTTCGCTCTTTTAACGAACACAGTGAAGTCATATGTTGTTAAAAAGGCGTATCGGACGCGTGCCATTCGCATTTGGCCTACAACTTGCCCTAGAGTTTAAGAAAAAGTCAGTAGAGCTTTCGGAATGATAGGAGTTGGCGATAAGGTATACCAATCAGAGTTTCTAAGCGAGGTGCCGGATTTGGACAATTGATTCTCATTTCATCGACATCCACTGTCCATGGTGTTTCAAACTCGCCAACCATGTAAAGGCCTGTAGTAGAACGAGGGAAACTTGGGTTGACGAGACCGAAAGTGACATCTGGGACAGTTCTACCGGACGGCGTAAGGGCTTGAATATCGGCAAAGCGGACGGAGGACATTTGGTCTAGCGGCATCAATGCTTGCATTACAGGATCGCAGAGGTTTCGGACGAATCTTCCGGAAAGACCAAGTTCACTCCCCACGACATAGATCTCAGATTCATCTTTTATGGGGACTTGATGGGTTATGTGGACCGACAGGAAGAATGTCCGAGTTTCTTGCAGAAACGAGCTCCAGTGTTGCATATATGTTAAAGCGACGCGATCGTTGTGAATTGATGCATGTTGAGTGCCACCATTTCTAGCCAAGCTTGTCAATGGACGGGCAAGCTGCACCACGGCGGGTTCCATGTTTGTGTTGATGTTTGAGGCGCATATGTTCAAGACAGAAGAGTAGGGGCGTAGAAGCGTGTGGGGTGAAGGAGAATGGGGAAGGGAGGAGGAACAGGTGTGGAGAAAGCTGTGGGGAAGGGTGGGGTAATTGGCTCCGCACTTGAGAAGTCACGTGTAAATGTATTTAGGATGCTGGCGATTGAAAAATTTCCCAAATTCTACAGATTGCAACTAGAGTAACTTCAATTGGAAAATTATGTGCATATTTGATAGAAACAGCCCTCACTTGACCCTCACTTGACAAGCTATTCACTTAATACACAGGAAGCTTGTACGCATCCAAATCGTACTCAAAGCTATCAATCGATTCCTGGCTGTAAACGCACTGGAATTTCTTGCCGCCCGAAGTCCAAAGAGGACGAAGAGGCCAACGGCACATCGTTTCAATCGCACCAGACCCAGCGAGTGTCGCCGGCGCATTGCCATTCTCAACCCACTCAATGAGAGTCTGCAGAGTTGTCTGTGGCCAAGGTGCATTGGGTTGGTTCATATTGGTGCCACAGTGTCCCACGCCAGGAATTAGGAACAGCCGATAGAAGTCATCAAGAGCGGCTGCGCCTTCATCGTATGACTTGTTGGGGAACATAATTTCCCTGACTGAGTTCCAGTAACGGATTGAAGAGGCGGTGGGGATTGAGTAGTCCTGCTCTCCGTGGACGTGGATAACTTTTCCACCGGCGGCTTGGAAGTCCGTCAAGTCTGGATATGTTGTCTGGAAAATGTCCCCGTACTTCTTTTCGGAAAATATTATCCATTCCTTGATGGTATCGTAGGTGACACCATCTAGGTCGGGAAGGTTGTTCTCCTGCAGAAGATCGATGAACATGCCAACCCATCCGCCACCGATACCGCTAATGTCGAGCTTCCAGCTGTCAGTAGAAACATCATATGCGGTTCGAAGATCGTCGAAAGTCGAACCAGGCTGGTAGCTGAAGTAAACACGCTTGCCATCGGAGTCAAAAAGACCATTCCAAAAGGCCTTGACGACCTCAATGGCTTTGGCAGATACCTTACCTGTCTGCTCGGGTGTAGGGCCTGAGAAGGGGGAGCCAGGGACCGCAGGACACGAGTAAGAAGCGTCCAGGATGGAATCCCAGTTTAGATTCTTCAAACACAAGTCCGAGCGAGAGACAATGCCGTCGGTCTTGCCATCCAGGGGATCACAGCTTGCGATGGTCATGTTCATGATCTTTTCGAGCTCACAGCTGGGGGAGTAGTAGTCAAGGGTTTTCTGGATGACGTTGCCGGTCAAATGGTTGGTTTGCTGTTGCGCCCACCGGAAGGCCGGAGCGCCAGCAACTACACCATCAAACTGATCAGGGTACCGTTGAACCTGGCTCCATCCCTCACGGCCTCCCTCGGAACAGCCCTGGTAGTAGGAGTAAAGCTTTTCGCTTTCAGAGACGTTGTAAATATTTCTTGTCAGCTGTTTTCCCAATACAGCAAGCTCATGCTGAGCCTGGTAGCCTGTTTCTGATGTTAGCGAGCCCATGGGCTGTAGGTTTTAGAAGTATGATGGACCCACCAAACATGTACGTCGCTTGCCAATTGAGGGTTCCATTTGCCAAGAGAGCAACCTCATTAAATTGGGTATTGAAGCTTCCAAATCCTCCATCGGTCAAACCTCCAACACTTTATACATTATATCAGTTAACATATCTACGGCATGGACAAGTAGATGAGGAAATGCTTACCCGCCAACGATAACACCAACAGGGATCGCTGAGGATCCCGAGTTGATAGCCATGCCACCTCCACCCGTGGACACATATCTGTTCCTAAACTGGCCTGGAGCTGGAAGCCAGTATTGCACATGAACAATGTCCCCATCAATGCCATCATGGGAGTAGGCGAAAGTCACATTGCAGTAATCGAAGGTCGTAGTAGGGTAGAACATGTTACTGGCAGTGAAATTGGTGACGAGCTTCGTGGAAACCGAAGAGGGGTCAACGATAAGGCCCTGAATGGCATCTACTGGCAATGCATCCTTCGCATATGCGGTGGTACAGATGTCACCCAGTTCAGTTGTTGTGGCGGCAGCCGAGGCCAGCCCAATCGTATAGGTCCATAGAGAATACCGCATGATGTTTCTTCGCTCTCTCAACTATGTCGCGGAAGATATAATGAGAAACTGACAAAGGAAATAGAATCTTTTTATATGTTCTACATAGAAGTGATCAGCGGTCCTGAAACCAGCATAATTTGGAGTGTACATTGGGGGTAAATGTTATGCCGCCACTCTCCACAGACCTGTGGGGAAGGTTACTATCAATCCACGAATACAAATCATTATTCTTAGATTCTTCAAGGATTCTTCAAGGGTTCTTCAGGGAAACTTGCTCTATAGATTGCTGCTCCACAAATCTCCACTCCGGGGCTATCGGCTGAAATGACTCCCGAGGTGGTGTGCCAGTCAGTATGTCATACGTAGGAAGTATACTCGCTGATTTTTCTACTCAATTTGTAAGGTCTCATTATTGTAACAATCTCACTAGAAGAGCTAAGCAATTATATATAATAAGTCGGCATTTTAGGCATTAAAACGGGCTATGGCTACAGATGTAGATAATTGCAGTAGACATATGCAGTTATCTAGTATTATTCCTCTAGATATCCTTTCTCGGGAGGTCCGACGGCTGGTGGGTCTCTTTTGTTAGGGGCATAAGCTAGGCTTCAGAGCGATCTAATGATCAATATACCTCAACAAATCGCATCATGTAAAACAGATCTCCTAAAGTTGACTGACGAGAAATCTAGGAGATCACCAACTAAATATCCTGGAAATTTTGAGGTTTCAGTCATACCTGTCTCAGAGATCCCTGATGTTACAACCACATCTAAGGTTCATATTCCTCAGCGCTTACAATCCCAGCTAGCTAGAGGATAAGGACAACAATACCCCCAAAAAGATAGGAAGGATACAGTAAAAGTTTATCCAATCAAGCAGCTCGAAGTGTTGATCGACGTGTATCTCAGACACTGGATCAGCTCATGCCTAACGGTGTCAGATATATGTTTGTTATAGGGACACTTGATATCAACTTGGATCAATATGCACCTACGTCATTCAATAATGGCGGAAAAAATGGAACATTATGTATTTTGGTATATGAAGCGAATATCTCGGGTTTGATCCAATTTGTATACCTTGTTAATGAAAGTTCTCAAGATTTTGATACTTGTTTTGTGAAACCGATTTCCGGAAGTACTATACTAGTACTATAAGACCAAATATTCTTAATTCAAAGAGAAAGCTTGGCAAGAGGGATATTTGACCAATTAACTACTTCGAGTGCCTAGCCTCTTTCATTTGTCCAAAGTTCGGTGTCATTGACATTTGGCTGGCATGATGAAAGGGCTTAGATATAGTGGATCAGGACTAGAATAGAATAAAACACCCAATCACGTATCCACGGCATTATGGATATAAAGAGCTCACCGGGAACTCACCGAGAAATCCAGACTATAAAACGGCGGGTAGTCGGCATCCCTTTTGCCAAGGTGACATTTGCTCATTCTAACTAAAAACTAGGTATTGCAGTGCAGATCGATCACTAGGCACTCTGGCTCTATTGGCTTATAGGATCAATCGCTATGCACTGTGATAACACTAGTTCATAAACGGAAGACAGGCCCGAGGCCCGAAATTGAAGGCCACTCTACCAGGCTCTCATACCACATCCCCTGGCCCGAACCCAAACATCCACAACCCGAGCAGCATCGCTATCTTGATCCGAATCAACAACAAAATACCACCCGTAAAAGGCACCAGTTACACAAGCGTGATTCGGGTGCACTTTAACCACTTGTCCAATATGCAGGGGAATCTTCATCTGGGACTCGCTCTCCCAAGTCACAATTGCATGCTCTTGACTGATCCTCTCAACAACCAATCTCTCTGATGAAGCTTTATCCGCTCCATCTAGTCGCCAAGAAGAAACAACCCCCCAGCCCGGATAGCTCGGACACGGCTCTCGGCCTAGTGCAAGCGTTCCTGCAGCGAGGAGTGCTTCGGGCTTTTCGCGCTCGCCATCGTTATAGACGCTGCACACTTCCGCAAGTACCGAGATGGCAATTTCATCTTCCAGAAACCCGGAATCAGCACTAGCGTGCGTGGAGAATTGCTGCATATCCAAAATGGGATAGACGCCAGCATGCAACTCGACATTTCTCTCGCGAAGCAAAGCCTTGAGCTCCCGCGCTTCCGCATAGGGAGAGTCATCACGCAGCAAGTTCTGGGATGAGACGACCTGCGGGGTAGCACCGACACTAATGATCAGTTCCCTTTTGGGTAGTAAATACAAATTTCTCTCCAAGGCATCTTTGCACCCGCGGATCTCACTGATCAAATGACCCATCGCTTGCTCTGGGGTTGTCCCGCTATAGCTCAAACTACTGTGTGAATACAGCCCGATGAGCTTTGCCCCACCTGTTTCCTCCGCAGAGGCAAGTTTCTCGAGTAACCCGTTCTTGTTGAGGGATACGGGCGGCAAGCCAGCGCGGTGGTAGCCCGTGTCGACCTTGACAAAGACACAGGTTGGATGTCCTGCCAGAGAAGAAAGTTTCTCCAGGTAGGGGAGTTGGTCTGGGTGGTCGATCATCACAGTGATGCTGTTCTCGCCTAGCTCGCGGGCTGCCTTGGCTAGTAGTGGAACCTGTGATGGAACGAGGGGAATGCCGTAGAGAATGTTAATTTTTCGGCCATTTCTTTTCAGCTCCTGGAGTAGAGGGATCATCATCTCGATCTCTAGGACTGTAGAGGCTATGAAATTGGCCTCGCTGGTGTCGCCGATTTGGAGCTTGGCGATTTCGGGTGTCTGGTTTTCATAAGTTGAGTGAAATTACAGGTAGAATATGTTATTCGAGGCTTCTGACCTTGTGGGACTTAACATGAACTCTGAACCCGACATCGAGCGTGTTGATTGTGTGTAGCATCGTCTCGCAGTGTCGTCGGATGATTGCTACGTCGAGGACGACGGCCGGTTTGGGTACATCGCTGATGTCTTTGCCGATGTAGAACTTTTGCAGGTCTTCCTGAGATGGGGTTATAGAGGCCATTCTGGAATATGTGCAAGTTATTGAGAAGTGTGAAATGGGATTCGGATATTTGTATTCTTCTGCATCTCAATAGGAAATGTGGGGCGGAGGATGTCAAGTCCGAACTTCGCCGTTCACCGACGTCTGGCCTGTGATATCTCCATCCTCCCTTAGATAAATATGCCCGTATGCATCCTCTGTCTGTTTTGACACCTGCATTTCCCCAAGTCTAGCTGGTATGACCTGGGTAAATTCAACTACTGTTGTCATCTCCCTCCTGGTTCGAGGCTTCCGCGTCTAAAACATAGTTGTCAGAGACAAATGCTCTGGTGTCAGTTGGGTGGATTGGACACATGATACCTGCAGTTCGCACAATTAAAAACTGTGCCGCAGCTACAGGCTGAACTCTATGACGAACAGAGCCAGTAATCAATCCATTCCGGAGCACGCATTCAATGTTAGATTCCCGCATCAGGCGAGAGGTTTGCATTGCCGCCAAGGATGCGAGCCACTGGCTGTAGGTACGCACAACAGCTATTTCTGGCTGGAGGTCTTGGATACTGTTCGTGCCAGACAAGGCAGGGTCGAAATGAACGCGTCGATATGCAGAGGGCACGTGGAATTGGATCTCATCAAGCTCCGGGTCGTACTGAAGGTGGGCTTCCAGATCAGCAAGGAACGCAGAATAATCCATGCCGATGGACTCATTGGTTCTAGTGGGGAAGAAGTAGGTGCCAGCCCAGAAGATGGCCGTCTCGTTTCTGTTCGCAGGTCGGCGCACGACGATCATTCCATCGCGGACTCTGGGCCGAAAGATGGACGGCGGGGAACCGTGAAGTGAGGCAGTGGAGGCCATTGTAGTTTTAGTATCGATGGGTATGTTGCGAGGTCAGAGGAATTTTAACTGGAGAAACATCAAATGAGGTGTGCAGGTAGGTAAAGCTCGGATGGAGGAACAGTCAAAACAAACCAGGATGGGAACTATGAGCGTTAAGTTATGAGTCGTAACTATCAGACTGTGCATTTTAACGATAGGTTTAGTAACTTCGACAGAGCAAATTAAAATTTACAAAGGAGAAATAGCATTAATGAATCCCTGATATGGATTTGATCGATTTGAAATGGCTAAATCTCTTCCCTCAAATTTTCTCTTCGTCCTAGGCATTCATTCAGAGCCCCCGAATTCTCTTTCCCTGGCACCGGTGCAAGGTCCGCTATGCCACACTTCCCCCATCGCATGTAACCACAAAGAACCCAATTGCATTGCTTGCTGGCATCCTTGAAAAGAAATCCCCGTCGTGCAATGATCTTTTTCCCACCCATTCGAGCTCACTCATCGGGGCTTTCTGAATCTGCCTCTTTGTATTAAGTCAGTGGTTAGCTCGCGCTCTTTTTTAATCAAACCCGAGAGTCATATACTTATTCTATACAATGGTGAAGTGGGCAGTCATGATGGGAGAGCTAGCACTGGTAGCTTGCGAGCCCAAGTTGGCCTGATCTGAGGAAGCATGTTGCATGGCTATAAGAGCAGCCACCCAGGTATTGTAGCTCCTGACCATAAAAGCGGGAATCTCATTGGATTTTGTACGAGCCTGAGCATGGGTTTTATGATCCCATCGGATATCATTTTCGCGGGCATCATAACTGAGGTGATCGAACAGATCTTGTTCGAAGTCGTCGAAGCTCAGCATGGATGGATCGAAAGTGCCATCTTGATTGATGTGGGTTTCAGCGTTGAGGTAGCCTCCAAGCCAGAATACAGCTGACTGGCTGCCTTCGAGACGAGTGACTTCAATGAGACAGTCGTGCATTTTGAGCTCTCGTGGACGGTAGGGCGGCGGGACGGGGTCCTTAGTACTACCCATCTTGAGTGATAGTCGAATGGAGAGTTTAAGAAAAGATTTGATAATGAGAGGAGGATGAGAAAATGAGTCTATTACGAGTCAAGATGGCTAAGAAAAAGAGTAGAAGAGCGAAGAGCGACAGAGTGAAGAGCAAAAGAGCGCGACAGAAGTCAAGGTTTGGTAGGAACAGCTCTCAATATCCTGATCTTTCTTTACTGACAGTTTTGCGTCCAGACAAAACACCCGACTAACGGCAATCTACATACATATATCTATGTATCCATCACTTTTTATTCCCCTTCTTGCGCTTCCTTTGATTGTCTTCGACCGAACACAACTTCACATCCTCATCTTGGGGTCCCTGTTTTGCCTCGTCGATTTGTAAATAAGGGGAGTTTCTCGTACAATTATATAGGTCTCACGACCAGATTCTGTCTTATCTCAAGAGTTTACCTCATGCCAAACTCGCTCTTGACTACAGTAAAGAAGCGATCAGCCAGTCCATCTCCCGCCACCGATTCCAGATTTTGCATGGCTACCAAAGCAGCCGACCAACCATTTCGGGTTCGAATCACATATTTGCAGTCTAATGACTTAATGTAGCTTTGAGGGTCCCACACAAGCGCATAAATTTCACAGCTGTAGCCAAAATGGGAGCGCAGATCCTCCAAAATTAGATTATAAATGATCTTTGGATCCTTCTCAGGAGCCGGTATCCCGCAATTCCTAGTGTATGAGCGACCAGAATAATCCACTGGCCATACTGTAGTGATGGATACTGATAAGTCGATCTCTTAGGTAAGAATTGGTGCTGTACACAAGTGTACTTTGACTCTGTTGTGTTGTCACTGGCAACTTTGTTTGAGGTGCTGCTGAGGATGGTGCAAGAATAACCTTTCTTTATCAATTCTTGTTTCGGGGGCATGGTAAGATATACCTAGGTATCTTGATCTGGCCAGAAACGCTGCAAGATTCTATAGGTGTTGTTGAGAAAGTTGAGTGATGGATAAACGGTGTTGTTTGATATTTAGGGGATATTTACTTGAGTGGTATTTATCTCTATAAAAATACCTGTCACAATTCTAGGAATCCTAGCAAACTCCTATATTTCAAAGCTGCAAATTTTATTTACATAATGTCTCAGACCAAGAGCATCCGAAGCAAAAAAGCCAAATCAAACATTGATCAAGTATTGCTGCTTATTCTGTGCAAAACCATGACTTCGGTGCGATCAAAATCTAGAACATAGCAGCCAAAAGCCAGAAGAGCCATACGCATATAACTCTTAGCTGTCTATTGTTTAGAAATTCCAAGTCTGAGTACCCTCAAATCAGAAATCCCCTGGCAGACAACTACAGAATATACATATTATAGTGCATTTTTACTGGATACAAAGCACCATGTTATCAAAAAGCTTCGTCTCGTTGGGAATTAACCAATTTTTCACGAATCAGCATTTTTGTAATGCGTTTCGCCTAAGCAACTAGGAGAGTACATGGGCCTATACAGATCCGCATCACAGACCCCAGCTTCTGGATCAGAAAATATGGGAGAAAAGCTTAGCTGGAGTTGTAGGAAATAATCCGAGGTAGAGACTCGAGCTACGTAATATCACATTATTCGGGATTCTCAGTCAGTTTTCCAGGTTGAGCAGAAAAGACCATAAGAGAAGTCAGGATGAAGGGGGTTTTGCTCAGGCAAAGAGCATGTAGCACACCATTCAAGTCTTCATATTACCCCCTTTACAATGTGCCAATCAACTCGTGCTCATGTAGGCTATACAGCGATGCCGAGGACAACCGAGCGGTGCTTGAGGAGCTCTCTATATATAGCAATCAAGCGAAGTTATGAGCGACTTAATAAACGTAAACATTATTTATCCCAAGAGCCCCTTTCATTAGATCTTCTTTTCCCCAGAGAGCAAGAGCGAATCATCACACAAAGCACTCGGGGAAGTATTCGTCCCACATCAACCATGGGAGACGAGAATACATTTCCCGCGGAATTTGCACAACGGAGCTTCGGGCCCCTCCTTCATGAAATCTGAGCATAGTATACAATCATAAGCTAATGCGTACTCCTTACATCTGTAGCATTCCAAAGCATGCATATTCGGAGCTTTCCAGTATGCCACTTACCCCATACGGAAATGTATCGCGGATCACAGGGATCGGCGGACTTTGATATTTCATGGTGTGGCTGTCATGAACCCATCCCTTCCCCTAGTGGCATCATGAGGGGGGGTTGCAGACCCACCGAATATGTGTGTGTGGGCATCTTGGTGGACGGACCAATATTGCAGGAACATTGCAGGATGGATTTCCTCTCTCCCCCCACTTGTATACTGGGATAAATTGATAGCTCTCTTTTCTCTCCGCGTGACGATTGAGGATATACAACCTGCAGAGCGTGTCCCTTCACGTCTGTATTACAGTGGTACAATTCCTGCGCTCATCATTGGATGCCGTCGGCGAGCTGCTCAGATGGTGCCTTGATTGCTGAGGAATGCGTCCGTATCCAATTTTCCCTGGAGCCGTTACACCGTCTCACTGGGTAGACAGGGTGATGGCAGGGCCCTTTGGCCTAACAATGGTGCATTAGCCTTGAGAGCTTTTCCCCTTATATTTGTCATACCGTAGCTCCCCCTGGCCGTTGTGTTTTCTACGAACAGCTTATTTACCGCTCTTTTTGTGATTGCCGTATAGCTTTGGATCTACGACCTCCAATCTATACGCCAGACTCCCCGGCATTTATTTGTCTATTGGTGTATTCGGATTGAAAGCTCCTGTTCATGAACAGCTTAATCCCGCATAACGCTCTCACACATTAAGGTACCAGAGAATGAAGCCCGAAGATGTCGAAAAAGCCAACAGCTCGCCTACTCGTGAGAGTCCGGGACAATTTCACCTCGACAAAAGTGCCTCCAATAGCTCCTCCAACGACACAGACCTCGCAAAGCTCGACCCCGTGCCGCAACCGCAATCAAGATGTCAACGATGGATTGCACGCCTGATAAATGTGGAGAGTCGCGGCATCGAGCCCATTGCTATCGAAGATCGAGAGCCAATAACACCTTCAACCATACTCCATATGCTCTTAATGTGGTTTAGTATGACATTGGCTACAAATAACATTATTGTTGGATCAATGGGTACACTCGTCCTAGGCCTCAGCTTTAGGGATGCGGCCCTCTGTGCTGTATTTGGATGCTTAGCTGGCAATTTCACTGTTGGCTTTATAAGTACATGGGGACCGAGAAGCGGAAATCGAACTTTGGTATGTTTTATATTGAAACTTTTTGCACGAGATAATATTCCGAAAACGAACAAATGCTCATGAATTCGATAGATCGTGGCCCGGTATTTCATGGGTTATTATCCCAGCAAAGTGTGCATTATCCTGAACCTCTTCACCAATATCGGGTATAGCATGGTAAACAGCGTTGTCGGTGGCCAAATTTTGTCTGTGGTCTCTGGGGGCCATCTTTCTGTGATAGTGGGCATTATCATTATCGCCGTTTCCAGCTGGGCTATGGCCCTGTTTGGCATGAAAATCTTCCAATTATATGAGCGGTACGCATTGATAGCCCCGAAGGAACACCTTGAATACAAATTCTAATTAACATCAGAGTTGCCTGGTTGCCTCAGCTGATGGTGATCTGCGTGATGGTGGGTTCAGCAGGACCTCATTTCGATTTCAATATCCAGACGGCAATGTCGCCAGAGAGCTTAGTTGCCAAAAGACTCACGTTCTTCTCTCTGGCGTTGTCTATTGCCCTCGCCTGGGCCCCACTCGCCGCCGATTATTATGTCTATCTCCCGCCAGACATGAAGAGCTCCCGGACATTTTTAGTCACAGTCTTCGCTGCCACTAGTGGCATGTCCATTGTTCTTCTTATGGGCGTTGGACTTGGAACCGTCATCGCCAGCTCGGCACACTACGCTGTCAAGCACGGCAACAGTCCCGGAGAGGTGCTGATGATAGCATACAATGGCCTCGGAGGGTTCGGGAAATTCTGTGCTGTTATCAATGTCCTTGCCTTGGTTGCCAATAATACTCCTGGGGCGTATTCAATGGGAATGAACTTCCAGATGATTGGCGGGGTGTTTGGGAAGGTTCCACGGCCAGTCTTCACGACTATGGCTACTGTTATCTACGCCGCATGCGCAATGGGAGGCCGGGACCGACTATACGAGGTCTTCAAGTCTTTCCTTCCTCTGATCGGATACTGGGTTATGATGTTCGTTGTGATTATCTTCGAAGAACATATGATCTTCCGCCGGAATAGAGGCTACGACTGGTCTCAGTGGAACTGTCGCGAGAAACTGCCTTTGGGGATCGCAGCGGCCGTTGCTTTCCTTATTGGCTGGTCTGGTGCAATTGTCGGCATGGTAAGACATTTTATCCTCACAAATCTAGTTTATCACGCCTTGCTAATAGTTGGATTTAGTCTCAAGCGTATTATATCGGCCCCCTCGCGCAAATGGCTGGCGGGGCTGAGCTGGGTCTCTGGTTGGGTGCGGGCTTCACTGCGATGTTTTTCCCACCTTTACGTGCATTGGAGCTCAGATTCATTGGTCGGTAGCGTTGGCATAATTGTATGCCAGGAATTGTGGAAGCAGAACATTTTATCTCCCCTCAACATAAAACAGAGAGTATATAGCGATAGCATGGGAAATGTAAAGACCCGATGTGATCGTGTCAGGCTGGGCCTATAAGAAAAAATGAATTTCGAATGAGTCTGTTAAATAATACTAAGTTATAAACCTGGGGCGATCTTAGATCTATGATTCGTCGGCTTGAGAATAACCACATCCAAAGTTTAGGGCTTACGAGGCGTGATCGCATGCATGTGCATGTCCACAACCGGGAAATGTATCCCCAGATCTCTACTGGGTAACAGGGTACACAGGGTACACAGGGTACGATACATGTACAACTTATGTAATTCATATATAAGAGTTGGATTAGACCTAGAAGGTGAATATTCATGTTCATTTCCAACTCCCGAGGCTCGGTACACAGGTTACCCCGCGTTTGAAATGTCCAATTAGATGTATTCTTTAAGTTGGATGACCTCAATATAGAAGAATTATGAAGTAGAGTATGTTAAATCAGAAATTTGCGGGGTTGTTATGTACGTTGCACAAGAGAGACCCCATAAGGTGGGTCGTACAACTCTTGGAATAGACCTGTTCCCCGTGGGCCGTGGGTCAAGGAGTATCACATTCTTATTTAAACCTTTGTGGACCGCCCCCTGCTACTATCCCCCCCCCCCAAATACTATCATGAATTATACACACACTATGGCTTCACCTCTACCTGTAGAGGAAATGACAGTCCAAATACTCCCCTACGTCATAGGCCTCCTCCTCGCCTGGCCGGTAGTAACAACAACCCTACGGTACCAGCGGCTACGCAAGCTCCAGAAACAATATGACTATTCAACACGGGAGTCGATGTCCAAAATGACCGACGAAGAAGCCTTCCAAATCCAAAAACAAGTCGCACAGCTAGAATTCCCATTTATGTTCATCAAGAGTTTACAATTTGCTTTATTCCGGGTATGAAAAAAACAAATAAACACCAACACATTCAAGTTCATACCCTATTCATCTATACACAACTGTTTTCTAACTTGTAATAATTCAAACCAAAAAAGACATATGGCATCCCCACAATCTCTACCCTCCTCGCGAAAACGACCCAATTCTCCGGCCCGGAAACCTCCCTAAAGCGGTATACAGATACCAGCGTGCTCGTACAAGAAATGGTCGGCAACGACCCGACTTCCACCCGTGCATATCTCGGTCTTGCCCGAACGCGCTACCTACACAGCGGGTACAGGGCCTCCGGTAAGATCCTCGATGATGATATGCTCTTTACGCTGGCGCTGTTCGCTCTCCAACCGATTCGATTCATCGATCGCTATGAGTGGCGCAAGCTGAGTGACCTGGAGCGCTGTGCTATCGGGACTTTCTGGAAGAGTGCAGGTGACGGACTTGATATTAGCTATGAGCAGCTGCCATCTGGTAAGACTGGATTCCGGGATGGGATTCACTGGCTCGAGGAGGTCGAAGCTTGGAGTGAGCAGTACGAGGCGAAGTGTATGGTGCCTCATGTTAAGAACCGTGAGACGGCGGATCAGACTACAGCTGTGCTGGTCTATATGTTGCCTCAGATATTGCATCCGGTTGGATTGCAGTTTGTTTCGTTTATGATGGATGAGAGACTCAGGAAGGCGATGTAGTAAGTTGCAACGCTATATGCCACTAAACCCACTCATCGATGCACCAACTAACACCTCACCAAACAGCTTTGACGCCCCCTCCGCATTCTTTGCACCAATCTTCTCGGCTGTTCTCACAGTCCGCAAGCTCTTCCTCCGCTACCTAGCTCCACCACGACCGTACTTCATGCGCTTCGCCTCGTTCACCGAGGAGCCAGATCAAAACGGGCGCTTCTTCCTCAAAAAATGGGATGCTGCGCCGTACTATGTCAAACCCACGTTCTGGAACCGATGGAGCCCAACAGCATGGTGACCTGGGCTCTAGGACGGCCTTTGCCTGGTGATGAGGGAGATAAGTATTATCCTGCTGGATATAATATCCCGGATGTTGGACCGAAGTATTTTGAGGGGAAAGGCAAGAAGCAGTTGGATGAGACTCTGTTGGAGCTGAAGGCGTCCCGGACTGGCAAATGTCCTTTCCATTGAGCTGTAGAAAGGCGAGGGGTTGATTGTGACGAGATTGAGATATCGACATAGCATTATTTGATCCAATGGGAAGACTTATTATGGGCTACTTTTTGAAGAACCTTTCTCTACGATCTCTTGAAAAAAAAAGTACACAATAATTTCCAACTATTCTGTAAGACTACTGTTTTATCCTACGTGGCATTGTCACGACCTTAAGGCATTTGGATCCATAAAGTCAAGGACAATGGCCCGTATAAACCAATTACAACATCAATCTTAACACTCAATACTACAATTAACATAACTCAGAAGGCCGAAAAAATCATTTCGTCACTTTTTTTCCACTATGTGCTATTCTGGAAGGGTCGAACAAATCACCCCAAGCCGAGTAGGAAAATAGACAAAAAAGGGTGTAAATTAGGAGCGCTCAAACAAATTGGGTTCGGGGGCCTGCGCTCGCAAAGCCAGTCCGAATGGTAGAGAATGTGGGCTTGACAAGGGTATTACTTTGAACAAATCTCAAAGAGGATTTATTTAGATATCCTCCTCAACGACTTCCTCGGCACCGCTAAAAATAAGAGAGAAATCGTTAGTCGTATTCGAAAGCCGGATGGTGTGGGGAATCCTTACTACTCCTCCTCGCCCTCGGAGACGGAGGCCTCCTGGTACTGCTGGTACTCGGAGACAAGATCGTTCATGTTGCTCTCAGCCTCAGTGAACTCCATCTCGTCCATACCCTCACCAGTGTACCAATGCAAGAAAGCCTTGCGACGGAACATGGCAGTGAACTGGTCACCGACGCGCTTGAAGAGCTCCTGGATAGAGGTGGAGTTACCAACAAAGGTAGAAGACATCTTGAGGCCACGGGGGGGAACGGAGCACAGAGCGGTCTGGACGTTGTTGGGGATCCACTCAACGAAGTAGCTCTGGTTCTTGTTCTGGATGTTGCGCATCTGGTCCTCAACCTCCTTCATGGAGATCTTACCGCGGAACAGAGCGGAGCAAGTGAGGTAACGGCCGTTACGGAAGTCAGAAGCAGCCATCATGTTCTTGGGGTCGAACATCTGCTGGGTCAACTCGGGAACGCTGATCTGGCGGTAAGAGGAGCCGCCACGGCTGGTCAGGGGAGCGAAGCCGACCATGAAGAAGTGCAGACGAGGGAAGGGAACCATGTTGACGGCGAGCTTGCGGAGATCGGAGTTGAGCTGGCCGGGGAAACGGAGGGAGGTGGTCACACCGGACATGACGGCGGAGACGAGGTGGTTCAGGTCACCGTAAGAGGGCTGGGAGAGCTTGAGGGTACGCATGCAGATATCGTAGAGAGCCTAGGATTGTCAGTATTCTTCAATTCAGTATTTCCACACGCGTTTCATACCTCGTTATCGATACAGAAGGTCTCATCAGAGTGCTCAACAAGCTGGTGAACGGAGAGGGTAGCGTTGTAAGGCTCAACAACGGTGTCGGAGACCTTGGGGGAGGGGACGACGGAGAAGGTGGCCATCATACGGTCGGGGAACTCCTCACGGATCTTGGAGATCAAGAGTGTACCCATACCGGCACCGGTACCACCACCCAGGGAGTGGGTGATCTGGAAACCCTGGAGGCAGTCACATCCCTCAGCCTCACGGCGGACGACATCGAGAACCTGGTCAACAAGTTCGGCACCCTCGGTGTAGTGACCCTTAGCCCAGTTGTTACCGGCACCGGACTGACCGAAGACGAAGTTGTCGGGGCGGAAAAGCTTGCCGAAGGGACCGGAGCGGACAGCGTCCATGGTACCGGGCTCCAAATCGACGAGAACGGCACGGGGAACATACTTGTCACCGTTGGCCTAGATTATCAAAGAAAAGGATCTGATCAGTTGATGCACGATTATCCGGGTCCCAGTCATTGTACTCACTTCGTTGAAGTAGACGTTCATACGCTCGAGCTGGAGGTCGGAGGTACCATTGTACCTAGCAAGACATCAGACTTGTAGTCCACTGGATAATCCATCACTATTAACTTACTGTCCATCACCATCGAGACCGTGCTCGCCAGAAATGGTCTGCCTGTAATCAAGTTAGTAAGTTGTCAATTGGTACCCAACGCGAAAGGAGAAAAAAAGCTCAGCACTTACCAGAAAGCGGCACCAATTTGGTTACCCTATAACGCAATTCCAATTTAGTCCCACGGATCCAAGAATGTTTCCGAGAATGTTCCATGTCGAACTTACACATTGGCCGGTTTGGAGGTGAACCTGTATAGCAAGTTAGCAAAAGATCTCTGTTTAGAGTGGGGTCATGGTTCAGGGGGCCGTATGAAAACAAAAGACGCGTCTGGAGGGGATGACATACAATCTCACGCATTTTGAAGGTATTAGAAAAGAGATGGAGAAAAAAGGAGAACCGGTGACAAGTTCAGGGAGGATGGGGAAGAAGAGAAAGGCGAGATGGCCAGTTGAGCGGTGTGTGTGGGATCAACAAGTCAACAGTTGAACTTCAGGGGGGAGGCCCAATTGGGTATAGCCGCATCACGGGACTCGGGGGAGGTACGAACCACATTTTACGTTTCTTTGGGGCGCGTGATATTGCTATGAACTACATAATGTACTACATACTATAACAACATGTACATGAACCACTACAACAATATAATATAATACAGTTATGTCTTCATCATATCAATTGCGAAAAACAACTATACATGTTGGGTATTCATTCAATTGGGGACCCGCATTCCTATCCACTTGGAAGTATTCGCTTGCCCTTCAGTTGCTCTCGCCGTTTGGGATTCGTACATACATGTTGTTGTACTATTTAACGGCCGGCGAGACATAGACGAAGCCTGTGCTTCTATGACTTCCGATGGGGTATGGGGAAGTGATACAATGGAATTATATACAAATTGTGCGCCCATAGAACGCAACTCATCAAATGATTCGGCATCTTTACCGGTTAGCGGCCCGTCCTTCTCCGACGTGTGAAATGGATGTAAGCTGATTTAAAGATAGCTTCCCATCGGTTACGCCCTTTAAGGCGGTTATTCCAAATGCCGTAGAGTCGTAGTAGGATTTGTTCTTAGCGTGGCATGATACCCACAGTGGTTTGAAGCAGGTTCAACAAGAAAGCATAATAATGTAGTATTTATGTAAGAATGAAATGAGGTAGAATGGAGGGAGATGCGAGAGAGAGCCTCTCTTATCTATGCGGCGCGCGATATTGCCACATATGTATGTATGAATGACTATAATGTACCATGTACATAATCCGTTACAACTACAACTACATAATACTTATACTGAAATATTGTTTCAATCATACATATTGGGGGAAACTAATCATACATATTGGGTATTTCGTTCAATTGGGTGTTGCGTTCCTATCCACTTGGAAGTACTCGCTTGCCCTTCAGTTGCTCTCGCCTTTTGGGATCATTCATTGAGGGGCCGCTTCCTATTCAGTTGGAAGTACACGCTTGCTCTTCAGTGGCCCTCGTCGTTTGGTATTCGTACATAGTTCTCACAGATTTGAACTCTTTGGTGGGTTGTTCTCGCCGTTTTCGATCCTTTCACTTGGGATCTGGGCGTTTTCTGTTCAATTGGACTAGTTCTTGCCAATTTCCAGGCTCTTGTCGGTCTCGTCCTTGTCAGTTTCCTGGGTCTTGATGGGTTCATCCTTGTCGTCCTTGTTTTTCTCGTCCTTGTTTTTCTCGTCCTTGTTTTTCTCGTCCTTGTTTTCCTTGTCCTTGACTTCCTCGCTCTTGCCCGTGCCTGTCTTGTTAAAGTAGTTATCCGGGTTGGCGCCGCTTTCCAGCCAATCTCCGAACCGTTCAAGGCGCTTGTTCTCGTCGTCGTCTGAGTCAAGAGGGTCCTCCATTCCGCCACCTGCGTCTCGGCGGGGGTGGTACTTCTTGAATTTCTCTTCACCATCCCAGATGTAAGCAACAACAGCTTTACCTCCGAAGAAGCGTCCGTTCATGGTCTAGAAGATCGTCAGTAGCTACATTCACAGTGATTCACACCGACAGGCCTACATGAACACAGCGGCGAGCATCGGCTGATGCGGCGAATCGGACAGTGACAACACCATCACTCTCCCCGTCCCAGACCACCACCTTAGTCACATCGCCAATCTTCCTGCACTCGTTACGGACATCCTCATGGATCTCAATACTGACGAGAGGGTCCTCCTATAATTACAAGTCAGCAGTGTGTCCATATTCGCTTAAGGCAACCTTGGAAGAGGTAAGGTGTCTCATACATCCAGCTCCTTCAGGGTAAACATATGCTTCAGGACAACATGTCGATTTGCCTCCGAAATAGCCTTGATTGACTTTAAGACTTCATCGGCCTCATCGTCACCCCAGTCGGAAAGTTTTCTATCACATTTGAGTCAGCACGAAACACTCTGCCGCCATGATCAAGGAAACACACTTGTTCAACCGATCAGCCCGCTCCTTGAGCTTCTTCTTCTCTTTCATGGTCACAGTAACCTTGCCCTGCACATTATTTTGACGCTTGTACGAGAAGTCGGCTTCCTGAACATGCATCGGTCCAGAGGGGTCGTGGTGGCCCAATCGGAAGTCTGTCTCGTCGAGTACCTGAATCGCAAGGTTGACTGACTCTGGCCGGAAGTACACGACCAAAGCCTCGCCTTTGAAGTTGCCATTCTCGTCGTTGTACATTTTAATGCGCGGCTTTCCAGTGTCCAGTTCCTCTGCAAGGATTCCATATTTCTCAAACACCTGTTGGATTTCCGAAAGCGAAGCGTCGGTGGGAATGTTGGTAACCCACACACCTGTGTTCACACGTGGCTTCTTGGCCTTGGATTCGTTGTTCTATGGGGCAAAAGAAGATGAGTCAGTTATCAATGTCATCAAGTTGCTACTATGGCCATGACCACCATGCCCACCGGAATACTTACCGAGTCAAGCGAACCCTTTCGCTTCTTTCGATCACGTGGATGAACAATCTCAGTCTCGCCGTCGTCGGATCCGTATCCTTGCTGCTTGCGGATAAGTTCATCATCGATCTAGAGTTGGGAGCCAGGTTAGCATCGGAGATTGTCAGCCTACATTGTGAGACAGCTCATCGCAGCCGGCGTGTCAGTGCGTATCACATACCGTTTCAACCCATCTCTTCAAAATATTGTTGAACAGAAACTCACGACCATCGCTTGTCTCCAACAGGTAGCTGTTGTCCAGCTTGGAGAACGAGATACGCGGATCCTTATCAAACTCCGCCACGTCGGTCGGAAAAGCCATATTGATGGACAATCGTCACGCAAATTGGTAGAAAGACAGATCAGACAAAGAATTAAAAGAGACTATCTTTCTGGAGTGTTGCGAATAACGTGAACAGCGTGGGAGAAATTTGCGATGATTTGGAAGCACCAGCATGTGGTTGCGATCTCTCGGCGCGGCGCTCCGGAAAGTGCTCTTGGGTGGATCCCGCCGTATTCTACGGAGTAGTCGTGGAGAACTCCAAAATTCTTATATTCTTGATTTTGAATATTAATGGCCTGCATACTACAGTTACTCCTCAGTACCTCTTTATTCGCCTCGGACCTCGTGTTGCTGATGTTGCACTATATGGAGTAAGTACTCATCAATTTACTTTTCTCTCAAGGGATTCATGAAAATTTATATTTGGGTATCTGAAAGCATGCTATCAAAGTGTAAATTGGACTCTCCGAGAGTATTCCGAATACCTATAGTTCATTGCTATAGGTATTCAGGACACTCCGTCCTCAACAACAAAAGAAAATAACGTGACAAGAAAGGCATTTGCCTAATATTAAGTATTAAAGAAAGAGCAGCCGTCAGATCAAATTTGATCTCTAAGCCTTGGTCTCAATAACATCGCCGACGGGAGTGGCAGTGCGCTTAGAGGCAGTCTCTGAGCTTTCCACGCCGTTGACAATGTCACGAGTGACCTCAACGTAATCATACTAAAAAATAAAATGTTAAAAAAAAATGTCTTTTGAGTTGATTGAGGATCAGTAATACTTACGGCAAACTCGCCAATTTCGGCGTCGTCAATACCCATGATCTCATCTTCCTCGGGTGCGCGCAAGCTGAGACCGGGAATGAGGTTCATAATGAAGAGGATGATGCATGTTCCGACGAAGGCGTAAGCCATTCCAGTGACGGAGTCGGCAAGCTGGTATCCCAGCTGGATATAGTTCTGGTGGATCCAGCCACCATCGATACTAGAGGCACCGTCAAGTGCCACAATGGATTTACTATTAACAAGTCAGTTTATGATCAGATATTACTGCCAGGAGTTAGGTTCACTCACGAAGCGAAGAGACCAGTCAGGAGATTTCCAACAATACCACCGATACCGTGGACAGCAAAGATGTCGAGCGCATCATCAACACCAATAAGGAACTTGAGCTTAGTAGCATAGTTGCATGCAATAGCACCTACGAGCCCAAAGATGAAAGCGGCCCAGGGAGCGACAAATCCAGAGCCGGGGGTAATGGCAACAAGGCCGGCAATAACACCTGAGCAGAAGCCAACGGTTGACCACTTGCGCTCAAGTCTGTAATCCATCAAACACCAGGTCACACCTCCAACGGAGGCAGCAATGTTGGTGACAACGGCGGCCATAACGGCACGGAGATTGGCTGCCAGGGCAGAGCCAGCGTTGAATCCGAACCAGCCAACCCATAGGAAGACGGTGCCAATGACAACGTGGGTTACATTGTGAGGGCGGTAGTTAAGCTCGTGGGTGCCGTGGCCGCGACGCTTACCCAGCATCAGGGAGTAAGCGAGAGCAGCAGATCCAGAGGCAATGTGGACTGGGGTACCACCGGCAAAGTCGAGACCTCCGAGTTTGAAAACCCAGCCGGACGAGTTCCATGTCCAACAGGCGATGGGATCGTAGATGATAGTGGTCCAGATGAACATGAAGACGATGCATGGAAGCATGCGGCCACGCTCAGCAACTGCACCGACAGCGAGGGCAACACTAATTGCGGAGAAAATGTTAATTAGTGTTTTTAGGGGGGAGATGCAGAATGATAATGACTCACGTAATAGCGGCGAACATGCCCTGGAAGATAGCGAACAGCAGATCGGGAACCTTGGTACTTCCCACAGATGGCGCACCGAGAACACCCTTAAATCCGAAGTTATCGAGGTTGCCAATGTAGCTGCCGGCTGTGTGGGAGAAAGCGAGCGAATAACCCCAGAAGAACCACTGGAATGATACCACACCGACCGACATAATCGAGAGCCATATCAATGAGAGTGCCGACTTTCGACGAGCTAGACCGGAGTAGAAGAATCTATAATATCAAGTAATGAGTGAAAGAGTCCTTGGTGGTTGGAGAAAGGGTATTGGTCAAGTCATACCCAACTCCAGGAATCATAAGCAAAACTAGGGCTGTCGATGTGATAACCCATGATATATCACCAGACTATGAATACTGTTAGCTAGGAAGTCCATCCTAACTGACTCTCATGAGAGTATGGAACATACAGTGTAGAAGATGTTCCAATCCGTAACATCCACCATGGTGGTGCTATTGTACACAGGCGGATAATATGATGCCGTGTCCATGGTGAGACGTATGGCAGGCCAATGGTGCAAGAGTGATAAGCAGTTAGAGGCTGCTACAACGGAATGAGAGATCCCAAAGCTATGTGATATGCAGGAGGTGAAGAGAAGGAGGCAAGATGCTTTCAATCACCGGGCTGTGAAAGGAGAGAAAAGTGATATGTCTACGGAGTATGCTGCAGGGGACAAGCCCTGATAATTAAATAACTGGCGCAAGTGCCAGACAACCAGCAGTGCTCCACCATCAGACGCTAGAAGGCTACCAGACCATCGATCTTAGTTCCGATAGTGGGAGCTGGTCATTCTGATTTTTGATATGATTCATCTGATCTGGCCGATAGCAGCTAGCCAAGCCCGCCCCCATTGCCCCCATTCCACTCATGTCAGGTTCGTGGCGGATGTGGTGCATACTCCATCGACCCAACCGGGGAATTACGGGTCCTTGCGTTTTGCATATATGTAGCCCTAATTGGGGATATTGTGTATAGGTATCTACTTATAGAATGTCTAAAACTGCGGTGTAACTAAATGTTTGTTTTCTCTATTTCTGTATATTTCTATATATTTCTGTATGTTTCCCCTAAACAATCTAAATACATTCCTACGGAGTACGAGGTATGCATTGACCCGCGATAAGCAGGGGGAAAATGCAAGGCCAACTTACTCCGTACATAGTACTCCGTAAAATGATAGACAGATTGGGGTCATTTCAGTGACAGAAGAGAATAATACGAAAATAATATCAAAATTGGATAGGTGTGCTCAATGGCTGTAGATATGAAGTTCGAAGTAGCCAATCACCAACATTTGCTTATCATCTTCGCCAAGTCCTTTTTTTGTCGCTTAATTCGTTGTTTAATACGTCCAGTTCATGCATTCTAATGATATTTGTTGACCGAGGTTATCCCGAATGGATACAGCTACCTTTCCTATAAGATATTATATTGGTACAAATGTGAAGTTGTTAAACCAAAACGACCGTCACAAAGTAGATGCCTTATCATCCTTCCCGAGGTCAATCTCGTGTTGTCCCAACCGATTACCATCTAATTTCCCTTATCTTATATTCCAACACGCAATTTTTTACTTATGTACTTAAGAGATTTGACCATGCGAGGGATTATGTGTTTGAACTTTTGTTGCCTAGGTAATATCCTTTTTATCCAATGCCCCCCTTGACGCTGGTGCCTCGGATGCAATGTCGGGTGATGTTAGGGACTAATATCACTAAACAGACTGCTGTATATTAGTGTACAGTTCTTCTTATATAAATATGTCTACTCCGTGCTCCGTAAGCCTGTCGAAGACATAAAACATATACTTCTAGGCCGGCATATTCTCTCCGCAGTGGCTTCTCCCCATCTCACTATGTCACACCCGGTTCCACACGATTATGCAGAACGCATGGAGCGGGAATACTAAACTCTTTACCACGCGGTTCAGCGTTCTTCCCGTGGACGTCAAGTCAAGATAAGCACTCAGCCTTCCATTGGCGGGAATTATCAGGGGGTTAATTCGGCATCCCGAATTGGACCTTGGCACTTTCCAAGGTTCAGCCCCCACGAACTCCAGGGCTCTCCTCCATAGTGTATGGGCTTGACATCAGAGTTCAGTAGATCTATGAATATATATATGCAAAGCTCTTGCGCTATTGGTTTTCTTGCTTTAGTTCTGTTCAATAGCAATATCAGAGGATTGATTTTTTAGAGAACCTTGTAAGTCTGGGCGTTATACTCCGTAAGTCAGTGTTGCATGCTTTGCGTCGACTTGTCTCTGGCACCAGAAACGTGGATATGTAGCGTCTTCAGTTCTTCGTGAATTATGTTATACTAGTCCAGATTTCCTTAGAGCCCCAGCAAAGTGTCAATGATCCTCCATGATTTTCGAATCCACCGATCCACTGATCGACGATGTTAGATCTATGATGTACATATCTACATACATACCTACATCGATGTATGTAATCCGCACCTAAACGCAATTTTGATCTAGTCAGGGGTAAGAACTCCTTATCCGTAGTCTGAAAATAGATGTACTATATCTTTGATCCTTGGAACTCACGTACCCGGTCATATCACATGCTTATTTCTCTGGTTTTATAGGTCGAGTCTGATAGTATAGGTAGATGGTTGGACCCTGAGAACCACCTCTACCTTCATGGCTAGCTCATCACATGCTCTCTCTCTTCTACTAGAGTCTTAACATTGTCTAGGTGTATATACTCTGCTACATATGACCAAATGTGCTCGCATGTTAAATCTGCCTGTGGTGCCACAACGGCTGCTTAGCAATAGCAATAGAAAAAACAATAATAGGCCATGCTCAGAAGAGCATTGGCTTATAGTTGTTTGAAGAGGTAGTTACTTCATTTTGTTGCCCTCGTTGATCTGATTGTTGGGCAGATGGTTTGCTGGGGAATTCCTATCTCACTTGGATTGCCCCATAATTTCAATATCCCGCTGGAGTACCTAGCTGTTTACGAAACGATTTCAAAGAAAATAATATACATGCACAACTTTCTCATATAACTTCTACTTCAATTTCTTACCCCTTGTTGCAGGTTGGCACCAATGACTATGGATATACTAATTTCTACCCACCTCATCTATTTCGTCTCTTTGAGGCCCCTTCAAATGTCAGAAGAGACAATCTAGTTTGAGGAATTCCCATATAATGTATGTATATTCTTAATTAGAAGACAGGGGGCAGGAAATACTATACTAGCAGATGTTTAAAAAAAAAAGACAACTCATGGTTTTGGAATATTTATGGATGTTACTCAAATATATATTCACCAAGTTTGAAGCATAAAGCCAACAATGCAGAATAAGATGATGATAAAACTGATCGAAATTACTTAAAAGCTATGATTTGAACATTGCATATGATTTTTTACAAACTTGAATACAAGAAAAGAGCCAAGAAAAAAAAAAGCAAGCCTCAGAGCAAATTCTTGCAAGGATGGAGCATGTTGCTACGGAGTGGACGGCACCGATATTGGGTGCAATGAAGCAGCTGACTTTCATTATTGAACGCGTGTGCACTGTACAAGGGCTTGGATTTAATATAAATACAGGATCAAGAGTGATGCCACGTAATGGTTAAATATCAAACAGGAAACATTCTCAGCAGATCCAAACAGTAAAATGGGTGGGGATATGGGCTATCCAATTAGCCACAGCGCACCGCCACAGCATCCGCCTCCTATCACCTTGGTCGAAGACCAAGACGTACTCTCCCGGACCACCACACGGTATAACCACTATGCAACACCCGGAAATTCCTAGTCCTGATTCGGATGGCTCGGGGTCTTCAGATGAATTCCCCCAGTTCCCCGTGAGGACTAACTCATCATTTGGAGAGACTCTCGACGATCAAATCCAAACACCTACGAGCACTATTACATCTTCCCCTCCATCTATTTCACCTAACCTTACCTCATGGTCTAATACGCCGACGGCACGGCCGCGTGGAGTTAGCCTCAGTGCCACCACTCTCCTTGACAAGTCTGATGCACTTGCTATGGCTAGCGACTTGCGACCTCAGCGCCCATCCGCCCCAGCACGAACGCCGTCGAATACGTATGCCCCACAGCGGCGCCCACCACAATACATCAGTCTCCAGGAAGACCGCCAGCGATCATCATCAACCAAACGAGGGACGAGGCGCGATCCGAACGCGCAATACCGTGCACAAGAAAAGGCCTACGTCCAACGGATTCGAGCAAACCCACAAGCCTGGTATCACCATTCCAAAGACGCACAAGCCAACAACATGACAGAAGGGGATGGCGACTTGGAGGACCCCTCTCCTTCCTCTGAAGTGCCGTTTGAAGACGATTCTTACGACCCAGATACCCAGCTTTTCCTCCCGGACGACAATTTACCAAGTACAGAAGAACTCAAGCACCCCAAGAACCAGGAGCGGCTTGAGTGGCATTCTATGCTGGCCTCGGTCTTAAAGGGAGATGTAGTAAAACAAGAAAAACAGCGACTTATTGGATCTGCGGAATCAAAGCGGTCGGCGGCCCAGAGCCTTGCACTATGGATCGGAGTTCGGGCAAGGACCTGCGGCCGAAGTATTCCGCTGCAGCGAAAGTTAATTGAGAATGCACGGTCACGTCTGGGTCCCATAATCGAGGATATCATCGGATTTCAGATTAAAGGCGAGACTGAGATCGGGAAACCGCCAAGGCAGCAAGTAGAGGATATCGTGGAGAAAGTCGAGCGATGCGAGAGTCTCTACTCTTCGCACAAGGAAATGGAACTTGCAAACCCCCGTGTTGCCTCGGATGAATTCATATCTAGTCGCGCAGCCATTTTCGCGTGGCATAACATTACGGCTCTCATCAACACCGAGCTGGCTGTGCTGCAGAGCTGGGTAGGGAACGAGGCGCTTGATTTCAGCCAGCCGAGGGTGAAGTCTGCCAAGGATGATCTTTCAGATGGGTCATCATTCCTTGATCGCATTATGAAGGAAGATGGCCTGAAGACACTCCAGGATAAGGATGGCATGCTTCTTCGCATTCTCGTCGTCATCCAGAAAGCGAAGAGTACTCTAATCGAGAACTCGGAAGCGTTTGCCGCGCGGCACCTGCCACCATATATCGAAGAACTACTCACATTGATTAACTTCCCCTCTCGGTTGATCCAGGAAATCATTCGAGTCCGTCTGTCCTATGCCAAGAATATGAAAGACCCAGCCCAGCAAGCCCCCATTTTGATTGACCAGATGATTTCCCAATTCCAAATCTTGATGAAAGTGGCGGTCGATATTAAGTTCCGCTACCTTGATGTTTCAAGGCCAGAACCTGGCTGGGATTTGCCGCCATGTGTCGATGAGAACTTTGACAATTCGGTCTTGGATGCTATGAAATATTATTTCCGGCTCCTCAACTGGAAGCTGAATGCCAACAAGAACACTTTCAAGGAGGCTGAAATTCTGGAACAAGAATGGGGATTCTCATATGATATCGGTTGCCGGCTTGATGGCGGTGATATCGA